TTATCTAAATAGACACCCTTATCCTCGAAACCGTCTACTAAGATCCTAATTATAGATTCTCCGGAACTATATATATCTAGATATACCTTTATAGCTTTGTCTATTAATAGGCCGTTATCGACCCGGCTATATATTGCTTTTCTAGCCTCCGATAAGTAAGCTATAAAGTCTCCGTAGTTGCCTATTACCTTAGACTATAATAAGGTCTTATACTAAAATAGTTTTAAGTCCTCGGGTATAACCTTACTAGCTAGTATTCGGTCTATCCAAAGGGTCTTAGGCTAAGCCTTTATCTTAGAAGTAGGGGGAGCTACTAAGGCAGGCGCCTCCGTTATATTCTTATTCTCTTCCTTACCTCGCTAAGTCTAAGATTCCGGCTCTATAGAAGGCGGCAAATAGATAGGATAAGAAGATCCTTATATTATAGAAGTAGAAGGGCCCGAAGTCCCTTCGATTTCGCCTTTCTTCTTAGCCTTATCGTAATAGACCCTCGCCTTCTATATCCTAGTCTTAGCTTCCTTAACTTAATCCGGGATAGGTCTTACTTTTATAATCCTAGCTTTTAGTAGCCTACCTAGCTAGGTTAGTCGAGAAGGATTCGAAGGACTCTTCTCCCTAGTATTACTAATCTATACGGTATAGGCTAAGGCTCTATTATAATTAGCTATTAGGGTTATATCCTATTCCTCCGGATTACCTTCCTAAATAGTATATATAATAGGAGTCGATATATAGTTCTTACTTCCTATAACGGAAGATACCGAGATAGGGCCGGCTTTATCTCTACTATTCTACTAAAGTTTCCTCTTCTAGATAACCCCTAAGTGCGGTAGGAATTTAATAATCTTCCTAGCCTTATTATTAAGATAGGGAAGGTAGTACTATAACTTCGGCTTCTTACTATACTAATTATATAGAATCTTAGCTAGCCTCGGTATTAAGCCCTCCCGACTAAATATATAGTTATTATAATTAATCTTATAAAGATAGCCTTCCGAAATAAGCTAAGATATAGTTAGACAATCTCTAGCTATATAGTAAGATAAAGGATCCCTATAGAGGAAGTACTTGTCCTATATCTCTATACCGATTATAGGATATATAAAGACCCTATCCGTGTTTTTATCGATTACGATTAGTATAAGGGCCCTAGTATCTAATCTACGTATAGCGGTTACGGAGTATACGATTACATCGCCTAGTTTCTTAAACTCGTTTATTATAGCTATAGTCTCCGGGGAAGTATTACTAAACGCGGCCTTCGAAATATAGGTAGGATCGAACTTTAGTTAGTATTTAGCTATCGTTATTACTAAGGCGCCGATGTCCTTATTACTATCTTCGTCGATAAGGCGAGTAATACTAGTAATCTTATTAATATAGGTCTTTATAATTCGGAGGATCTTTAGGAAGTCCTTAAAAGTAATCTAGTCCCTTTCCTTAATACTAGCCCTTCGAATAATTAGGGTAACTATTTCCCTTAGTAAACCCTTTAGGAGAAGCTTAGTACGGCTATACTTAAATAGCTCCTCGATCGGAATCTTATTATAGCTCTAGATAAACTACTAGTAGTACTTACGAAGGTTATCGCTCTTAGTACGAGTTATACTATAAAGTTTGTCGAGATAGGCTAGAGTTCTAATTATACGATCGGTATTATACTCTATAAACTCTAGAAGAAGGAACCGTTTAAATATAGTCTATAGGTCTAGGTTATTAGGCTCGGCTATCTCCCTAAAGAAACCGGGGATACTACGGACTTAAGAACGAAGATACTAGTTTACGTTCCTTTCTAGAAGGGAAAGCTTCCGTTTAAAGGAGGCCTTAGGCTTATATTTACTAACGAGCTCTTCGAACCTTTCTAGAAAGGAAGTTATATTATCCTCTTTAAAAAAGGGGTTAGTAGCCGTTCCTAGAGAGGGAAGCTTTAGACGTAGGCTAGTAATTAAAGCCTATACCGTAATCGTATTCGAACTCTTTATCCTATTTAGATAGGCCTAAAGGGCCGTAAGAGTAAGGGGCTTAGAGTAGTTACCTAACTATACGCGGGGTTTACTAGATATTCCTTCGAGATTATTAGCGAATACTTGTCCGTCCCTTAAACCGACGTCGGATCCTAGATTAATAAATATAGGTTTGTTTCTAAAGTCGATATTAAGGATAGCTTAGTAAAGCTCTTATTCCTTAGAGGATTTAGATTCCGGAGAGGGTTATTAAATACTTATATAGATAAGAAAATAATGTTTTTAGTAACTAGCCCCTAGGGGCTAGTTGTTTTTAATTAGTCGGTTAGTATTAGATTTGTAAAATTTGAAAAAGCGATAGTAATCTAGAAGTAATAGCTAGTAGGTTCTTAGTATTTTTCTATATATTTAGAATATATATTAGAAAGTAATATATTACTTATACTAGAGCTTAAGGGAGCTTAGTAACCTTACTACCTTTGCTCTAGGGAAGAAAAGTAGGGATCTAGTTCTAAAATATTCCGGGTATAGTGCCTAGTACTTAGTCCCGCTCTCTCCGTAAAAAGGGATAGTTAGTTCTATATTTTTCGGATATCTATAGTCGCCGCTATATAGGAAGTTTAGCTATCTTTCCTTCTATATCTAAGGGCTAGCCTTCTAGACCTTACGATATAGAACCGATCCGTACCGACTTTCCTATTACGATACTTCGATCGCCTACCCCTATATCGACCTCCGTAAAGCTTACTTTAATCGAGCCCTTCCTAAAAGAGGAGCCTAAGTAAACCCTAGTTTAACTTAGTACTAAACTACTAATATTGCCCTTAACGTTTTAATAGATAGATAGATATTTCTCGGAGTAAATTGCTATAGATCCTTTCTATATAGATCTACCCCTTATATATTAAAGCTGCTACTTTAATATGCGTAATAGTCTAGAATGCCTCCTATTGTATTAGCTCGAGTATATTAAGTCTCTAGTAATTAAGATGCTTCCGCTAAAATACGGTGCTAGGCTAGACATATATACTACTTTTAATATATATATGTCCTTACGATTAAGCTCCCTTTAGAATCTAGTACCGCTTTACTCTCCTTAAGCTAGGCCTATCTCCGGACGCTAGATAAGAAGGATATATTCCCGATTATAGCTATAGCTAGGATCGGTTACCTAGCCTAAGTCCTTAGATAGTAGTTATATTATGCTTACGCTATATACAACTCTAAGTCCTAATAGCCTAAGGGTTTATAACTTTTTATAGTTAAAGCTATGCCTACCTAAAAGTAGTTACTATCCTTCTTATTCTCTAGAGGCATACTATAGTCGTAGGCCGTAGGTAGTTATCGCCTTCCGCTAGTCGTAGCTATCCGTACCTAGAGGCTATATTATTATCGTCCCTTCGGTAGGAAAAATAAAGTATAGCCCTACCTTCGGCTCTAATAAAGGGCGCAAACTATAATACATAATAATACTAAATAAAGTTATGCATCGTATATTGCTTAGACGATAGGAAATAATTTGCTATACCTCGCCGAGTAAATAGATAGGACTATAGGCTCTTAATACAGTCCTTACTTATAGGCTAAAAGGCGATCGATTAACGTAGACACTTAGTAGTAGCGTAAAAAAGAGTAAAGAAGATTCGATAGTCTATATAAAGTTCGAATAGAAGCTGCTTTTTATAGGCCCTATATCTATACTAAGCTACTCCGCGGAGGTGTTAAGCGTTCGAGCTATTAATAGGTAGTTAGAACCTTGCTATACTTTAAAAGTAGGAAGATCTATATCTTAGTAGTATAGGGTAAAGCTAAATCGGCTTAGAGCTTATCTATATTATCTAAACCAATTCTTAATCTTAGTTTATATTTGCATTTTACATTACTCTTACTAAAGCTTAAATCTTATGCTATAATTCCTAGCTAGTCTTTCTTTAGCTATATAGTAATCTTTCCTTTATTAACTATTAATTATTATTAATTTAATAGTATTAAAGATACCTTTCCCTTCTAGATTGTCCTTCTAAAGATTAAACTATCTTTTCTAGTTCTCCCTTCCTAGAATTAGAATCCTAGCTTAGGAGGTTATGTCCTTATTATCCTCTATCTTTATAAAATTTTGTTTTCTTTTATTTAGCTTAGTCCTACTAAGGCTTTTAGTAGTAGAGGAGAAGAAGGTATATTAGTATAGGCTTTAATAAATAGGCCTTAATTATTTTATAGCTTTAAACCCTTATCCTTTTAGATTTTCTTCCTAGCTTATCTATATACTAATCTTTAGTATCTCTTATAAGGTAGTATAAGAGGATCTAAAATCCTCTTTCTCCTTTCTATATACTAGTATAAGGTAGGGAATACCTTTACTACTTTAAGGTTAAAGTTCTTTCCTTTAGTTTAGCAAAACCTAGGCTTATAACCTATTAAGATTATCTAACTAAAAATCTAAAACTAGAGGCTAGAGAGGTAGTAGGATATAGCGGTAAAGAGTAAGATAAGAGACTCTAATCTTAAACTAATTTATTATAAGGTATATAGTACTTAAAGTAGGAACTAACTAAGTGTATTAATTAAATTAATTATCTTAAGAACTAAATATTAAGAATAAGTATGTGCCTTTAGCCTTAGTATCCTAATTACCTAACTAGGGAATTACCTTAGAGTAGATTCTACTCTAAGCTCTCTTCCCTTTCTAAACCTATTAGGTTTTAATATATACTATCTAATAGCTAAATAAGATTATAGTAGGGTAGATAGGCTAGAAAACGATCTAGTAGTGCCTACGCGCGCGTAAAGGGCGTACGGATAGAGAGCTAAGTCGGCTTAGCTCTTAGGAAAGGAGGTAACGCCCTTATATATAGACCCTGTCCTAAAAAACACCTTCTCCTACGTATCGAACTCCTTAAAAAACACCTTCTCCTACGTATCGAACTCCTTTATAGTTTTAATTACACTTTTATTTAGTAGATCGTTTACTACTAGTATAGCAATAAGATCGTTCTCCGTTAAACTATTAAATAGAGCTAGCTCGTCCGCCTTCGATTAGGTGCCGGTATTAAACATATCGCTACCTACGCGGCGTCCCCCTCTAAGGGGCTTAATCGCGTCCTCCTCGCTCCGGATCGGAATAGGCTTTAGATCTACTACCTTACTAGAGGCTCTCCGCTCGTCTATGCTTGGTTTGGTTAATGTCGTGTAGAAGGTAGCAGCCCTATAAGCCCGACGGAACGAGCTCGTACCAMGATATAAGTCCATATTGTGATTACTAGCAACGCCCGATCTCTCCTTGCGAGCGAAGACTTCGGGAGACTTGGGTGCGTTCTCGTCTACCCCAATCTCCGAGCCGTCTTCTTCGCCAAGGCCCTTGCGGTACTCAGTTCTGTCATCTCCCTTAGATTCCGAGCCTTTCTCATCCGTCTCGGCGTCCTCCATTTCTCTATCAGAGTCCTGTAGATCGGGGTCGGTAGAGACAGTAGTCTCGTCCCCATCGAATGCTGTGGTGTTGCTCTTCAAGCTCTGACGCTTCTTTTCCAAAATGTCGCCGATGTACTCCATGCCGCGGTGGGATTTGTTTTGAGACTTTTGCTCAATCGCAATCATTCTCTTCGAGCGCTTCGTTGCAATTTTCTTGTTGAGCCAACTAACGAGTTTGGCGCGGCCTTTGTTAACGGCCTGATCGACAACCTCTTGGTATTGGCGCYCCAACTCCTGCTTGGTCTGTTCGTCAATTCCCGGGTAAAGGTTGCCCTGGAGTTCGGAGAGGGCATCCATGGAAACTTTATCGATTTTTTCCATGATCTTGCGGGCCTTCTTCTCGAACCGCTTCGGCATCTTGTCCTTTGAGCGTTCGAGGGAGTCCATGGCCCACAACGAATGATTTGGCGTTGTTGGAGTGAAGCGACTTCAATTCGGGGGTGGACTGGTTATTATGGGGGCGATGAGACAAGCTGGCTTGGTTGATCTGTGAAGGTATTAGCTTCACTTGACTCTTGCGAGAATCCGCGACAGCAGCGTACCGAGCTATGACTTTGTTGATGGAGTGACCGGCGCGGCAAGACTACGCTCTTAGTGACTACCGCACGGTGAGTGCAGAGAGTGGTAGGGGATGAGGGACCACAGTCGTGGAGGGAATCGTGTTGTTGATGGGTAGTGGTGAAGGTGAAGTTGAAGTTGATGGATGATGGATGAAACAGCGCGGCGGCGACTTGCCGCACGGGCCACGTACATGCAGAAGACTTTCACATGTCAAACCTTAAGCAAGTGACTTCACTTGTGCAACTCTCACATCTGACCTGCACTGTAGTCAAGTGTGAAAGTTGCTCTACGTTCGAGTTGTTATTGTGATTGAATGAAAGGATGACATGGCGAGGACCTCGGATTAAACGGCTTGTATGGATTTGAAGCAAGCTACTACCGAAAGGGATCGTACGTAGCCCTCGCTAACACTCCCTACCGCTCGTATCATTATTTACGGTGGACGCGGTGTGCAATCCTTGTTTTGACGATCATTCATATATACTTGTCCTACCAAGCATAAGTTGGATACGTTTCAGAGTCGAGAATCTGCTCCTGCTTGTGTCCGCCAGGTGTTTGCTCGATGTGAAAAGTCTCGTGCTCGAGGAATTGTACAACGCTGTCGTACACATGTAGCTCGATACCATTCTTGTCAAAGACCTTCCAAGTGATAGGGGCGGCTTCATTATGCGCGTCTCGAGAAAGCACGTAGAATATCTGTCGGTGCTGAGTACAACCACCGAGTTCCCAGGCAGCGAATACCGTCCAGTCATCATTCCACCAATCAATCAGACAGTGCCGCTCTCCCGGCTTGCCGCTTTCCGCTTCAAGTCCCTCAATACCGCTGACGAGATATGTATCGGCGGTTTCGGACGGTATACCAGCTCCAGTGACCCCGTCTGTGACCCGCAAAAGCTCTTCGAAATCTTTGGGCAACTCGAGTGAGATCGACTCTGAGGGAACAGTCTTGTTAGCCTGCCGTTGGAGGCCCGATTGAACTCCAGCTAGCACTTCAGCAATCTTCACTTCCGGTTGAGGATCATAGAGAGGCCCGCGTACGACATCGACGAACAAGGAATCCATTGATCGGAACAAGACTTGATTCTTCTCCTCTGCTTCGCATAGTGGTTCGTGTCGCTCCGGTTCGACGCCCCGAGACGAGCCCATTGCTTCTTGAAAAACACACATTGCAAATGCTGCATCCTCGGTCCAGCCCTCGCCCCTGTAGCCTGGCTCCCAGAATTCCTCTACGGGCGGGAGAGGACGCCATTTCTGTCGAATATCTTTGATGAAGCGCTTGAATTCCCGTACGTTAACGGATTTCGCGACTCTCCCATATTGCAAGATTACGTCTCGCAGTGAACGAAAGGGTGGAGCATCTGCTGTCCAGCCGCAGTTAGCGCAGGGGGGTGCTAGTGCGGCCGCTTAACATGTAGACGTGTAGGTGTGGTATCGGGAAACAAACGATCTGGTGGTTTGCATGAATAATTATGCTAACGTATCGATCCGATGTGGACGAAATGTGTTGAGTGCTCTGACGCTGGCTCGAGAGTTTGTCCAAGTATGACGAGAACTACCTAGTTCTAACTAGCGTGGAAGGACCCTCCAAAGCTTCTTTTGCACCTCACCTTCCTTGACTTGACATCTCTTGCCGATCATCCACAATCACCACCTCTACTCAGGTTACCGTCGCGAGACGTCAGCTCTAATCGATCCAAGGCCGAATCGCGAGAAGAGCAAGCGGCGCGTACACGGCCATCTATGCGACACATTTGCGCCCTTGTCACTTTGCGAAGCTGCTAACCCCCTGAAATGTCGCAAACAGGAGCAAAAAACATGTACCTTTTGATCACCAAGAGCAAAACAAAAAGTACATTCAACATTTGGGATTCCCCAGTGGTCACCCACCTGAGTACTGATCAAACGATTACATGGTTCAATAGGCCAGAGCGGACGGGATGGCTTGCTTTCATGCATCTATGGTCGAATGTGCTAAGATCTGCACTTTGAGCGAATATATACACGCAGAAGCACGGGATGGACTGGACTACTTTCATTCCATCCGCGTAGATGGTGACAGGCCCTCCTCAGACACCGTGGTTAACATTTCTTACACATGGAAAACCCTTTTTCTTCTGAGTATAGCAGGTGTGATTCAATCTTGCGAGCTCTCCGCGAGCAATCGTATGTAGAATGAGTTTGAGTTCCGATTACTACTTTGAAAATCCCTGTTCGGTACCAGAGAAGCACAAATTCCCCAAATATAACCATGAAAGCGTAGGACGAATATCAACGGTAAAGTCAACCCCTTGAGGTGTTTAATGGATGAATCAAGCTTTCGGCAGCTCAGATGCTATCAAAACCAGAGGCTCTAGCCCACACCGTGAATGTTCGACGTCCTGGCAGGGATTAGACACACCAACTTCGCAATTGAGATGGAATTTGGGCGGGATCCATCAATGCATGTACAAGAAGCTCTCTGTGCAAGGCTACGTATGTCGAACCACACGGATATAGCTTGCTTGGCTAGCACACTCCCTCTGTCCGAGGCATGAATACTGAAGGATCATGACGTGCACTGCCTGTTCCACAGTTCCTATGTTTTGGCGCCGCATGCTGATACAGTTCCGTTCCGAAAGGCTCGGTTTGAAGCCTAGTCCATGCAATTGTTACAAAAACAGCTTGCCAGTGGCCATTGCGTTCTTGCAGCGGCCGTACCCAAGCTAATACATACAAGGTCAGCGAAAGAAACGGTCTTGGGTGGACTCAACACATACCATCTCAAGCAGGTCATCGTTGTTGGCAGTCACCAAGGCGTGACGATGCTTCAGAATGATTTTGTCGCTCAAGACCTGCTCGACGGCGAAGCGCTTCGTCTCCATGGCGAAGTGCACTCGTTCTTCGATCGAGTCGTCACTGGAAAAGTGATGGACCGTGACTGGGTGCACTTGTCCCAGCCGAAGTTCTCGTGAAATGATCTGGTCTTCGGTGTACGGGTTCCAGATTGGAGACACCAGCATGACGTCGGTGCCATGGATCTAAACAAGTAACGTCAGTTCTCGTAAGCGGGAAGTCAATGTGGTGCTCGCTTACCAGCGTGAGTCCCTCGCTTCCAGTCTTGGTTGTCACCAGCATGACAAGATTCTCGTCTGGACGGGTATCGGGCAGAGTAAAGTCCTGTGAAGCAGAGAACGAAGCATTAGCGAGGTCATTCGCGGACTCCAGCTACACACGTACCTTGCCAACCTCTTCGAATCGGTTGCGGGCCATGTCGCGTTGCTCTTCGCTGAGGCTGCCATCAAAGCGCGAGTGCTTGATTCCAGACTGCTCCAGGCCGATAGAGATGAGGTCCAAGCCTGCCAAGAACTCGCAGAACACGAGGATTTTGTGGCTGGCGACAAACTCGTGTCGCTTCGATTTGGGAAGCTTGGCTGCTCCTTCCTTGTGCTGCTTGAGCACCTCAACGACGTCCTCCACAACCCCGCATATGCGATCCGATCGCCAACCTGCGCCACTGATGTTTTTCCGGTAGTCGTTAAGAAATTCCAGTCGTCGCTTGGAGAGCAAAGCAGCTTGCTGCTGCGTCAGCTTCTTGCACCTCTTGAGATTGGTACTCCGCTGGTTGGGGATCTCGATATCATTCGGGTTGATGCCCGGTGCCATGACGCCTCGAGCGAACTCCTCGGGGCTGTAAACATCCACGCTGTATTTGGCATCTTTCAGAGCAGGGTGGATGACATTCAAGCGCGCGTGGAGCACATCACGAAGAATGTCCGAAGGGCTACGCACAGGAAGTTCCGCCACAGCATCCATTCGCTTGCGGTACTCCTCACTCAGAGGGTCCATCGTATCTCTGGCTTGTTTCGCTTTCTTGAGGATGTCTTTTTTCCAATTCTTGTCCCAGATATCGCGGGTCTGGAGCTGAAACTCACGCCCTGCCGATGATTGCTTGATTATGACAGTGCGGGCGGTAGATATGATGGGCTGAGCAGTAATTGGGTCGCCGTCGAAATCTTGATCTGCCGTGCGCCGAATACAAAGCGAGCTTCGTATGGCCGAAAGAATGGCATCGTTGCGGATGTTGTTAAGCTTGGTTGAGGGTTCCAGCTTCTTTCCGCCTTTCCGCTTGTTGGTGAAACAAGCTCGGAACAGCGGTAGATTGCAAAAAGGCTCGATGCGGAGGAACATGAGGAGTGCGCCGAACTCATTCACGTTATTCTGCAACGGCACTCCGGGCAATGCAGCGCGTCCATTTGCGGACATGGCGTGCAGAGCTTGGGCCAATACACTATTGGGGTCCTTGATGCACTGCGCCTCGTCAACGATCAGTTGGTCCAAGTCGAGCGAGAAGAGCAGGAAATCAGGGATCTCGTGATCAGCGTCGACCAAGGCTGTACCATTGGGCAACTTGCTGATCTTTTCTTTGATCTTGTCTTCGAGGCCCTCCTTCCGAGCCTGTCGAGAGTTGTAGATGTGGAGTATTGTCCCGTAGTCCCGAGAGAGGCATCCGGTGGGCATGATGATCACATCGTAAGCTTGTTTGATCTCTGCGGCAGACATAGCCTTGACCTTCTTATCATCGTAGTCCGCAACGCGGAGTGTCGATGACATGGCGAGTTGCTTCTTCCAGGTTGATATGATGTGTCTCGGGAGGGCAAGGCCGAAAAGMACGCTTCTGCCCGTGCGGTTCGCCTCGTTAACACTGCGCTGGATAACGCCCAGGATGATCCACGTCCTCCCAATCTCCAAATCATCAGCGAGAATGATGACACCCTTGTGCTTGCGCATGGCACGTTCGTACCGAACGATACCATCAAGCTGATGGGCCCGGAGCTTGTGTGAGATGCTTTCAAGGCCTGGAATTACAACCCCAGGGGCAGCAAGGGCACCATCGCACGAGACGTTGGTTCGTCCAGCGTTCTTGATACCATCCATGATCAGAGGGCGAGCAAGAAGCAATCGAGCCTTGAGTCGTGCTTCTTCTTGGGGACTGATTGCACGACGCTGTGGCCTGACTTGTCGGGGTTCCTCGTTTCCTGCATCCTCGTGTCTTGCACCGTCGCCGTCCTCCTCTTCCCCCTCCTCCTCCCCCTCATCTTCCTCCTCCTCATGTTCCTCGTCATCCTCCTCCTCCGCCTCTCTCCCATCATCATTCTCCTCCTCGCCTGACAAAGCAGCCTTGGCGGACTGCTTTTCATGAATTCTGATCTTCTTGTTGAGTGACTTGATGTATTGTCGGAGGTGCTTGTTTTGGGCAACACAGCCTGCCTGACGATGAACGTTGGCGAGTGAGCTGCCTTGAGAATGCATCGAGAGCGGATTGAGGTACCTGCAGTCCCACCATCGTTATCTCGAGTTGAGAGTATCGTCGTGGCTAGTTTGCTGGGGGTGCAGAAGAATGTTGGTGTTGGTGTTGAAAGGGTGATTGATGAGTGTGACGAAATGACCATGCGGGGTGAAGATGGGGAAGACGCGTTCCGTTCCATTAACGCGTCCTCGGGATTCAAAGCCACGCCAACACGTGATGGAAATCTGACTTGACTTGACTTGACTTGACTTGACTTCAATTCACTTCACTTCACTTCACCTCCATATCTTCTCCCGTCTGTCGAGCGCCACGCTTAGTGGCCCTCTGGATATATTGCGTATGCTCTTGTGTGCCACCGATCTAGAGACTTCGCATGACGAGCTCAGTGTGCGATGCGCTGCAGTTAAGAAATGACTCTAGGGAGTAGTCATCGCGATATGGAACTGTGCACTTGTGCCTTGCTTTCATAAAACCTGAATCCGAGGGCTTATCGATATCCTCGTAGGCATCAAGCATGTGACACACTTCACTTGGCACCTCACATCTGCGATAGATAGGCACGCGCTGACTCCGCTCTGAGGCGGATTCACGTGATGCCTTCACTTTGCATCTTCCGGCTTTCTTTACTTTCCTCACTGAATCACAACGACATCCTCTGGTGTCGGAACCAACGCAACGAATACGACGCGATACTCCTGTCACAACGTCACAAAAGGACCATATCAACTTAACTTCTTTCCCACCTGTGTTCTTGCCGCGGCGCCAGCGACTCTGTCACCTCGTCCACACCCGCGCCGTCCCAGTGAGTCTCCGGCCTACGGGAAATCTTCTTCATGCTCCCGGCTAGGCTAACATATGCAGATACAGCATTGTGACTTACACTGTACCTGTGAAGTGTCCTCGACGASATGTCTGCGATGCACGGTGCCGCTAGTGCAGACGCTGTATCAAGCTATGACAATGACACTGTGATGGAGGATGACGATGTAGGCCCCGGCAACAAATCGCCAGCCACACCATCAGCCGATTCTCAGATCGACGCTCAAGACAATGCTTATAGCGCTAGCGAGCTCGGCAGTAACATCGATTACGAGGCTGTTCTGGAAGGCGAGCTTAGCAAGGCTGAGATGGCAGCACTCGTAGTCCAACATGAAGAGGCCTTGGACGGTGAATTGATAATCCTCACCGTTGTTCTGTACCGCCTCACGCGCGTCAGATTCGATCACTACCAGGACGAGCTTTATCGGACACTCACTGGACAAGCTTGATAGAATTCTGAGCCAGGCTACGGGAACTATCAAGGCCTCTCAAAACCCCGCTAGACGGATGTGCGACATCAGAGACCATCCCGCCGCCCAAGACCCGAATAGAAGCTGGCGCAGCTTGCCTCTCAGACGTGTCCGGGAGGACATGACACAGGACGACTGGGCTCGCTTCACCGAGGACTTCTCGAACGCCGCTGTTGTGGATGTCGGCATGATGACATGTACTGTCCGAGGCCCGCTGGAACTCATCGTTGACGATATCAAGCGCCGCAACCTGCCACCTGATCCCTTTGCCCACGATGAGCAGGATATTCGCGAGGCTCTTTCGGGCTTGAGCGAGGAAGAGTTGTTCGATGAGGATGCCAAGATCAGCAACTTGCTCTGCAGGTCTATCAATGGCCTCAAGATCCTCGTCGACGCCCTGAATGATCTGCACCAACGCGTCGCCCGCACACGTTGCGAGGTCCACGTCGCTCTTGATGTCTGTCGACGTACGGACCCACTCTACAACCAGCGTCCGCTGAATGAGCAACTTGGGATCTCAAAATCGCTCCTCATGCGGGCTGTTTCTGACACGGAGCCCATACAAACCAACAAGCGACAAAACGAGGCGCTTTGGTCACAGTGTGCGTTCGTGCCTCAGAGCACGCGTCTTACCTTACTTGCGCAGAGCCTTGATTCCATTACCCTCGTTCGCAACTCTGCCTTTGCATTGAGTAGCCACGCGCGTGGATACGTCGAAAAAGACCAACGTGACTTCCGGCGACGCGAAGACGAGGCGCTCGATCGAGCTCGGCAGCAACACCCGCGCTACGAATTCCTCGAGCGTCGTGTCTCTCTACCGGTTGACGACGAAGACTGGTGAAGATAACGTTGCGATGATGAGATCCGTGCTGGAAACGACAACAGGTAGCGTTTCGAGGGTGACAAGCGAGCCCTTCCACCGACAGAAAGGCTGTTGTCTGCAACTAGCTACCATAAGCTCAGGGCGATGGAACGCTTACAAGAGCGAAGTCCTTTAGCTGTGGCTTCATTGTTTGCAGGCGAGAAGGAAGCGTGCAGAAAGCCGAGCTCCGAACACTTGAACGTAGGTTGATAGTGATCTCTCCTCACAATTTCTCTGTTTTTACGTCGCTGGGCTCTGTCGTGGTGAAGCTACAGACGGTCTAAGCGTACTTTCATCGCGCTGTGTCCTGTTCTCTTTGCACTCTCACATATGGTCTGTCTGTCGTAGTTGACATGTGACGTTTCATGATTGACATGTGAACATTCCCTTCTTGGCATCACGTACATCACACGCGCGGTGGTCCGTGCGCATTTTCTTCCACGGCCTTCTTTTGTTTGCGACTGCCTGGCGCTTCACTTCTTCGACATCAACATCCGCGACATCATCCACATTGCACTCACCGCGWAACTCCATCCGCCACTCCTCCTCAACGACGCCAATCCTGCACAACGCAGCACAACACAGCATCAGACAGCAGCATAGCCGACAACACGGCCGATCGCAAGCAGAAGCACTTCAATAAATACGGCAACACATCTGCAGCGAGTCCAGTACTCGTCACAGTGGCGTCCGGTACATCACCCACATAACGCATGGCCTGCGCGATAGCAGCCTCCCGCACTTGGTCGAAGACTTTCTCTGGTCTTCCAACCTACCGCAATGTGTCAGCTGTATGCAGTCGGCCAGGATGGCAATCGATACCTTGCGGTAAAATGTTGTCTTTGCAACGTTGTACGACCCTTGTAGGCATGCGCTCTCGAGTCGGAGAATGAATGCGTGTCTGGGGCTCCGATGCAGCTGTTTGGATTTGTTTTGTCTGGAAAGGCGCTGCATCATCCGGAGCTAAGATGTCGGGCGTATGCATCAAGTTCGAGGCTGGATCCGAGCGATCTCGTACGCCCAGGACTTCCTCATTTGTCTCCAAAGAGGGTGGCGGTGTCAAGATGGTATGCTCTTCGTTTGTGTTATTGTTAGGAGACAGGGTACGAATACGCTTATTGGAGGGCCGGGAGCTGGAGAAACTGAGTGCAGAGCTGTCGATATTAAGAAATCATCAAAAAGAGCAGCGCCCTGACCTGCCCTCTCGATCGATTAACGGCCACTCTGCTAGTAGCAGGGATTCTAACGGGCTCCAAATTATCGAGCTTGTAGAGAGCGAGAGACCTTTAGGACATTATAAAACATAACTTAGGATGCCTTATCCTAATGAATAATCCTTATATCGACAGCTCTGACTAAGTGAGGCGAAGTGCGCCTATGCAATATTGGCATGTGACTTGGCCAAACTTGCACGCTTGGCAGTACAGGCAGCATGGCTCGGAGGCGTGTGGATAGTGCATAATCCAGAGCTGTCGATATGAGCATTATTCGTCGGGATGAGACACTTTTTATCGTCTTTATAACGTTTCTAGGCCTTGCTCTCCGTATATATAACGACTCTAGAGCTGCTAGAACCTTTATTGCTAGCAAAGTGCCCTGTTGTTTAACGGAGAGGGCAGTTAAGGGCGCGGTTTCCTTAACCATTCTCTTATATCGACAGCTCTAGGTGCATCAGCCATCGCAACATAATCAGCGATGAATCAAACCGGTGACATGTTCCGAAAGGACCGAAAGGATGGAGTTGAGTAGAAGGGGACTCGAGGAAAGGTGGTGATAGTAGTGGTGGTGGTGGTGGCGGAGGTGGTTGTTGAGAAAGACAGTGGAGGGTGAAATGTGAAGTATGTGTGCGGAAGGAATTAAGGAAAGTGCGACGCGGCTTCCGCTCCCATCTTGATACCGACGACAGCAACGACCCCCAATGGAGATGTTATTGATTTCCTTGAGATGATATGTATAATTCGACGGCCAATTGGACGATGCCTCAATCAAATGTACTGTGGAGCCATGTCGGAGATCGATCAGACTAGCTCCTTCCCATCGTCGACAGGCTCTCAATGCTGTGCATTTTTGCCCCCGCATCTTGAAGCGATAGCAACATCACCCCAGCTTGTGCTTCCCACTGCTGCTGCTCAGACTGTGCTTGCACGAGCTGTGTGACTTTGTCGTCGAAAGCCTTCTTGCACGTTTCGCATACTTGCTCTCCTTCCGCTTGCTGTCAGTTGTCAAGTCCCTCAGCCCTTTCTTAAGCTCATTCTCCTTGATGGCACTGAGCTGCTCTTTCAGATCAGAGGTTCCTCCCGCCAGTGTTGTTGTGGGTCAGGCAGGTCCGTGATGGTGGCGTCACGTCTTTAGGGAGAGACGGGAGGGATCGCAGCATGCGAATTTGTTTCTTGGCCGCAGCAAGTATCTTAGCCGGCGTTGGAGCTTAGAGCTGTGAGAAAATCATTAACAAAACAGCGCCCTTAATTACCCTCTCCGTCGCATAATGGAACACTCTGCTAATAATAGTAAAAGTTCTAGCAGCTCTAGAGTTGTCCATTCTGTAGAAAGCGAGGCCTTAAGACGTTATGAAGACGACTGATGGTGTTTTGACTCGATCAACAATCGCCTTGGGTAGTTTGATGTTAACTATGACATCCGATGTGAGAGAATGTATATCTGGGATTGCTGCTTCGTTCTTGAACTTGAGAAACTTTGTAGGGTGAGGAGCGATTCCATTGAGTTCAGTCTCCTCAGCGACTTCCAAAAGTCGCCCCCATATGCCCCTTCTCCCCAAGCCCATTTTCTTTCCAACGTCACTTTCATAGTCGTCAAACATCAACTCACTAACAACGTTCTTTCATTTTACTCCTGAGCTAGGTATGTACAGCACCATGGCCCATGCACGGAAGAAGGAAACTGCATATGAGCGCAACTGCGGGTCGGAACTTCAGGACATCGCAATATTGCACGGAGCACTCCATCAACTGTCGTGTCCTCGACACACTTTGTGCGAAAACGCAAGAGAGAACCAAGACGATCACCGCGTCTGGGACCGATCAGCATGGTCAGTTGAAAGCACAAAATGCATAAGCCGCTGCTCTGGCCAGCTATCGTGCCGTCCAACAAAAGACCGATAGAGCAGATCCACAAAACCTGGTAAAGATTGCTAGTCTTGCAAACAAAAGTTTCGGATCCCTGCTCAATGTAATCGATGACAGCGTCTATGCATAGAACTGTCGAAATGAGGAATCATCAACAAGACCAGCGCCCTGAACTGCTCTCTGGATGATTCGATACGCCACTCTGCTAGTGGCAAGGATTCTAGGCCTACTAGAATCGTCGAGTCTGTAGAGAGTGAGGCCTTGGGAAATTGTAGGGACAGATAAGGATATTGTGTCCCGATGAATGATCCTCATGTGGACAGCTCTGTTCATGCAGATGCAAAACAAAAGGCTCGTCAACTGGCCTACGAGAACGACACTCTGCAGGAAACGATCGTCGAGCTTGCCAGAGAGTGCGGCTCTATCCGGGAGAACGGGATGCAACGTCCTATTCGTCTTGTATACGCGTTCAATCAAGTCAAAGAACACTTCCCAGTGCTGCCGTGGCGACTGAATGATGACTTTCCATTGCTGAAACCCATGCGCTCACATCTTATGCCGACTAGATGTGCGCTGAGAACATTCCAGATGAAAGGTTCGAACAGCGTTCCTCAATTCTGTCATTTGGTAGCGATGGTGGCGACGTAAAGCAACGACGTCCACCGCGTTGACGGCTCWCTACCTACATAGATGGTTCACTAAGTCCTCCGTTTTTCGGTGATCTTGGTCAACACCTTTGAGACATGCTGAACTTGTCTCAATCGACTCTTCACCGTTTGTAGCACAGCTCGTTGAGCTACAGCCCGTTGCCGTCGAACGAGAGATCTTCTCTGCTTCTGTGGCAATGACGAGCTATCTGCCTTTCGATGATGATGTGACCATCCTCCTTTGCCGACGCAGAATGATACCATCGCAGGTCGTGAGTTCGTACGGCTCGCAACTTCCCACTCATGACACCCGCAAGGACAATGAACATCAACAAAAGGAGTCTTGTGCAAGTCCACATGCATCGATTCGAACTTGGACAGATGCCTCAAGAGCTGAAACAAGGCCAGACCAGACCTCTGCTTGCTTGCTTGCTTGGGACAAGTCAACACCGGCAGGCAGTACCTCTGGAATTCTGATCTGTCAACTTCCCGTACGAACGGACAATAGAAGCAGGATTGCCTCCTGGGCCAAAACAAGAACAGTCACTCGATTCTTCCCATCTATCGCCCAAATCTAAACTCGGCTCTAGCAAAACGGTACAAAGCCCTGAGGAAGACCGAGTACCCAACTCCCACGCCACTCAGATCCTTTGCATAACACATTTCCGTCAATCGCACCTGCCAGGGTGGGTATCCTTGTAGCATGACCCGGCCTCCAAAGATGATGAGCAAGTCCGGCTCACCCATGACACTCTCGGAGATTTCGGCATCGATGAGTTCTTGGGAGACTTCCTCGGGGCGGATGGTACCTCGCTGACACATCTCCGTGAGAGTCTTGGTAAGATCCACGAGCGTTTGACGTCCATCAGAGGCATCGAGGAGGAGAATGGTGAGGTGGTTGGGCGAGGATGTGTTGTCGCGGCTGTCGCTTGGAGGTTCGTAGGCGGGCATGTTGGGACTGCGAAGGGAAATGGTGGGCTTGGAGGCATCTTTGGTTCCGTAGTAGCTTGTCAACGTCCGCGTGATCCTCCGGTGGAGATGGGGAAGGCTTGCTTTGAGGCTGCCTGGAGCGAATGTCAGTCTGCAACTTCCACATCAATCTTGGGGAATTATCATATCCCTACCCGTCCGCTCGTATATGCTCAACATCTTCACTCCGCTCGCCGAACYCCACGCAGCCAGCTCACTGGCATCGTCCATCAAGCCCGACAGCCCTTCACTCCCATCCTTGAGCTGCAGAATGACGGACAAATGACGTGGGATCTTGTCCAAATGCTTCACATCTCTCCGGATCAGCTCGGGGGTGCGATGGTGATAGTAGAGGATTGCGAGGGCGCGATCGAGCAGGGCGTGGTAGAAATGGCGGGTGCGGATGTGGAGGGAGAAGAGGGTGTGGATGAAGGTGAAGAGCAGTTGGTGCAGCATCTGCCGCAACGCCGGCCGTACCCGCTGTCGGTGGTGGAAGCGTTGGTCATCATCATGGTCGACATTGTCTTTCGTCTTCACTGGAGGGAGGTAAGGCTGTAGCAACTTTTCGCGTTGTGCTGGAGACAATTTCCGGCCGGTCATCGTGTCTGCATCTTGTCGAAAGGCGGTGAGCTCGCGCTGGCTCGGCATTGCTTCACTATGAGGGTGTGACTGGAGGTGTGCAACGATCAATCTATCAGTGGGTTGGGATGGGTCAGAGCAGCAATTATGAACGAACAATGTCCGTCGACATGTTGGCGGCCGGCTTAAGATTCGCGATGATCGGCGTCGTCACACTTTCCTTCTCAGCCACGCTTCCAAGCCACCGGAGACGCGTCTCGTGGCGTGAGACCGATGGAGCTGGGAGTTTGGCGGTACGGCCCGATGAGACGATCCGCTGGATAGGTATTGATGATCAATGTTAACAGGGTAATGTGATGAATAGGTAGATAGGTGGATGCTGTCTCGACGAAGAAGTGATGTGGAGGTGGAAGTCGCAGTTGAAAGGTCGCCAATAGCACGGCCGCTTGTACGACTCGCTTGTGCTTGTGATGGGACTAGAATTCTCGTCATGTGCATCCCTCTCACTGCCACTGTCATTGTAGAATCAACATGCATCTCCAAACGTCCCTTTGGTTGAATGATATGATATGCTCCTTTATACTATCCCATGCCGCTGCCGGTTCCGCCTCCAAACATGTGTGGTATCTCCAACGTCAGTCAACCCATCCTCCACTATCATTCTCATTTAATCTCCGTCTTTCCCAACGAATCTGCCAAGTCGTCAACATCCTTGTCGGTCTTTGCAGCAACAGGTTCGCTCTCCGCCTCGTCTGCCTCCTTAACAATCTTCTCCTCCTCCGCCTCCAGATCATCCTCGTCTTCATCATCTTCATCATCCTCGTCATCCTCCAACTCATCCAGCTCGTCAACACCCCACGAATCCTCATCATCCTCATCCACTCCTGGGAAGTCCTCGGCTTGCTCATCCTTCCTCTTCTCCAACACTGCCTGCAGCTTCGCAATACTCTCGTCCTCCTCCGCAAACTTGTTTCCGTTCAACTCCACACGCCTCAGTCGTGGCAATGCCGTGCCACTCGCCGCAGCATCCGAAATCGCCTTCAAGCCCTTGGTATCAATCTCGTTAAACTGCAATCTCAACACCTCCAACTTGACATTCCCCCCCTTTGCCAATGCTTCTCCGAGCATTCGTCMACCCCTCGCAGACAGCAAGCAGTCTCCCACCGCCAACTCCTTCACACCACTCCACTCCCCAACAACGGCACTCAACGTCTTCGCCGCCAAGCTCGTAAACGTGTTGTCTTGCATGTCCAACACTTCCAACTCCTTGCACTGGGATAGTCCGTGCTGCAAAAGTGTCGCCATGCCTTCCTGCCGAATGCCATTCTGCACCATCTTCACCGTCTTGACTTTGTTGTTCGCCGTGTATGCCTTGACCCACGCAGCCATACTTCCCGTCTCGAGTCTGTTCCTGCCGCAAATCACTGTCTCCAGCTCCGGAACATCTTCACCCGCTTTCCTCTTCGCCGCCTTGTTCTCCGCCAGCGATACGAGTGCCTCGGCCACAAGTGTGCCCGCCGCGGGTCCCAGGCCGTTGTTGTTGAGGTAGAGATGTTGCAGACTCGTGCACTTGCTCAAAAACGGTCGCAGCGGCYCGACGGTGTTGAGGCCAAACGCATTATCGTTCAAGTTGATGGTGTGGAGCTTGGGACATTGCAGCAGTGCGGTCAAGAGAGCATCCAGAGCCTGGGGAATCTCGGAGAGGAGGCGTCCGGTGAAGAGATCGGCGAGGTTGGCGACTTGAAGCTCGCCTTGGGTACGAAGGAGCGCAGAAAGGGCTTCCGCTGCGGGGACTCCGATGGTGTTGCCCTCGAGTTGGATTTCGGTGATGGAGTTGGGCGTTTTGAGCGGCTCGATGTGTGCTTCCAAGTCGGCCGCCGTGTCCAACTTGAGCGCGCGGCCTTTGAGCGAGAAGACGGTCATTTTCGCGAAATGTTTGTTGCAAGAGGGATGTTTTGTGGAGGGGTTGTTAGGGGAAAGATGGTTTGTTTAGATTCATGGTGGGGTCGACATAATTTGTTAGAGCCACTTTGACTTTTTTGTTGAAGATAATGAACCCCTCGCCTCGTCGGACTGTTTCACAAGAAACGAGGCCAACTGTCGGCAGTGCTGTCACTTTCGTAAAATAGTATGGAGGCCGTGTTTCTGGCTTGATGTTCCTGCAAGAAGAGAGAGATAGGATCTTCATCATTCTAAAACTCCCGAGGCTTGAACCATGCCGAGATCTTTCGAAAACTCAACTCGTCAGTCACCGCTTGTTGAATTGTCGCAAGAACCCGAGACCCAACCAGCAATGCTCTCCGGCTAGCAATCCATACATTATCAGTCTCAAGGATGTTTATGAGCCCATGTCGAGACATGGCTACCTTACTACCTTACCCCAACCCTAACTGGTCCCCACTACATATTGGCGAATCCGACCAAACAGTCGAAGCAGACAGTGTAATTATGAATACAAAGGTTAATGCTTCCCCACTTGACACGCTGGCAATGACTCGGCTAAAAAACGATCTGCTTGTTGTGGCCGAGAATGGTCAAAGCATGGCATAGCTTGGGCGAATCGATGGACCTCCAAGTCCATGCATGAGCTTTAGGTAACCCAGGTTCCATTCGAGCGACTCGGATATAAACGGAAGACTCTGCCACGGATGCTGGCGCGGGTTGCGCGGCATTTGTGAGCCAACCATATCAGCAGCTGCGATATAAAGAGAACGATTGACGCTGCCTTGGATTCCTTTTCTGCACAGCAGCAACAATGACGAGTGGAGAAGTCAGGGCGACAGCCCAGCACGGATCCGTCTATCCTCTTCCATACCAGTAAGCTCGTCTCCTTCCCGCGCCAACGACACAACACTGACTACTTTCGCCAGTGATGGAGAAAGACAGCGTCTGAAGAAGCAGCACAACGGCCTGATGGGAATCATGCACAACGAGCCCATCCACTCTCCAATCTCATCTTTGAGACCCAAGAAGATTGTGGACGTGGGCTGCGGGATAAATGCAGACATGACGATGTACTTTGCCAAACGGTTTCCCGATGCTCAGATATACGGGGTAGATTTAGCCCGCGTCGATATGCCCAGGGAGCAGATCCCTCCGAACGTGGTCTTTATCCAGGGAAACATCACCACACTCGTCAACTCCGATCCGAGACTGGCAAGCGGATCGGTGGATTTCCTATACAGTCGATTGCTCGCGTCCGGGATGCAGGATTGGAGGGCATACATCCAGTGCGTAACCTCTCTCCTTCGAGCGGGTGGTATCCTCGAGATGCACGACCTTGCAGGCCTCACTTTGATGGAGGGCGAGGTGCCTGCTTTCGAGGAATCAAAGTGGAGTAGGTACTACCGCGAAAACGGTGTGAAGAAGTTGGGTTTGGACATGGAATTCGACAARGCCGACGTCATCATGAAAGGCCTCGGGTTGAAGGACGTAAGCATCAAGCAGTATCGCCTACCGTGGGGAGCGGCAAAGGAAGAATCAGAGCATGCATGGGACTCCGAGGGTAGAGCACAGTGGTATGCCGCATTGGTCATGTTCATGACGAATCTGGTATCGGATGAGGAGCAGGCTGTACGAGACGAGATCCTGGCCGAGTTCCATGGACAGGCTTCCCCGCCGCGGGAGGGATTGTATTTCCCATTTTACGTTGCTTGGGGAAGCAAGCCATGAGCGGTGCTGTGGAGGGTGAGATGGTCGCAGGGTTCCGAGAGTGAGGCGGGTTCAATCTTTGTAGATACTGGCGCTTTCAAACAGGGCGACGATCACCAGTCTGTCAACGATCGAGCATCACGTAGTTATTGTCATGTTCAGTCAAAGGAAGAAGATGCCTCGTGGAATGTCTCGAGGATCTCGCGCTAGAACAACCCTGCCGGCGATCTCTTGGCAATAAACTTCATGTCGCCGCCGCCTCTCTCACCCATCACCCAAACAATCATTTGGTCGCACTTGCAAACACCGGCACTCCACCACACACCAGAGATCGCCGCAATGACATCTCTCAAGCGATCTCATGCTGCGACTGGCGAGGGTACAACATTGTCCAGCAAGACATATCTCCGCACCCTCAAATCTGGAAAGGTGCAAAAAGTCGTGCGCGAGCTCTACCTTCGCCAGGATATCCCGTGCTCGTCGCATCTATGCACGGTATGCATCGACTTGGCGCCTGCTGGATTCAATGGGCGAACTGAGCCGACTGTCCTCTCAGCCACTCCCGCTGGAGTGAAACAGTATCCTCAAGGCCATTACCTCGTACCCGACACGAATGCATTCCTCTCAGCAATGGATCTATTCGAGGCAGAGGGAGTTCTTCAAGATGTGGTCGTGCTCCAGACAGTGTTGGAAGAAGTTAAAAACCGCTCTCTACCTCTGTATCATCGTCTGATAGCCTTGACGAAAAATGAGGGGAACAGATTCTACGTCTTCTTCAACGATTTCAGGCTCGAGACGTATGTCGAGCGACAGTCTGGGGAGACGATCAATGACCGCAACGACCGCGCAGTCAGAAAAGCATGCTCATGGTATGGGGAGCATCTGGCGCAAGCAGTAAAGGCCCGGAACAGTGCTCGCTGCCCGGCGATTGTGATGCTGTCAGATGATAAAGAGAATCTGAGAATATCCCGAGCTGAAGGCTTGACTGCCTCAAATCTTCACGATTATGTATCGGGGCTCCCAGAAGCGGATAAGCTGCTAGATATGGTCGCATCAAGCCGAGATCAACGAGCGGCACGAGATGCACGGACACAACTTCTCTATCCAGAGTACATGACCATGTCTGCGATGATTACAGGCGTGAAGGCGGGTGTCCTCCACCAGGGAAACTTCAGTGTATCGCCATACAACTATCTCGAAGGATCTGCTCATGTCCCGGCATTCGATCGACCTTTAATAATCCAAGGACGGGAAAACAGCAACCGTGCTGTATCTGGCGATGTTGTCGTTTTGGAGGTATTACCCAAAGATCAGTGGAAAGCACCGTCAAGCAAAGTTATTGAAGAAGACGACGTCACCAAGAACGACAACGCGGAGAATGAGGACGAGTCCAGCGAGGGGATCATCACCGAAAAGGAGCGAAAAGCTTTGCAGGAAGAAGTCAAACGTGCGCATGGCAAGGTCAGCGAAGGGAAGCCTCAGCCCACTGCGAGAGTGGTTGGAGTCATCAAGCGGAATTGGCGGCAGTACGTTGGTCACATTGACAAGGACTCTGTCAAATCTGGCGCAAAGCAAAGCCGTTCCCAGCAGACCGTCTTCCTCGTTCCAATGGACAAGCGCATACCGAAGATTAGAGTACGTACCCGTCAGGCTGCTGAGCTGCTTGGAAAGCGTGTGCTGGTGACCATCGATTCTTGGGATCGCGAGTCACGCTACCCCGTTGGCCACTTCATCCGTAGTCTGGGTGAATTGGAAACCAAGGGTGCCGAGACGGAAGCGCTGCTATTGGAATGGGATGTGCAGTAYCGGCCCTTCCCCAAGACGGTACTGGACTGTCTGCCGGCTGAGGGCCATGACTGGAAAGTACCCGCAGATACTGCAGATCCGGGCTGGAACGGTCGTAAAGACTTGAGAGACCTTCTCGTATGCTCCATCGATCCTCCAGGATGTGTCGATATCGATGATGCTCTACACGCCATCAAGCTTCCCAATGGCAACTTTCAGGTCGGTGTCCACATTGCAGACGTATCGCACTTTGTCAAGCCAAACAATGCAATGGACAAGGAAGCTTCACTGCGCGGTACCACAGTCTACTTGGTCGACAAGCGGATTGACATGCTTCCCATGCTCCTGGGTACGGACTTGTGCTCGCTGAAGCCGTATGTTGAACGATACGCCTTTAGTGTTCTGTGGGAGCTGGACCAAAATGCAGACATTGTCAATGCCACCTTCACAAAGAGTGTCATCCGAAGTCGGGAGGCATTCAGCTACGAACGAGCACAACTTCGAATTGACGATGCTTCCCAGCAGGACGAACTCACCCAAGGCATGCGATACCTCATGATGCTCTCCAAGAAGCTGCGAGCGAAACGAATGGCGGCTGGAGCGTTGAACCTCGCAAGCCCAGAAGTACGCATCGAGACTGAAAGTGAGACTTCCGACCCCGTCGATGTCAAAACCAAGCAGCTCCTCGACACCAATCAATTGGTTGAAGAATTCATGCTTCTCGCCAACATCTCCGTTGCCGGAAAGAACTACGAAGCCTTCCCGCAGACCGCACTACTTCGTCGCCATGCTGCACCGCTCAAGACCAACTTTGAAGAACTCACCAACCAGCTCAAGGTCAAAAAAGGTCTCGAACTCCGCACAGACACTTCAAAGGCCCTCGCCGACAGCCTCGACACCTGCACCGATCCCACCAACCCTTTCTTCAACACCCTCGTCCGTATCCTCGCGACTCGCTGCATGATGAGCGCCGAATATTTCTGCTCTGGTACACAAGCCTACCCCGAATTCCGCCATTACGGCCTCGCATCGGAGATTTACACCCACTTCACCTCACCCATTCGAAGATATGCGGATCTCGAGGCCCACCGGCAATTAGCGGCCGCCATCGACTACGAACCGTTGGATCCCTCGCTACAATCCAAAAGCAAATTGGAGGGTGTGTGCAAGAACATCAACGTCCGCCATCGGAATGCGCAAATGGCGGGTCGCGCCAGTGTAGAGTACTACGTCGGACAGGCGTTAAAGGGGCGCATCATCGAGGAAGAAGGCTTCATCATGCGCATTTTCAGCAACGGTTTTGTGGTGTTTGTCCCACGATTCGGAATTGAAGGACTCATCCGCTTGAGAGATTTGGGTGCAGGCGGAAAGGAACCCGAAGGCGTCTTTGATGGGGAGGATTACTCATTGGAGATTAAGCGGGAGGATGGTTCAAGAAAAGTCGAGCTGTTCCAAAAAGTTCAAGTGCGAATCAGTGACGAGGCGGAGGAGAGCACTGGAAAGCGGAAGATTAAGCTCCAGTTGGTTTGAGGCATGTTGGTTGGGGGTGCATCCGAGCCACACACCAGATCGTCACCCAAGATGGGGAGTGAAGGTTTGAGGGATGGGCAGCCACGCTCATCGAGTAGGTTGGACAGCAGTCAATATTACACGCGGCGTTTAGTTAAGAGTGTGTAGGGAGGACGAGTGTAGCTGGCCAATGAATGTCACTTGGCCCGCTGGCGGATGACACGTCACACACCACTACACGTGAACGCTGTCAACGAAGAAGCATGCTCATGGAACGACATATATCAGGCGTGTCTGTCTTGTGTCATATTTGATCTTCATCATACGTTTTCATCATCCCAACCTAACCCACAGATGGACAGGGCAAGGAAGGGCATTGAGATGAGTTTGCAGACTCGTATACCGCTGATACCAAACCCCAACATTGCATACGCATTCGCATCGCATGCGCCACGCCTTTCCGGTTATCTAACTATCCACCCAACGCCAATCAACATGCAAAGCATCCAATGCAGTGCGATGCGAACTAATTCAAGAATCAAAATCGAAAGAGGGAAGCAGTAAAATCAATCTGGGTATCGTCCACGGCGTCAGGTCCCGCTATGCTATTAATGCCACCGGAAACTTCAAGAAACACAATCATGGCCCCTGAAAAGACTAGGGCAAATTGCAAACGCAAAACAACAGGCGTGTCGGCTCCAGGCGCTGTCTTGTTGGAGGGAAAGAGCCGAGAGTATGATGTTACGCGGATCGATGGAGAATGGAGAATCGAATCGATGCGTCGAGATTTCGAAATCTCTTAAAAATATGACGAGCCGCTGGTAAGCTCGCCAGACGMACGGTGTACCTGGCCGTGCAGAGTTGATATGGATGCGGTGATGTGGCGAATAATGGCGGTGTAGAAAGATCAAACCTTGATCGAGAAAGAATTGCAAGCCACGGCAATCACTGATAGCCATAATTCTGGGGCAAAGATCCAGGAGCGGACCAGCCTTGCATTCCCGGCTGCTGACCAGCACCCGTTTGTGGCGCCATGTTGAACTGACTCGGATTCTGCTGATACATGCTGCGGGCCATGCCGGCGTAAGCTTGATTGCCCATTTGGTTCATCTGCGGATATCCCATTCCCTGCGGCGGCATCTGTGGCGGCGGCATGGGTGAGTGATGTTGTTGCTGTTGCTGCTGCTGCTGGCCGTACGCCGAGACATGGGACTGCGACTGCGACAGTGGAGACGGTTGCGGCTGAGGGGGAGGCCACATCTGATTTTGATTGTAGCCGCCGTATGACGGTGTCTGACGATGTGCCGATCCGCCCATGTTCATTGCGGGAGAGCTTTGATGCATCTGAGGCTGAGCTACGCCACGATGCATGGTCTGAACAGGTGAGGTCATGGCTTGTTGCTGATGTGAGTAGCCGCCGTAGTTTTGCGCCATCATTTGTGAGCTCGACATTTGATCCTGCCCACGATGTTGACTCATACCAGCCACGGCTTGCGGGCTTTGCAAATCTTGCGGCGCCACAGTGTTCATATCGGATGCCCCTTCGGTGGTCGGTTGCTCATGTGGTCGTCGCCAGTAGTCATCGAGGTACTTGTGACGATGTTCCCGCGTTTGACTAAGCTGCTTGTTGTACTCGGCAGCCTGGCCGGCTTGCGACAGGATTTCATTAGGATTGCTAGATTGAATCCGATCGTGATATGGGGGACCCGCAATGTCCTGCCTGGGTCGAATCACGTTTCCTCCCACGCCGCCAGAGCGTAAGTCATCGGCTTGGATGTGGATCATAGACAGCGGCGCAAGCGACACTGGGCTCATTCCAGGCGGTTGACCATCAAATCCATGCCCAGTATTGCTGTAGATGATTTCGCCCTGGGGAAGAGAGGTCAAGGCGTTGGCGTGACTCGCCTCCGCAGCTGCCTGTTCTCGCGCTTTGGCAGCTCCCGGACGTTTCTCCCCAGCGGCGTCCTCCTCGGTGAAGCCCTGTTTAATGGCCTTTGCCTCCCAGTAGTCGTCCCGCACACGTCTGCCGCCTTCAATCAGACGACTGCCAAACTGCCTAAACATGGAGCGAGCCGTGACAATTGCGATTTGTCTGGACCGGTATGAGTATGGCAGGATTTCCTGTTGGATGAGGTTGTCCTTTTCCGGCTGGTTGGCGATGATCTTGAATAGCGACCGATTCTTATTGAATAGCAGATAGGAATCGCGGTAGCCCAAAACACGAGCACATTCGGTGGCAAGCATGAATAGCTTGTCGCCTCTGTTGGGGACTTGAAAGGTCCGGCACTTGTACTTGCGGCCATCTAGAGCGTATCCATCCCGCGAGACTTTTGTCTCGCCATGCTCGTCGACTTCGCGTGGCAGATATTCGTCGCCTTCTGGTCCAAGTTGATCGGTGGTATGATCGCGCACAGTCGGCAGCGCCTTGATCACCGCTGGTTTTGATGCCGACCCGGGTGTGGACCGCTGTGGCGATGCCTGACTGGGCGAGCCGTGCGGAAGCGATTGCGTGCGAATTTGCGGCGTTTGCACGGCGTGCGGGGGAACGGTGGAGGCGAACGACATTGGACTGTCGCTGGTTTTCAGTTTCGAGGCCTTGTTGGAAGCGGTCTTGGCGTCATCTGCGAGCAAATTAGCACGACATGCGCGATGAGCACCGCGGCTGGCGGACCGAACGAGACAGTTTTCATGCGGTGGGGGATGTTCATGCGGTGGCGGAGGGAGAGCTATGCTGTGGAGGAGGGGATATGCATGGTACGTACCACCTGCGCCGTCGTCTGAGGGCTCTCTGCTGCGCTTGATTCCGCGCGGACTTGGCTGCGAGAGGAGATTGGGTGCGATGGTGGTAGCTATAAGAACATGGCATCGTCAGCACGGGTTCCAGCATGAGGGCGGCCACGAGCGTGGCTGCTTGACAACCGGCTGGCCGCCGTCGCGCTGTCGCGGGCTTGCCTCGCATGCGGCGACGTGTCACACGGCATATCACGGCGACCTGGCTGGGGAGCACAGGGTGATGGCGACAGTGGGGAGATGGTCGGGGAGCTTWCAGTTGAGAATGGACGCGGGATTGACGGTCTCCTCGTCCATGGCAACGCGGTGTAATGTAGGCAGCGATGAAGAAGAGGGGCGATGCGACACGGCCAGCATCACAACCCACTACCTGGCGTGGAGGCGCCAACGGCCGGTAAAGTGCAGTCGTACAGCGCGCGGCGGGCGTCAGCGGTCGTGTCTCGAAGCGGGCGCGGAGGCGGTGAGGCGAGGTGCGCGCAAAGGGACAAAGCTCAGCCGGACGCGGGCGGTCGGCCTGTCGCTGGGAGCTGCGCGCGCGCGTCGTCGACGCGGTGGGTCTCCGCCGCTGGGTGGGTTGGGGCGGGCTTCGAGATCGATATTCGGTATGAAGGGCAAAGATCAGGGTAGAGCAAGGCCCAAGGCGCGGGTGGGCTTCTAGCTTCGAGACCAGGGAACGGCTGACGGCACGATCCCAAAGTTCCAGATAAGCTCGCGGTTATGCTGGAGAACCCTTGCCCGCCAGACCACAAACTGGGACTTGCAGTCGAGGAGATTGTGCGCCGGTGGGCAGACGGACGTGACGACGGGCGGCACGCACGCAAGGGCAAGCTGAGCTGGGCCGGGCTGGGCTGGGGCTGGGCTGGGAGCTGCAGATGGGAAGAGGTGTTTGTTGGTCGAGGGAAACGAGGGCCGACGAGCGGCGATGCGATGCGCCGAGAGCAGGCGTAGCACAAGACGACAAGGCCCGAGAAGGAATTGAATTGAGCTCCAGTTGTTTGCAAGGTCACGGTCGCAGGGCCAAGCAAAATCAAGCGCGCTTGGACCGCGCGTGCTGTGGTGGATGACGAAGGGCGATAGATGAGTGGACGATGGTGCCCCGCGCTAAGGATGCGGCAGAAATATTAGCTGTCAGCTCTCTGCGGTCTTCGTCGTCGAGCTCGCCGCCGTAAGCGCAACGACACAATCACCACCATGCCTCGCACGGGCTTCCGCAGCAACTCCTTCGTCCGGCAGCGTCGAGGAGGGGAGCGTGATGGATCGAATCAGGGTGGAGGATCGAGACGTAGCTTCACCTCAGCTGGAAGCAAGGGCGGCCGCCCCGACTACCAGGCCCGTCGACGAGATGATTATTGAATGCACTTACTGGAAGTCGGTGAGTTACGACTATACAGCGCGTGCCGTCTGATAGGCCGCCAAGTGGAGTCGCTCGCTCGCCGTGGTCGTGGTAGCGAGCGCAGCGTTATACCGCAGCGCCAGCACGCACRGGCGGGGCCACTTGTCGGTGGAGAGGCAAGGTATGTGTACTCGTGGTGCGTCTGCGCGTCTGCAGAGTCCCTCTTGTAGTGTGTGACAGTGGACAAATGGTCGCCAGGTCGAGCATAGGGCGCGAGGTCTGATTCGAGTGCCACTCCCAACTGACTCCAAGGTTGGAACTGTGATCTTCGTTCGTGGTTGAACCGCGCTCCGAGCCGTTCGATTGAGATCTCTCTGCGATCAGGATGAGGGATTGTTATTGGAACACGTTGCAGTCTGCACGAAGACGGCACCGACTGCAGAGAGGGTAACTTGCACGCGTAGACTTGCGGGGCCAATGGGCTTATAATCGCTGCACGGCCTGCCTCGCCAGTGACCTGGCCGTCCCGCCGCCAAAGCATGGTTGCGCGCCGCGTGCATGAGGTTGTATCGGATCACCGACAGCGATCGTGCTTGTCCCCCATAGCGTGGGCATAGCGTTGATAGAGAGCATCCAACCCTGCAGCAACACCTCCACCGGACGGACCGCCACAACCAACCGCAGTGCTGCATTTGCCCCCTCTGGACCACTCCCGCCCTCCATCCTCCGGCATGTTTTGCTCGCCAAACAATGCAGCACGTCAGTAATCTTCTCGCACAGTCGCCGTATTGTCGCAGCTAGAACAGAGCTATGCTCCCAAGCACGGCATGCGCCAACCAATCGAGTCCGTGGACGCACCAAACGAGGGGCGATTTCGTCACTGGGCTGCTATTTACATCGAAGCTCCTCCAACGTCTTCCCCACGCTTTACGTCCCCGTATCGCCACGATCGCACTGGTGACTGCTCTGCCCTCTGCTCTGACCCTGCTTTTCCACCACTCAAACCCATGGCGCTTCATCGCCATTCCCCCTCAAAGACGACATGATCATGGCGCAGTGTGGCTGCATGGCCCAATGCAGATAGCCGCCCGTTTTGCCTGGCTAGGTGATCGACCGTACTTCAAACCACGCGCAGGTCTCTCGCGCGGCATGAAGCTACCTCCGGCCCTTCTAGCACGTCCCGTGCCGCCCAGATGCGCATCGGGAGGGTGTGTGCTCTCGACACGTACAGACAAGATTGACACGGAATGTGGCTTGGCCGTCTTGCAGAAGTCGGGTAGCTCCTGGAGTCTATCTCATCACGGCAGCACGACCAAAAGCTATCGATGATGCAGGCACTGGTCTCTGGGGAGCTCACTTCCAACGGTATTGCACTTGGCGCTGTACCAAGTCCACATGGCATTGTTCGGGTAGCCGCTGCTGCACGTTTGCAACGTGCATGCAAACGCATATGCGTTGTGAACAGTCACCGTCCCGCTGTTGCATACGGAATCACCAGTCGGAGCTAGAGGGATGTTGCCCTTGCGCGCCGCGTCAACCTAGTCAACCTAGATGGCCAGATCATAGCTCTTGAAAGTTGAAACGCCAAAAGGCAACGCATCAGCGTCCAAACCTTGATCACACGACATCGACGGCTTCCGGCGTGCCATGCCGGCGCGGCGGACAGCTTCACTCGCCTTTCATCGTATAATGCGAGCGTTGCCGCCTACAAATGTCTCAGATGAACAACCAGCTTACGAGCATCGCTGTGGCTGAGCCAGATGATCCTGGATGACCTCTCGACACACAATGTCGCTGCAGTGAATGCCTCGATGCGGGACCTTCTGGTCGTGCTCGCAGCCTTTTATTGGCCGCTTATCATCCGAGGAACCCTGGTCGACATCACGTCGTCGATCTAAGCGCTATCTTGAATACTCCTCTTTCGGCCTGGGTTACCAGTTTTATTGCTCGAGATCACGAGGCGAAGTAGATGCAGGATTGCAAATTGCAATGCTCGAATGCATCACCACTCACCGCCATGTTTGAGAAATCAAGATCCGAACGCGTCTCTTCTTCTCAGCCCCGTCTTGCAACCAAGGTAACGTGGAGTCGTCTCTCTCAACTTCCTAGCGTGCCCGTCTCCGCATGTGTAACAAGACACCTTGCACTCTCTCCCACGCAAAGTCTACATAGTCTGGGGAACAAACCAAGGCAGCAAGTTTGCTTGAGTCATGCACGTTCGTTGGCGGCATGCCGCGACTACCGGGTTGCTACTTTGAGCGCTCGTCCAAAGGTTCATCAACATCTTCATGTCAATCCTTCCCGCTGCAGGTCTCCGACTTGCAGCATGCATGCACGTTCGAAACGCGGCGATACGTACTGTTCACGAATAGCGTCGTCAACTTTAGCCAACAGTCGACAGGGACATCAACCGGCAATTCTCCCGGAGAGTATTGTATATTATATCACATGCCAACAATTGGTAATGGCTCCACTTCACGAATTGCGCTCGCGGATCCATCCCGGCGGGTCAGAGTCGGTGATGGGTGGTCTGGCTCGGTTAACTGACAACTTGCATGCATTGTGCGATACTGTCAACGTTCCCGCTTCTCGTTGCCTTCTTTTCTGATGCGTTGGTTCCTGGAAGGCTCACGATTCTCGTCAACTTGCGTGCCGTTGCGCTGTGCGAGGAAGAGAAGCATCTCGTGTCGTGTTACTTTAACTTGCACGGGGTTGTGGGGGATCTCGGACTTGCACTACCTTACCTTACTATTGATCAGGTGGGCTTAGTTTGTCATTGTTTGTARATCTCAAATGGCATGCTTGCCGATTTTCACTCATGCAAATTGAATGTGATATAGTGCAATGCCGCCAGCTGACCTGGCGTCTCGTTTACAAGAATTGCCAAGTGGCAAGCGAGAGCGGAGCTGACATGACAGAACGAGTATTCTATGATCAGTGGGCTGTATGAAGCGGAGCCTGATGAATGTGAAAGCGAGTCATGCAATCAAGTCAAATACAGGATCAGGATATTTGATATGAAGTTTTGGCAAGTCCTCTGCTCCTGTTAAGCAGACCTAGTTAAAGCTGATTTGAACACTCACAGTGGGCTCGCAGCCAGCTGTAAGCCAAAAATGCAAAAACAGGAAAAAAAATTAAGCGTAGTCGCTTAGATGTAGGTTGCATCGATTTTATCAATTGATAGAACCACCCTACGTGAGACTGATGATAAAGTCAGTCTTTGGTGCAAGGATCCAGGCGGTTGGTAGAAGCTTACCTCGAACTCACAGCCTCCAGATATCAAGATAGAAGTCTGGCGCGCTACCATTGCGCCAGCAGGGCGAGCTGCATGTCCATGGCCACTTCTCGAAAGCGTTTAGTGCCTAGGATTTTGAAGCCGAAAATCTGTCTTGCAAATTATATCCTCCGACAAAGTGAAAGTTGATTAACCGTCTAAATCTCGTGAGCTGARCGATCATGGTGACGATGTATCGACACTGCAGTACACTTGGCGTCAGCTATACCTAGTAATCCGTGGGAACGGGTCGGTGGGAAATAAGTTTGCGGTGTCTCTTGGCAGTAGGACGTCGAATCAACAAGGCTAGTATAGAGCATAGTTTCAGCAGCTTCAACATTAAACACTGAGCACTCACCCCACTCAATCACTATCAGGCTCGTCGAGCGCCTCGTCCCTCAACTCTCCCCTCTCCTCTAGATGCTCCAAAGCATCCTCCATCGGCTCGTCGTCCGAGCCATCACTTCCTTCCTCGTCATCTACATCATCGTCCTCTGCATCATCATCCTGCTCGTCGGCATCTTGATTCATTTCTGTGTCGTCATTCTCAACGTCGTCCGCATCGTCTGCATCTTCTTCGTCAGGTTGCAGCGCCTCGCCATCATCACCCTTGACCTTCTTCGCAGGCCGCTCAGCTGCGTCGGAGCCGTGATCGATGAGGACAATAGGATCTCCATTTGTCGCTCCCGGGCCTGAGACCGCCGTGGATGCCTCTGCACCTTCATCATTCTCTCCAGGTGTAGCGGCTGCTTTCTCCTCCTTGACTTTGCGTCTGTATGCATTTCGCTTATCGCATTGAATCTCGTTGTATTCTTTGATGCGATCATTAGTGAAGTGTCCCCTGAGATGATCCACAGGACAATACGTACTCTTCAACTCCGCGTCCAGCCTAGGCAGGAACTCCTCAAGTTCAGCATCCTTCAGTGCAGCCATCACATCCTGCGGTAGAATGGTCTTCTTGCCACCCGCTTGTGCATTGTCATTGGAGCTGCGAAGTTGTTAAATATATTCTTCGAAAGATCGCCAGAGAGAAAACGCGATGCATGCTCGTCGACCTCGACCTCGTTCAAGACTCACTTGGATGCTATGTAGCTGACGAATACAGTGGCACTCTTGTGTAAAGCCAGCAGTGCGTCCTTGTGTATTTGTGTGTTGGCCGGCAAAACTCCCTTGGCGAGGCGTGCAATCATGGATTTCGGCAAGCTCAGATCCTACAAGACAGACGGTCAGCAAGCGAATTCAGACCTGCGGCCGCAAGGTCAACGTACATCGACGCTCAATCCCTCTCGCTCCTTGTCCTTGGTGGCTTTGACCGGCGGAGTTTCTGTGACATCTTCGGGTCCATTGGAAGCCGTCGAGACGTTGCTCTTTCGTCCGGGCATAACGAAGACTAGTCCGTGTCAATTCGTTGTGCGAGAGGCTGATATGCACGATTGTGGATGATGTCGGAATGATCAAGATGGAAGTTTTGTCTTGGTTCATAGGGCGACGCGATGGGGTAGTCGCGCTACGTTCGCGAACTCCGCGACTGCCGGCCCGTGCGCAATGGATCTGCCGACGAAGCGACGGCACTCTTTCCTCCCACTAAGTAACTTACCACACCTTCATCGACACCTCACACGTTGTTCATACCAAGCTTTCCATGGCTCCACGTCCAGCAGTACCACAAGCAATGTCGAATGCTTAACCATGGCCATGATACGACGCAGCGACCGGTTTTTGCCCCAGTCGGCTATGAACGGCCAGGATTTTCGACAGCACCATCCTAATTGGGTCTTATATTTCCCAGGAGTATCCACGACCGCATCTTTCTATCCTCTTAAGCTACTGGAGACACGTTTCGCGTTGTAACAAGCTTCGTGACGGTACGCCTATCGGATGGACAAGCAAAATAGCTCGTATGGAGCGCAGCGAAAGATGGCGTCCATCACTGTAGCACTGTGAGCTACGATTGTAAGAGCTTTGCGATCAAGCGGAATCGCTGCGGGTATTCCCAAGATAAGTAATACTTGTCTTCGCGACTTTAAATCTACCGTGGTWTCGTGGAAGCTAAAGATAAAAATTGATGCGAATTGTTGCCATATACTCGGCTTTGGRACATGCTTTGAGGACGAAAGTCTGTAGCACAAGTCGACAAACTTATACCTCAGAACCCCATCCCCATCTTCATCTCCATCTCCATCTCCACATACACCTCTCAACATTATTCTCCTCTCCATGCTCGCTGCACAGCGCGGAACTTCTATATTCCACAATCTTCATGCATAAGAAAAGTACGACTTATACGACGGCCTTGAAGCAGACCCAAGTATCACCTTGAGACGGGCACTTCAAAATGAGCAAGAGCTCTCCTCATTTMGGTGCCCCTTATTCAAAGGAGGACATTTTGCAAAGCATGAGTCGGCCCTCGTCGGAGACTTGGATGGGTCTTGCAACTTCGATGTGGATTCGCCAAGCGCTCAAAGACCTCCCGGAAGAAGGTTCGAGCCGAGCAGAAATGCAGAGATTACTTGAAGAGAGCGAAAGGTTTTCGCCCAAAGTCCCCAACTCTGAGGCCGCATATAATCTTACCAGGAAGGACTCGTGCGTTGATGACGATGTCGCAACCAAGGGAATGTGTGAGCCTGCCCAAGATCATGCGAGCCTGTCCCGGGATGTATCTTCAGCGCAAACGAAACATGCTGCGTTGCTTACCATACCCTCCCACCACCCCAACAAGAACTCCGTTGATGACGATTTGGACGAGACTGCAATGTTCAAGTTCGATTTGCGCGGAACCACCGGCTGTCATGAATTCAAGCTTTGGATGGACGAAGCTCCAGATTGGTTGAATCCGGTTCGTTCAATCGAGTTTCTTCACCAAACATGGATCTACACGGAGGATACTGCGACATGGTCCGCCATCAACGACAGGAGCACCTTTTCCCTCTTGTCCGACGGGAGAATCCAGATCAGGCGGCATGAAAGTCTGAGCGAAGGCGAGAAATGTCATTGTGATGATGAACCCGAACAGGACGACGACGAAACGAACTACAAAGTTCCATATACCGTGGCCGACTTTGCCCGATCTATCGCTCAAGATGACTCGGAGCTTCTTCGCTGCGCTTCTGAGTTCGTGGTATCCCGTGAATGGGACGGGCAAAAATACGAGGCCATTCTTTGTGAGAAATGTAGGATGTCTCTGTTCTATGTCCGAAGCTCTCGAGAACGAGAAATTAAGCAGGTACCGGCGCCCATGGCATGCTTACCTTCTGAACCTCCCCAAATCCCGCCTAAATCATCGGTCAGAGGCTCGAGAAAATTCTCATGGAGTAACAGTGAAACACTCCATTTCGAGCAACCGCTTGACCACCAGCCTGGCTCTCCGACACCAAGCACGCATGATGATACTTGGTTAGTGCCGTTGAAAACGAGTAATGATACTTGGCTTCTGCCATTGGAAGTGGCCTTTCCTTCGCCCATAACGACCCCGGTTACCTCTTCTCCGTCTCTGGCGTCTCCGCAAACGGTTCCGCATTCAATCCCGTACGAAGCACTTCCTGCTCCCCCATCTAACATCCCAGAGGAGAAACCAATCAGCGAAGATGTCACCGCGTCACCATCGCCTCAGGGACGGAAGAGCCTCAAAAAGTCGGAAAGGACTCTGGCCAATCGACTCTCCAAGGGCTTGTCGATGAAATTCTCAAGCCGGAACTCGGGAGGGAGGGGCAGCGATGGCTTGAATGATGAAGAGGGCGAGCCAGTGCCAGCCCGGGTTTCTAAGCGAAACTCAGGCATGTCTTTTGCTTCGTTTGCTTCCTCGGCACGGACCAGTGGTAGTAAAAGGTCCATTGGAGCGAAATTTCTTGCCGGGTTGACGGGGAGTAAGACTCCAGCTTGACTTTGAATCTTATGCACTCTCTGGGTTGGAATGTAGCTAGGTATTGATGATAAATAATGGACGACATCTCATTCACATTTTTTTGCGCCCGTTGATTTGCAAGGACCCATGATCCCACCACGTTCAGTTCATTGAGAAATGATCAGGTACATGTATCTAATGACCTGACAACGTCACGACCTCATGCTGTGTTCTCTACATTTAGCAGATGTGCCGAGATTCGAAYGGCTACACAACTTGAAAGCACCTTTTTCAAACCAAATAACTCCCAAAATCGACAATGATAGCAAGTAGTCTCCGAGCGTACCGCGAGCAGAACAAACCAAGCACGGAATTCGCTGCTCTTGCCGATTTTCTCGATGTTGAACTTCTTGAAGCCGAGAGGCGATTCCGAAGGAAAGGCCACGAGATTATTTCTCCGAGTCCTTCTATCATCAACACTGGTCTACGAGAAAGAAGTGTTCAGATGGGTCGGCGGAGAGAGATGGTGTGGGAATGTGAGAGGAACGGTGTGAGGGAACTCTGGCCGCATTACATGAGAGGGCGGAAGCGCGTCGATGGGGAGGTGTTGGATAGATTGATGGATTTGAGACCCGAGGCTAGGATTGGAGTTTTATTGGGGAAGCAGTGAGGATGAGAACTCAAGGCTTTTTATTCATTTAAGAGTTCGTAGTGTGGTGATTCTGAGCGTCGAACCACTCCCTTCAAAAATAGCTACACTCGGTGCCAGCTTGGAGATAAGCTTATGGTGATTAGCCCGCGTTCTGCGATCGCACGTGAACTCTTCTGATCTTACATTGCCGTCCGCTGTCCTGGTCTTAACTATGCTCCCGATCACCCAGTAGCGAAGCTGCTACTCCACGCGAGCCAAGCACATACAAGTACTGTCAGGTGACCCGCGTGACATCCTCCAACGTCGAGGCATTCTCTTCGGTCGCGGCACCACTGACCCGCCTGCTTGATTTCAGTCCTTTCCATCATTCCATTTCATCATCTGGCAAGACCCGGAGCTCCCAGACCAGGCACACCACTAAAGCGCTCCTCACGCTCCGTCTTGAAGTTAATTTGCACGTAAAACTGCTTGCTGTCCTCGTCGAACCATTCCCAATACTTACCATCCCGGCGATCAATCTCCCTGGCCTGAATCTTGAAGCCACACGTCTCGTACGGCTCCGCAGCCACCAGAAGGTACTGAAAGTTCTTGTCCGGAGGATCCTCGACTTTCTGCTCGTAGGCGCTCATGAAGCGAACGAGGGGAGTCACACCCTGTCCAATCTCGGGATACTGGAGGGTGAAGAGCAATCCCTCCTGTCTTGTGATGGGTTCACGGGTCTTGGTGACGCTGTATCCTGGCCGACCAATCTTCACCGTATTCCTCTTCACCTGAATGGCATTTGCGCCGGTGTAGCCTTCTCCCTCATTCTTCCTTCCCATCTGCGCATCTTTGGCGGCGCGACGTGCGAGGTTGGTTTGATGCTTGCGACCTTGGGTGTGTGCGAGATAGGAGCCATCATTCTGGTGGACCGTCAAACATAGACGACATTCGAAGCTTCCGACGTGGTTTTTGAAGAAGTAGGGATCTTTGTCCAGGTCAATCGTCTCGAGCGCGAGTTTCCGGAGACGTTCTCGCCGATCGGCATTGGTCGCGGATTGCGAGGCGACACCACCACCTCCGAATTTGGAGCCCGCTCGATTTTGATAGTCCATGGTGTGGAAGGTATGTTTTGTGCAGGTGGATGGTCGAGATGGAACAACATACCATAGGTCGACGCCAAGCCTATCAGCAGATCTGTAGGGCTGACTGTCGATCTCCGAGCCGAGCTCCTGCCGGATGCTTCGCCACCTGGACCCCTACATTCCATCACCGCATCAGCCACTCCATCTACGTCCCCTCCATTGCAACAACGCCATCACCACTCTTGCTGATAATAACACTATACCTGCATCATGCCTCCCATACCGGGCATGATGCACTGGCATAGTCTCCTCGCGAGACATGCCAAACAACTCAAGCAGGCCTTGGCCAAAGGAGCTGCCGCCATCGATGCTCAGCTCTCCGGCCAGGCCCAGCGAGCCGCCCAACTCGAGCCAATTCTGGTTCGCAACACACCCAAGCACCCGCTCCACCACCTCGCAAAGGTCCGCCAGACCCAGTCTCGATGGTACTCCACCGCTCGGCGGTCGGTGAATGAGACTGCTCGACACTTTACCTCGTCCGCAGGCCAATCCGGTGCCAAATACAATCGATCTGCCTTCCCCAAGTCCCGTGTTAGCGGGTACATTGCTCAGTCGTCTGGTCGAGCACCATTCGCATCTACGCTGCGGCCGAACCTGACGGGTGGATCACTGGGACGGACTGCCGGCGGATATGCCCTCGGCGTTTCGGGTCGTGTAGGAGGAGCTCGTTTCTTCTCCCACACCCCCGCCAGCAATGCACACGTCATCCAGAATGTCTCCCAGGCCGTCCGAGCATTCTTCATCTCCGGTCAGAAAGCACAATTTGATGGTATGGGTTCCAACGGTGAGAAGCGCTTCAAGGCTGTCTCTACCCTCCAAGAAGAGACGGGCCGCAAGATGCGCTCTCTCCCCAAGGCCACCCCTGGCTCCCGGATTGAGTTCCTGGTCAACCCAACCATCACCGCCTTCACTCCCCTTGGCGCCGTCGCAGGCTACTCCATGTCTTCGGACTCCCTGGAGCATGTCGACCACTTGAACACCGACGGTCTGGTTAATGCCCTCTCCGTCGACTTTTCTCGTGCTCTCAAAGATCTTGCGGCAGTCCTCAATGACCTCAAACGGCTCTCCGCATTGGGAGATCTTCCCATCACGTACGAGGGATCCAGCTTATGCGTCCACTTCCCCGGCTGCGACGCCGAAAGTGTAGAGCGTCTTTGCGAGGGACTCAACGTTCAACGCGGGAATGTTATCCAAGATGAGGCGTTTGACTCTTTCGCCGGGACTGAGATTGCCATGTTGTTTCCCTTCGCCCCGGGTGAAGCTTCGGAATCCGATGGCGCTGAGTTCTACTGCGAGCCCGTCAAGATGCCGCAACGACACGTCATCAGTCTAGACGATATGATTACCCCGTCACACACCGCCAGCGAAGGTGACTACTCCACACGGTCTGAAAGCGGTTATGTCGACATCCTCGCGGAGGAGGCTGAGCAGCATCACAATCCATGGATGTCATCCAAAGGTAGCTATCAATCGATCCACTCTGGGAGTTACGGATCCGAGAAGCACAGTCCATTGGAGTACCAAGGATTTGAAGGCATCTACAGGTTCATTGAGGAACTAGATGCCGTTCGAAATTGAGAAGCAATTTATTGGGAATGGCGTTTTTACCTGGAAGGGAATGAACGATAACATGGCTACTACCTTGAGGCTAAGACTGATATCCCCCCCACTCTCCCGCAAACTCGACAGATACTGCGGGCACGAAATGCGTTTTGTTTCCTTTCCTATGTAGACAGACGAAATCGAAAGGAAACCTTCGATGTTACATTGTTCATCTTGAACTTCGATAGACTTAATTCAGGTGATGGTGGCAGTGTCACGCTGCGTGAGAGATGTATCAGATGAGGATTTCATTGCGAGCCGCTTGCTTCCACCACGTCTCGGTCTGCAACCTGTTGAATCGTCTCGTACCACGGCTGCATACACACTCACTTCACCAATCGATGTGTACCCCTTCTCACTTCCTAACTCCGTCTACAGACAATAAAGCTCGGCAAACGAACCTCATATCCCACGTCCCTTCTCGATGCTCATCATCACTGGTCCTCACCAACGCTTCATAGTCCAATTTCAACGGATTCAACCACTCCGTCGCCAATTCCAACGCTTCGCGCTCAGCTTTCTTCGTCGCTGATACCGGTCTAGCGGGATTTTCATTGGTCGACGGAATCGCAACCACCAGTTTTCCCTGGGAATCTGCTTTCGTCTTGGGCGGGAGACCTCTCATGCGTAAGAGCATGATTAGAAGGTCTGCAAAGTGGGATCCTTGAGGCCATAATGGTGGAGATTCGGTTTCTCTGTCGTTCGTTTCGATCTCGTGGAAGAATTCTGCCATGCGCTCGATACAGTTTAGTAAAAGGACTGAGGCAATGAAAGTCCCAAATCGGGATACTTGTTGGCGTTGGAGGAGTCGGCGTTCCAGCTCATTCGTGATGGATTTGCCGAGAGTTGCGCTRCGGGACTCGAGAGATGACAGGATTTGGGCGCGCAATATGGGTATGTTTTGAGGGAGCAGCTCGGGATGTGATTCTTCCGGAGGCAGTCGGATGTGAATCTCGGAATCATCTTTTCGAGTCAAAATCCTAGTCAAAATCCAGAGTTCGACGACGTTGCGGAGAAGTTGGTGTTGGAATGTGTAGCTTGTGCGTGCAGAGTTCGTGGAGAGGGGATCTGATGTTGTTGCCTCGCTCTCTTCTTCACGCAGTAAAGTCTGGGCATGTTGAAGAGTGGCCTTTAGGAAATGAGAGGGCTCATGGTCGATATGACAATCAAACAAACGGCCGATGTGCTCCTCGAGCTTGGACGACACAACAGCATCTTCTTCCAGGAGATACACCGGAGGACTCTCCATGTGCGCTTCAAACTGGGCTCGCAATACTAGGTCCGGATCGTCACCACCGTATGCATTCCTTGCGTTTTGTTGTCGAGCCAGGTTGTTTTGGTTGTACCTCCTCGCGGGAAGACTGATGTAGGAGTCACTGCCTGAAGAGAGCCGTACCTCGATTGCAGCGTCGATCGAAATATCTTCCAAGCCTTGAGATGCACCGGCTACTGCGCTCTGGGCTCTATTGGTGAATAATGCAGCAGACCACAAGGTGAATTCGTCCGCCAGTCTTGTCCGCAAACACGACCCCTTCCACAGGCGGGCAGATCCTACAACTTTACAAGCATTGCATGGTGTACCTTCCGAGCACGGTTTCTTCAGCATACGACATCGGATACAGGCCCCACGCTTACGGGTTTCTTGGACCTCTTTCCGACGATCGTCCGAGAACCTGCTGCGTACCTTGGTGTCATTTCGAAGAGGTCCAAAACCGGACATGGGTTGGTTAGATGCCGCCATAGCATCGGAAAGACTGCTCGGGAAGGTGTGCGCAACTGTGACACCATCTTTTGGGAGGAAACTCATGGGTTTCTTCGCCTTTGCCATGATGTTCCGGAGACTGTGAGATGATGGATACAACTCAATCGGACCGTTGCTTGAGACCCACGACATTGGCTCATGGTCGTCGTCAGCAGGTAGGCTGGTAAATCCAATGGGCCTGGAAATAAACTGTGAGATTCCTGGTGGCGAAGTATGGGTAGAGTCTGCTTCGGATGGCTTGTGCGAGTCGAGCTCCTCTCTCCTGTGCGCATCGTGACTTTCTAGMGCAGGGTCAAGATTGTCCTGCCGTACTATCTGCTCTAGCTGCTCAGTTGCGGCGGATGCTGTTTCCACTAGCGGTGCCGCCGAGCTGGTATTCAGCGTAGAAGCATGGAATGTGGACGACTGCGCATCTTCAGCATTGGGAGCGGCTGGTGCTGCATCGACTGCTTCTCTGAGCTGGGAATACAATTGCCCGTATGGATTTTGTTGGTCGACCTCAGGCGTCTTCGGTTCAACTTCGACATCCTGGCGGGATTGGACATGGGCAGAAATGTCGAGCTGCCGTCTTGAAACTTCGGCCAGTGTGTCAAGTGCAGACTGTTGCTGCACTTGATGGAGTACTGGTGATAGCGTTTCTCCTTGCACTTCTGATTCCTTGCCATTGTCCGCCAAGCCAGTGGATGGAGGGTTCTCGTCTTCCCGAGAAGGAGCTGTTGGATTCTGTTGTTGAATTGATCGATAGATGAAGGTTCGCTCAAGCTGACTTGTGTGAGAGCAGCGCCGTAGCAGATGGCTCATCAGGCTATCGACCCTGCCTTTGGGGAAGTTTTCTCCGCATCTTTTGCTGTTGATCTGTCAGTCCACGCTGAGAAGTCTCAATGTAGCATCTTCCCGAATGGACTGAACCCCAAATCCCAGCCGCTATTGCTTCACGCATACAAAGAAATGAGACCGATAAGGTGATACGCCATCCTTCACTGCCTTTCTTGAGGGTGGTGAAGAATGATCAAGACCTACCAAGTGTGGGAGTATCTGTTGCTAGTGTCGGAGCATTTGGCGCCCCTTGCAAAGTATTCGCTGGAAGACGGTCAGCCGTCGAACGGGCGCTTCCAGGACAATAGATACGCGCCTGACAAGCGCATTCGGCCTGCGGCCCATGACGGGCCTCGTTCAATGAGATGGTCGGCAGAATCGTTGGTATGGAAGGTTGGCGGTAATGGGCTGCGGTGGGAAGGCGGTGTAGCTCGGAAAAAGTGCCGTGAACTGCAACATCAGGGTCCAGCGGGAAGTCCCGTCCGGTACCTTATGCTCACACCAAATTCTGCTTTCCGACTTCACGCCAGCGGTTACCCTTACCTTCCATACTTCCCTCTAGGCCGAGGAACCTAATGGCTACCTCAACGGAGAGATGCTCAAGCAGTTCTTCGATGTCTCGGGAGATCTTCCCAACTTTGTTTGAAACAAGGGTAAGTCCTAGCGATTGTGATCTCGACAGGTTCATCGCTGACACTAGAAGAAGGTCAAGAGCGTCGTCTCAACAATTGGTACAAACGGCCATCCTACAACCCCTACGCTATGGTGCTGCCGCGTTGGCAGGAGATCTTGCTGTCCAATTCCAGACAGCCTCTTGGCGAAAACACTAACGGTGTGAACACATATAAGGGGATCGATGTTGCTGATGAGGCGATCCAAGGAGGCATGTGGAATGTTCGACCGTATGAGTAAATGTTTCTCATTTGCGCCTCGACATGATTGATCTGGCAGATGTACGCCCTTCTCGCAGTTACCTCCCGACAGGTGCACAGTAGACGACACCATGTTTGGGTGGTCGTAATGATCTTTATACAAATGGCGAMGAAGCAAGACTTTTTTTGTTTCGGGCACCGTGATCTCGCTACACGGACGTTCAGAATGGCAGCTCGGTGCCAACAAGGGGACCGAATCCTCCGCACCCGACGATATTGACACCCGGATACTTTCTGTGGCGTAGTCAGCACTGCGAAGTTTCCGTCCACCTGAGGCTAGGTTTCACTTACATGTGTGCCAAGTTGATGCCGACCACACCAATGGCGAACTGCGAGTAGTTGCCTGGAGGGAAAGATGATTGTTAGTGAGACAAGCCTGTTGAGACACAACGACACACTCACAATCTGTCGGCTCCTGACCATGGCATTGAAATGTTGTAGTGACGGCGGAGTTGTTGCCGGGCCCTGCTTCGAACCAATACTCGTTGCGAGGATGGCGGTATCCCTCCTGGGTAGTAAGAATTTGAGGAACGCCATCTACAGCAAATTAGCAATCCTGCTTGCGAAAGATCTTCTAACAAACAGCCTACCATCAGCGTGGGTAACGCGGTGGTAGTTGCCAACGCATGTATCCGAAGAGCCGGAGAGTTTATCCACAAGGTCTGCAAACGCCGGGTTGCCAACACGGAATTGCCCGTAGGTGTAAGCGGCACGAATCTTATAACCTTGGCTTGCGAGCCCGTTGTATGCAAACTGTGCAATGGCCGCACCCAAGCTGTGACCGACAATCACGAACTTGTAGTTGGGATACTGAGCAATGGCCTGATCGAGGACTTCCTTGGCTTGAGGCTCTATACCATTCCATGCGTTCAAAACCCCTGCGTGGACTTTACAATCTGGGCAGTAAATTCCAGACGAGTTATATGGCACCATGATACTCCCGAGGTCTGTTAATAGATCGCCGAGACTTGCAGTACCGGGGAAAGCCATGACGAGTTCGCGGTCAGTGTCTGATCGGAAGAGGGTCATTTCGGTATCTGGGTTGGAGTTTGCAAATCCCTGGACTACGGTATTGCTTGGAGGATTCTGGCATGGTGCCTCTGGGTAGGTGGGAGCATAGCGGCCGTAGTACAGGAGCTCCTGATAGAGTGTTTCCGAGACTGTTGTCAAGTTAGGTATGAAGTTCCAATGTTGAAAATGGAGCTCTCACCTTGTGTCTTGGGCTTTGACTGCCGCGGGATTATTACAGCAGCAGCGTTGGTAAAAGTAGAGGCGAGCAGAGCCGCAACACAAGAGCTGGTTCTCATGACTGTTAGCAAGGATTATGACCAGGATGTGAGGAGCGGTAGTGTGTCCACTCTTGGTGTCTTACAGGCTGTGGAGGTAGTGAATGTCTACAACTTGATTGGGTAACTTATTCAGGGCCTCGGCACTTTAGTTGCGCACTGAGGCTAGAGGGACAAGAGGGGTTCGGATTGCGTGGGATTAGTAAGATCTGCAGAGAGGCAGTTGAGTCCTGGGGAAGTGTCTGTTATATAAGCCACTGGTATGGGTGGACTTGGAACAGCTGAAAGCTGCTGTCGGTGATGTCGATGATACAATGTGTCGTTGGTGGGGACGAGATGAGAAGTATGTTGAGTGACTCTGGCCACATGACTCAGGAGCTTGAGATTGACCCTCTTACATCGGTGATGTCGAGAGTCGCTGGCAGCGCTACTACTACTTCTAAATACACATAAGAGTTCCGTTGACTGGATATGGGAGAAGGACAAGAAATAATCAGAATTCACCCGTACTCTTGCTGTTACCCATTTAGGTAATTCTTTTGGGCGATTWGTGCTTCAACCTAGGTACTTTGAGACCATTTGAATTGCTGCACATTCACCTCGCTTGCTAAAGCACGGTAAGGGACTAGTCTTGCAGTCGCGTTGCCTAGCAATGATGAGTGGTCGATGAGGACATCAATCTAGATAGCGAAGACTTTGTAAACTTCATCCAAAGTAGCTTTTGGGGAGCTACTAGTAAGATTGACCGCGTGCCACACTTCATTGCCATTTCTAAGGAAAAATTTGGTATTTCCACTGATGTTTTCCGTCTTGACTTCGATCGTAATAGTGTCTCTCAAGGAGCCGTAAAAAGTCCCGAGAATGACTCCTTCAGTGGTCAGTGTCAATCCAATGGCGAAGGAGTCGGGGTCGATAAGGAGATCGATCTAAATGAAATTAATGTTTGACTTCAATGCTGGGCTGTGAGAGGGTCGATACCTCCTCGAAGCGACGACCTGTCTCAGTCCGTATCAATCGATCGTCGTCTGCATCAGGATCGGCACCATACTCCAGTAGTCCGGTTATGCCAGGTCCTGATGATGCTTCGGGTTCTTGCTGAACAACATACGTAGAGTCGTCCATCTGTGTAGTTGAAAGCGTCTCGCCTAGCGTTTCAAGGCAATTTAGTACTCGAGTTGGATTCTAGTCCGGGAAAGACGAGCCTCACCACAAGTAGAGCCAGATTGCCTCTTGACGGAAAATTTGACGCCTCGTGGCATAGCAGCTCCAAAGAATGGGAGCAAAAGAACCATTGACGCAAGGATCGAAATGCGAGTYATTATGATGGGGAAGAAATGAGAGAGGGGAGGAATGATACCAAATAGCGACGATGGACAAAGTCTTGCATGAAGAAAAGGAAGTATGTCAGAAATACAACCTACGTCGAGAGCGCTGACTGGCCAGCTGTGTATAAGGTACTGCCTGCATACGGAGATATGGGACGAGATCGGATGGTTCGCGTTCTTGCCTCCGGCGGGTAGAAAGACGACAAGCAGCGGAGGCTTCTCCTTTCGACACCGCGGTGACGGCAGAGCGCTGGAAATCGTGAAGTGTACCTACTCCGGTGTGTACTTGTGCGTCGGATACGAGTAGCGACGGAGCGGCAAGAATAGTTCTGCTAGCCGTGCTGTACGTCGTCGCTGCAGGGGCAGTGCGCGGTTCCCCCGGGTGAGGTTCACTGGGTGCGACCAACCGGGCGGCGGCGGCCGGCAGTCAGTAAGGTAAGGTACCTTCAAGGTTGGGTGTTTCATTCGTAATCGACAAAAATACGTAAGAAGCACACCGTTACGCAACAATATGCCCCTTCGGCAACAAGTTGGCGTTAATTGTTGTATAAGACAAGCTAGTAGATCTAGGAAGCTATGCCGAGTATCCGGGCACCGACCGGTGGCTTCCAGGTTCCATTTCTCACCCGGTCGGGATCCTGCCATCAAACATTGACATTGACATTGACATTGACATTGACATTGACATTGATATTGACATTGATATTGACATTGATATTGACGGATGATTGGAACACCTGGAGCAGAAATGGAGACTACCAACACGCCTCAATCTCCTCCAGCGGACATGGACGAAGCCGCTGGGACCAAGGCGTCTGGGAAGCTCAAGCGAAGGAGACAAGGCCGGAATACGGCATGTCAAGCATGTTCGAACCTCAAAATGAAGGTTGTATCCATGGTGAATTCACGAAACAGGAGCTTCGACTGATCGCGTATCATGATAGTGTGTTGCTCAGGACAATGGCAAATGTGAGAGGTAGGTCCAGACATTGGCTTGATAGCCAGTCAATAAAGCTGCCAATAATACGCAACACTCCCTCGGTCCTCTCTCCCGAAAGGAAAGTCAATCCCATTCAGCAGTAGGATCTGAGGACATCAGCCTTTCAGCAACAGAGTGCGAGAGTGAACGTTCAAGACAATCTATGGCTGAGCACTCGACCCTCATGCGTAGTCCCATGATGTCGTCAGTAGCCGGCTACTTCAGATCAGCTCAACCATGTCAATTTGATGAGATAGTGTCAAAGGGTCTGATCTCTCATACAGATGCCACCGCGTGGACCGCGAATGCGTTCCCGCCATCCCCAAAGCGCGGAAGCGCCAAACGCTCGAAGGAGGACTTCCCGACGGGGCGGTGAATCAAAGCATTGCAACACCGAGCCGACCATCGCTATTCGACCCTCCAAGTTCAAAAGCAACATCTGTACAGCCGGTGTGTCAGGTTTAGAATGACATGGTGTACAATACTGACAGAAAGTCTATAGACCGACACGAGCGCTTTAGTCCTTCGACACGACCTATCAAATACCGGCAGCAAGACATTCTTCTCGTTGTTTTCGCGAGGTCTTGGGAGTTCTCCGGCATACGAAGATCTCCTGAAAGGAGTTGACTACAAATTCGTGGCAAACTCTTTCACCGTCTTCCAACAGTTGACACCATACTTTCCATTCGTCGAGTTATCGCCTGCCGCAGACGTGGTTGCCATGGTGGCTTATCGTCCTATCATGACGCTCGCGGTGTGTACGGTAGCATCGGGTATGTGTAGGATGGCGCGTGGTAATCCCCAACGGAAACGCTGATTCCATCTCAGCTTCTTCGCCAACAACACAAGACCGTTTGAGCCAAGCCTTCCTCTATTGTCTGTCGTTGAAGGCCATCCTCAGCGACGAGTCTAGCCTTGACCTACTCACAGGCCTACTCGTCTACCTTGCTTGGCAGCATCATTACCTTTCTCAACAACATACTTACCAAAAGCTTTGCTTGTTGGCAGGCATTGCAGGGGACCTCGGTTTGTATCAAGCTGGTTTCAGTACCACGGACAGTCCAGGAAGCAATCTCGAACGGGATCGAGCATTCGTTGGGTGTTACTATCTCTGCAGCACACTCTGTGCGACCGGGTACGACAAGCCAAACCCACTCCGTTGGACGGACAATCTTCGACCAGCAGCCGTGAACGCAAGCCGTATTGGTGCTTTGCCATCAGACCAGGAACTGACTGCTTCTCTTGAACTGACGCGAGCATTGGACGAATTCTCGGAAATTGTGAATGAACACAATGGCGAGGTGGCCACCTCAACACATTCAATGGAGCTTCATACAAAATCAACACTCCATCGAGTGAAAGCACTAAAACGAGAATATCCCTCTCTGGCCAGCTCTCTTGGATACGCGGCTGTGAATCTTCACATCTACCAACGGCTGTTGCGACTTCATCCGACACTCGATTCTTCTACCTTGATCCAATGCGCATGTGCAGTGAAAGAGTATGCCGATGAGCTTCTTTCCAGACCCGCATCGACCTTGCATCGAATTGCAATCGTAGATTGGACAAATTTCTTGGAGATCCTGCTCCTCATGGCAAAAGTCTCCAAGCCCAGTACGGGCGGTTGGGAAGCTGGAGCTTTGACGTCGATGCTGCAGCCCGAAACAGTCCTCGATGCGTTGTGTTCTCACATGGCATCCGCACCTGCAAAAGATCCGCTATCTTTCCGGCACGAGGGGTTGCTGCAGCGATTTCGAGAAGTCGGCGAAGGTATCAAGCGGCTGTTCCTCCACGATGCAGATGTGAGTGGAGAGGTCGCGGGACGCCAATCCTTGTCCTTTGATTCGTTGACCTACTTTGGTAACGGTGTTCTGGATCCACGCTTCTGGAGCAGTCTGAGGAGTGGATATTGAGTCTGCAGGCATGTGCTTGATGTTAGAGCTTACCGCATTGCCCTCCTCATTTCCTAGATTCAACCTGAACCTAGAATACGACTGTAGCGCACTGTCCATTCACACATGATCGTAAGTACCACATGCTCATGATGATGTTGACGAGCGTTCGTCATGAGATAGGGAACTACAGTGAACGGTCGATACACAAATCTTCACGAGACTTGGCTTGAGCATGCTCTGGCTGGAGACAGAGATGCCGCAATCGTCCTGTCAATCTGCGAAGACGATGGACAAGACCATGAGGCGCATCTTGCCCACTGGCGAACCTCTTGGTGATACACTCACTCTCAGGATATTCGTTTCCAGGGACGGCAAATGTGCCACACGTAGAAAGTTCCTCGGCCAATGCTTATATCTGAAGCTTAAAGTCATGGTCGAAGGCAGAGATGTCAGGGTCAAACTGTGGAGGCTGCCTGGGAACGACAATCCATACAGCGTTGAAGGGGCATGGAATGCGTCGTCTGCAACAGGCTTGACCCAGAGCGAGACCTGTGAACTCGGGATCTTTGACTCGCAGTATCCGCAGCCATCCACCAACAAGAAGTAAGTTCGCAATCGGAGCCTATAAGCAATCGTATGGCAGGTCGATCGCCTATTCACAACTGCGGGCCATCGAAGAAGAGATGAAGGCGTAGCTGAGATGAATATGGTTCGGTATGGCTGAACAAATCATTGAAACTTGAACAGCTTTGAAGGATACACCGATTCCAACGAACCTGACAGTGCTGGGCAAAAGCTGGACATCAATCAGCAGCACCTTCACCGACACGACCTCATCAAGCACGTCACTTTGAAGCTCCATCCTTCGTGCAGAATCGTGCGCATAATCTCAAAATCGTATGGATATTCGTTGAGGTTACGCAGCTACCATTCGTTGTTAGTGACTCACGGGATGCAGGACCGAGCGCGAGCGGAAACTATCGTCCGGAATGCGACTGAGCTTTATATGGTTTCGGAAGACGCTGTGCGGTTTCGCGGGCGGCTCGATATGGRACTAGTGTGGTGTCAGATGCATGAAGCGAAGGATGAAAAGACGCATCTCCAGCAGAAGTTCTGATGATGGCATCCAGACCATATCGAGCGTCGTCATGGATCTTACTGCTCATGCAGGAAGGATATGTCGAGACTCGAGAGCAAATGGACGAGTAGTGTTGGGTGTGAACGTGTACTTTGCTGACTGATCGCAGCGTTGTATCGGATGAACCTAATTTCGAGCATGGTTCAACCGTTGTCCATATGCAGGTCGCGGGATTGCGCGGTCAACAATCGCAGCTTGACTATCTTTCATCCTGAGCTTTTCTGTTTTGCGCAGATACGTTCCGACCTTTGCCTGCTCTCGAAAATGCTAGAGCATACACGATCACCACCATTGTGACCCATAGCTGGGTCTACGCTGCAATAATCCATCTCCTGGTGCTACCCCTTTGCGCCGAAAATGCCTCACGAGGATCATCTCCCGTTGTTCAAGAGCCCTCTGCTCCATAAACAGCAGACTACTTCTCGAGGGCATTCAGAAGACTCCACCGCAGGCGAACCTGAACCAAAAGGAGATTCCCAGTCGACAAATGAAGAAGACGCCTTTCTCGACAGTCCACAGTTCCACCGACATAATGAAACCACAAACTCGGAACTCTTCTACGATCTCTTCTTTGTTGCCAACCTCTCCGTCTTCTTGACTGTACATGAGGTTCGTCTCCTGGAGGTATCAGGCATTTTGGATTCCTGGCTGACAGCCGTCTTCAGGTGAACGACAGCGAAACCCTCAAACAGGCAGCTGGATTCTTCTGTGTCCTGTGGTTCACTTGGTATCAAGTCAGTCTTTATGATGTTCGATTCTGTGAGCTACATCCTTTTGTTTAGGTGATTCTCGTCTCGATCTGACCAGCCATTAGCAATGGATTCTGCATACGACCGTGTCATGAAAGTTGTACAGTTCATGTAAGATTCCTCTGCGAATATGGTCAGCGGTAGTTCCATCGACTATTATCACGACATCTAGATCAATCGAAGAGCTGCACATTCGCTAACGCAGCTCACAGGGTGATGGTCGGATTCTGTATTGTAGGACCCAAATTCGACGCGGGCCAGAAACCAGACTTGTCGACACAGTACAGTGAGTTTGCAAAGGTTCTACCACTGGGCTACTTTGTGAGTTGGACACACACGGAGAGGGACTGGAGAGTATCATCGCCTAATGCCATGATAGAAAGCTCTCACCTTGATCTTGATGGCGAGCCGCATCAGCTTGGTACTCCAATATCTCCAATCCATGTGGTTCACTCGGAAATACAAGCAAATGCTTGTGCCCATGGGATGCATTGCTTTGACCTATTTCATCGCTGCAATGGCATACCTGGGTCTTTTCTGGTCCTTTAAGCTTGATGCCAAAGGAGAGAACCACACTTATCTGGTCTGGTACGTGGTTGCAGTGTTGGAGACAATCGTTGCAACCACTATATCTTGTGTGTGGAGAAACGTCTCTTTCAAAGGCACACATCTTGTACAGCGAATGGTAAGCAACATCATGTCCTTGTCATGTGGGTTCTACTCATCATTCACAGTCACTCCTGACCCTCATCATTCTGGGGGAGGGCATCATTGGTCTTGCAAAACGATGCCAACGAATCGTTCAATCCGATGGAGGTCTTCAAATTGGTGTTCCATCAACCGTCGCAAACGTCGTCTGCGGGGTGCTCATCATCTACTTTATATATATGATCTACTTTGACTGGATGGAGGAAAAGCGACACTTTGGCACAATTCGGCAACAAATCTGGTACGTTCCCTCCTGCAATCACTCCTCTGCATGAGCTCACAATCTCCCCTCTCCATCTAGGTCGTTCCTCCACTTTCCACTCCACCTCGCTCTTGTTCTCGCCCTTGAAGGTATGTCTCAATGTATCGCATGGCGGGYAGCAGTCGAAGAAACAGATACATATGCAAGACAAGCCGCAATCTGGAAATCCAAGCTCGAACCCGGCATACCGCTCGCAGAACTACGGCACCTCAGCGAAGATGTCTACCTCACCACGACGGCCTACCTCTACGCCTCATTGCAGACATCGATGGGATACCAAGAGACGCTGGAATACACGGGCAACCTGGCGGATTCAGCAAACGCCTTGGCTGCCATGTCCAATGGCACTGAGAATTTCGAAGCCGCGGATAACGCGTTTGAATGGATGTATCGCATCACCAACCGCGCGATTTACAACATTGCGGGATTCGCGCCTCCTGTGAATGAAACGGAGGTCAACGAGTATCTTGGGATGAAGCTGGACTTTACTGATGAGAATGCCGTGGAGGAAGCCAACGCGCAGTTGAGAAGGATCGGACCAATCTTTGCTCTCACATATGCAAGTTTTCTCCCAACTCGTTCAAATGTGTATCTCTCCTTTACTGACAAATAAACGTCTCACAGGTCTATTTCTTCATCGCAATCGGTCTGGTGATAATGATTTGCTGTTTAATGGCAACACTAAGCAACAGGAAGAAGTCCCAATACCACATGGCTCGAATTTCTCTCAGCGGCATCATCGGACTCGGATTGTGTTTGTTGGCTACGATTGAGACGAATGCAGAGTTCGTCAACAGTTTCACGTCGAGTCCGTGGTTGATTCCCCTGGTTACGATTTGCTTGTTTGTTGGTGAGTGTGTGTTGAAATCCTTGAAATCATGGATCTTTCATGCTGACAGTACGCACAGTCGTGATGCTTAACAATATCAAGCCTGTTGTTCCAAAACTCGCTGATCGAACGCTCAATAGTCGGAGGTCGTCAACTTAGTGTTGAGCTAGGTAGTCAATAGAAATAGATGACACCATGACTTTCATCTCAACAAACACTCTCAATTGACGATGTGATTCGTCCTTGACTTCCAGTCTCGATGTCTTGAAGAAATGATCTTTAGGGTTAGGGTTGGGGTAGTGTAATGAAAGCAACAGCGCCAATGTCTCCAACAATGAGGTACATCGGGGTGGAGAAGAATCAGCAGGAAGAATGTACTCTTCCACGTTCGTGTACTGTACCGACGTACAAACGAGGTGCGTCTACTGTCGTTCAAGACTGACTTTGAATGATGAAGGTTGACATAAAGTCAACGCCGTTCAAATAAGCATCATCAGCCGTCARCACGAGCACGAGGTGGAACAATGGTAGCTTTACAGAAACAAGAAAAGCAGCTGCCAAGCCACCTTCCAGTATCCATGTTGTTTTATGTGTGAACGATCGACTAAAGCTAGTATTTCTCTCCCATCAGCTTTCGCCCATTGTCCAGGCCAGTCCGCATACATTCAGCGAAGAGTGACGAAGCTTGTCCAGTCATTAACGAAGGTGACGGGAGATCGCGACAAGAAAGCAAGGAGTCGTGGAACTCAGCAACCTATCTTCGACAATCCACACGGGGCTCTAATCGCTGGTCTCAAGCAGGTGTAGTTGCCGCAGCACGCTTTGCGAGCGGACGAAAGTCATTCGAGACTGCTGCTGCCGAGGGCGCAATGGGACTGACCGATTCTCGGCGGGTATATTGCCTGCTTGGTGATGATCGACCGAGTAGGGGGGCCGCCATGTATTCGTCCTGCAATCTTGCAAGTCATCGGCCTGGTCAACCAGTTTGCTCGACGAGGACGCTGCATTGATAAGACAAGCTGCGCAATACGCATAGCACTCGCTTGCTTCTGCAGGTCCAGCCGGAGTTGGCGTCTCAGCTAAGGCAGATCATGTTGTGTCTTTTGTTTACATACACCTTAGCATGTCATATGCCCAGTAGCATAATCGAGAAAAGTTGTGTGGGGTGATGAGATGAGATGCACATCACTGGATGGGTTTCTTAGATCAATCATATCCACCAATGCCGACCTGGCTCGCGAAAGCGGTGCTAACGCTGCGCGCGTCCTCATCCTCAATGGTCGATCGATGATTCCTGCCCGCGCCGATGGGAGGCTGAGGTGGACCCTGACCTTCGACGTAGCGACGAAGCTTGTCAGAGTGAGACAAGGAAGCTTGCTTGTTGAGGTCGTTGATGCTAAGGCCTGCGAGGCTGACGCCGCCTTGGCCTGGCTTGACGGATCCGTTGGTTGTGACATCTGTAATTTCACTGGCGGCAACGCTATCGCCGGCAATGGAGTCTGGGGCAGGGTGGGACTTGTCGCCAATGTGGCCATTCCGCTGGTGATCGTTGAGAGTGGGCCACGTGTTCTGAAAGCTCTGGAACATCGGTGGGTACYGACTTGGCAGCGCAGCACCACCAAGCGCAGAGGAGTGGATTGAAGAGACGTCATCAGGAATGTACCCCACAATGCTCTCAGCACCTGGTGGACCCTCTCGGCGACCGCTCATACGGTTGCCAGTGGCAGCAGCCATGTGATTGGCGTGCTGATAAGCCATCTGGTAGCGTTGTGGACCACGGTATGTGGTCTTTGGCCGACTGAACTGGAGGAGAGACACCTGAAGATTGTTGAGTGGACCTTCCACAAGGCAGTTGCGCTCCTTGAAGTGCAAAAGGAGGTAATGCCAAAGAGGGTGCTTGCTGAGCACCTTTGGGTTGCCCAGAATGACCAGACCGTACTTGGCGCGCGTGAGTGCGACGTTGAGACGACGAGGATCACTCAAGAAACCAATGCCCTGGTGGTCATTGCTTCGAACACAAGACAGCACGATGAAGTCCTTCTCTCTGCCCTGGAAGGCATCGACAGAAGCAACTTCCACCTCCTTGTAGTGCTCCTTCTTGAAGGTTCCGGTCTGTTGCATGCTCTGAACGACATACGAGCGTTGCCCTTCGTATGGAGTGATGATACCGATCGCAGAAGGGCTGACACCGGCTTTGAAGAAGCGTGTGACAATCTTTTCGACATTCTGCGCCTCGGTGCGGTTGAGGTAGGATGTACCAGACGCACTAATCTCCTCATTGCCCAGGTTAGACCAGAACATCATTGGAGAGTCTGCAACGGGCCATGGAAATGCAACATCAGGTCGCAGACGCTGTGCCATGGTGACACCATTTTGAAGGGATCCCTSGTAGAACATGTTGGATGGGAACTCGGATAGGCATGGGTGCATGCGGTATTGGACCTGCAGTCGGATTGGAGCACATCCGAGAATGACCAAACGCTCGAAGAGAGACTGGTTAAGACCGGCTTTGGCGGCCTTCTTGTTCATGATGACGGGTCCCAACTGTTGGTGATCACCGACGAGAACAACCTGCTTGCAGCCCAGTACGAGAGGAATCATACACTCCGGCTCGGCGGATTGTGTGCTCTCATCGATCAAGACAGTGCGGAACTTGAGCTTCGCTAGGCGAGGATCACCCGCGCCAACACAAGTACAGCAGATCACATCGGCATTCTGGAGAACCTCCCTCTCGGCAGAGCGTGTGAGTGCCTTGAACTTCTTCTCATCCTGGCTGGTCAGCTCGCCTTGCTCCGCCTTGAGCTGGATGAGCTTGTTTAGCTCTGGGTTGGTGTCGTTCATTTGGACCTGCCTGTGCAAGGACAGGAAACCAACGTCAGACTCGACATCCTCGCGAGATTTTGCAGTAATACGGACGACCTTCAGACCGGTAATGTGGATACGCTCACAAAGCTGATCGACTGCCACGTTTGAAGGCGCACACACCAAAACTTGACCACCATTGATCTTAGAAAGGTGGTAAATGATGGTGGCCGAGGTGACAGTCTTTCCAGTTCCGGGTGGGCCCTGAATCAGACTGAGGGGCTTTTGCAGGACAGACTTGACGGCTTGAATTTGAGAGCCGTTGAGCTCTGGCAGGTTGGGGACGCTGAACTTGCGTGGCATTTGAACTCTCATTGGCGCGGCGGCAACTTCATGTCCCAACAAGCGGTGGAAGATGTAACCTGAAACTGACATCTCATCCAAAGCAAAGGTCTTCATGGCCAGCTGCATGCGATCGAAAGATGTAGCCTTCCAGACGTAATCGGCGGTGAAATTGTGAGTACATTCAGTGGGCACTGACTTGTGGTCACCTCTAGATCGCAGCTCAATGGTCACTTCATCACTCTGGTTGTTGGGAATCTTGATGACATAGCCAACACCTTCCCAGTGCGCGCGCAGCTCTCCAGTGTATCGCAGGCGCATTTCGTCCCCGACTGCCAGCTTGACATCTCCTAGCTCGAGCTTCGGCAGGACGAAAGAGGCCAGGTGTTTGTTGTTGAGACCAAAGTCCCATCGTACGATCAAATTGTCCTGGCTCTGCGACTCCTTCAGCTTGCGGTCGTAGTCGGCCTCGATCTTGACGAGCGGGCCAAAGACGTTCTGGTATTGATAGGCGTCGTCGTAGCGGAGGAGGACAGGCGCGGGCTCATCATCGATGCCAGCGCTCTTCTCGAGATCTTGGATTGTTGCACTGCTGTTGTCCTTCCACATCTCTTCAAGCTTTGCGATGACCTGTGGCTGGAGGTGACGAGCACGCATCTGCTCTTGATCGGTTGGCGTGTTGACAAGCCACGGGAGAAATGAACGATCCTCAATCAGCGGCTGCCACTTTGAGGTGTCCCAATTCATATCCTTGCTGCTTGGCATAGCGGCGCATGGCTGACGGCAGAGCAGGACCACGACGGTGTCACTCTTGGCTGGAATGAATCCCAGCAAGAAGACATTCTTCGTGCCGCAGTTGTAGCATTCCAAAGTGGTGTCCCCAAGAGGGGAGGATGGGTGCAATTGGACCTCCTTGTGACGCGCACGAACGAGATGGTTGATGATGTGGGAGGAGGATGTATTGCCTCGCGCGGAGCAGAACCACTTGGTGCATGACAGGCACTTGACGACGGCGCCTGGGTTGTGAATACCGCAATAAGCGCAAGCATGAGCAGGCAGTTCGACCTCCTCCTCGGGTGCCGCAGCGGGTTGACCATTTGCTCCGTTCACAGCGTGGCTGGCCAGCGATTCGAGGTCATCATCATCGTAGACGTCCGTCTCATCATCGTCGCCTCCTCTGCGTCGGCGAGGGCCTCCATTCAGGTTTCCACGACCATATTCACTGTCCAAAGCGCTCTCGCCTGCGTCCAGAGTGGAGAGGTCGTCGCCTTCGTTGATGGCGGATGCCGAGTCGCCCACGAGATGGTTGGCGACGTGTGTGAAAGCGCCTTCCATGGTCGGAATGAGAGAGGGGAGCGGAAGGGAGGGAGGGGAGATGGTGTGCGGAAGGATTTCGGAGGTGGTGGCGGCGGCGGAGGGATGCGCAGTCCGAAGGGGTTAAATGACAGTCGTGCCGGTGTATCGGCGGGATCCTATGCGTGGCCTCCTCAGCCGTGGGGTGGTTGATGGCAACCGGGGGGAGTTAAAGGTTGTGCGGTCGGTGGAGGTGGAGAGATGGACAGAATAGCAAACGCTTGGGAAGCAGCGCGAGGGATCAGACAAAAGTGGGGCGGGATAAATTCCATGAATCTTTCAACTTTTGTATACCATCAACATCCACTCTGCATCACCACACAATGCAACGACGCGAGAACCGACAGCGGCGAGACTACATATATCGGAGGGCGCTGACTCTGAAGGATGCCGAAATCGCAGAGAAGCGCTCGAAATTGAAGGCGTCGCTGGCATCAGGCAAACCTTTGGATCCATCCATCGCAAACGACAAGCAGCTGCGAACCGACTACAAGTTCGATGAATCCCGAGCCGACCGCACCGCCGACGATGAACTTGAGCTGGACGACGAGTACAGCTTCCTCTCCGGAGTCGTAGACCCACGTGTGCTTGTAACCACCTCACGCGACCCAAGTAGTCGACTCGCCGCATTCGCAAAGGAGATTCGCTTGCTTCTACCCACCAGTATCCGTCTCAATCGCGGTAACCTCATTTTGCCCAACCTGGTCGGAAGCGCAAAGTCTAGCGGCCTGTCTGATGTGATTCTCCTCCACGAGCACCGTGGTACACCTACCGCAATGACCGTATCTCATCTTCCTCACGGACCCACAGCATCCTTCAGCTTACACAATGTCGTACTGCGACACGACATACCGAATGCTTCCCGTGGAACCGTGAGCGAGAGCTACCCGCATCTTATTTTCGACGGCTTCACGACCGCACTGGGAAAGCGCGTAGTGAAGATTTTACAGCACATGTTCCCTCCGCGAGAAAGCGGCGCAAAGTTGGGATCTCGGGTGGTCACCTTTAAGAATATCGAGGATAGTATTGAGGTCAGACATCATGTCTTTGTCAAGACTGGATATCAGAGTGTGGAGCTGGCTGAGGTCGGCCCACGCATGACGATGCGATTGTTCGAGATTCGACAGGGCACGGCAGAGAACAAGGATGGCGATGTGGAGTGGCATATGAACCAATACACTAGGACAAGCAAGAAGAAGGACTACTTGTGAGGCAATGGATAAGAAGGAAATGATGGACACAAAACTTGCGTAGTGCATGGTCGCAGTCGCTGTCATATCATCGCGGGGAACGACTGAACGTACGACAATTTAGATCGGGTTCAGAGCGTCGGACCCTGCTCAACAACTACACCACGTCACCCAACCGTGGACGCCACCTGGGGACGTGGAGCGCATCTATTGCATGATTCAGCATGTGTGGTCTCCGACACGAGATGACGAAGGAACGATTCAGAGTTGTCGGACCGTACTTATCATCAACGATGTCGAGGGTCCGGTCACTACGAGAAGAAGCCGATTAGCCGCAAGACCAAGAATGGTGAAAGCGGTAGTGCAGCTGGAAGGACAGAGAAAGAGGGAGAGAAGAGAGAGATCTGAGCGGTCAAGTGCGTCCATGCAGAGACGGCTTTGGTTGCATGGAGTGTCTCGATCCAATGGACTCTAGTATGAAGGAGTGCTACACAATATGTTGCTCTTGGCGAACAATGGTTTGTATCYCAGTACCATGAAAACAAACCACCTACACATCGTCGTCGTACTATCGGAAGTTTTCCGCCCTCTCGAGTTCGAGCATTCTGGCGCTTGTGCGTTGGCAGCGAATCAGCTTTTGCAAAACTATAGCGAAAGTAGGTCCTTGGCTATAGGAAACAACTCTAGGTACAAGGACACACGATGTACTCTCTTCTTGCTTCACATGTTGCCTCGCAAGATCCGGATGAGGTTTCAAGTAAGGTAATGTGATCGTGCGCTGATCGGCTAGGATCGGTCCCGCGATGTGGAAAGGGTCCAAGTGCAAGGGGCACATCACTGTGCATGGGCATGGATGGATCCACTACATGGCCCCACATCCTCTCCACCTCTATCGGTGGAATCAAGACACCTCGTCGCCTGTTGTATGCACGTGGGGAGAACGGGGTAAAACAGGGTCCTTGGGCAGCAGCATACTGGAAGCAACGGCCAGCACACCGCCTTGAATCAGCGTCGAGTCGTCGACAGCGCTCCGTATTGTAGGAGACGCTAGGATCCTTCTGTCCTCGGCACTTCTTGGGAGATTACCTTTGGTTCCAGTCTCGAGCCCGTACCAATCCTGGCGATATTCGCTCACTTCGCGGCGCATACTGTGCCCACTGTCGATTGCTTTCCGACTCGCCAACATACCCCTCCCCAAGAATCTCCAAGTCACAGAAGACCCACTTCCACCACCACCTTGATATGGCCTGCTCCTGCCTGCGATAGCATACGATTCAAGACCGAGCGACTTTTTCTCGCCGCATTCTGTTCACGAATTCACCACGGCACCCGCCGACACGTCGCAACGTCTCTCCCTTTGGCTACACTAACACAAAGCATGCATTTCGACCAGCAAATATAGAACCCCGTCACTTCCACGATAAGACATCCCGTCACGGGACACCAGCGACAGCAGCGATAGCACACACGCAAAATCTACATGAACCAGCAACCCTCAACCGTATCAGCGCCGACTTCGTAACAGCAGCTTCAATCGAGCATGGCCATTCATCGTGGTATCCAATCCGCCATCTTCTTCTACCTCTCCTGTGCCCCTTGCTCCGAAGCACGCTATCGCAAGAAGCGCAGACAGGAAGCGGTATGGAACCGTGCTGAACGCGACGCGTTAGAAGAGGAGATGCCGGATGCGTATCGACATCCCGAACCAAGTTCAACCAATCCGTATTGGCAGAGTGAAATCGCTTTGGGCCCGCAGTTGACGGCCCGGGGAGGAAATCGAAACAAGGGCAAGAATGCTGGAGGGAAGGCTTCCCGCGAGGTGCTGAGCAGCAATACAAGTGTTGCGGGTGCAAGCTCTTTAGATCTCAACACGCTGCAGCAAAGAGAGGATGAGGTCCTATGGGGTACAACAGACATGACGATGGACGGAGCGGGCGGCACTGTGATTCAACGACCGCAACGTGCAGCGAGACGGAGAGGAATGTCCAATGAGACCAGTACTACCACAGGAACAGGTGTATCGGCGAACAGGTACGAGAGCTTTCGTAGTCCTGCGGTCAGCGAATTATTGCCGCCCATTGTACGGACCGTGCATTCGAGAGAAGAGGTGGCATGGATGATGCAGCCGCCTCCCGTAGCAGAAGTCATGAGTGGGAAAAGAGAGGGTGGGAGAAGCGGAGCTAGTTCGAGACAGAGCAGCGCCAGGATGGCCAGGACTGTGTCTAAAGATAGTGCTGGTTCTGTGCTGAGAGAGAGTCCAAGGACGTTGCCAGCGGATTTGAGACGACCGTCTTCAAGAGGAGGCGAATTTCTTGATTCTACGATGATTGCACATGATCTTGTACCCATGAGGAGGGTTGCTTCCAGACCACCTCTCCTCTCAACCATTGCCAGTGAAGGAAACATCCCCACAACCGGAGAAGAAGCTCGACTCTCCCTGGTCGACTCCGCGAACTCCTCGCACGACAACGACGGCCATGACGAAATTCCCCCGTCTAGACGACCTCGCGCTCGATCCACTTCTGCATCCAAGAAAACAGGGGCACTGAAGGGACGAGTTTTCACCGCCATCGACTCGCCTTCTCCCGAGAGGAGAGATTTGGATTTGGAGTTTGCCGAGGGAGAACTTAGGCCGGAACTATTTGACAGCTGGTACACGCCAGACTTCGACGTGGGCAGGTGGGTGCATGAGCATACCCGCCGGGAGGGCGTCAGCAAGAGGTGGAGTTTCGATGTATGAGGCCCACTTTTCTACCCACAGAAACGGATAGCCAGGGAGCTAGAACGGACTTGATCTTAGGGCTGAATTTTGAAAATCGTGATTGCGCGTTGAAGCGTTGGCGTTTATGGCATGCGTGCTTCTATTTGGGGTTTGGCCTCGCGAGTTACGAATTATTGGGTGTACAAAGTGGTTTGAGTTCGGATTGGGATAGATGCAAGAAAGAAACAAAGCGAGGACGGTAGAAGTAGGGATATTGCAGAAGCGGAGACGGTAGTAAGAACTCACGGCCTTGCTCGCCCGTGCTGGAAGAAATGAAAGGGCCTCTTGAACGCACACTGCAATGCATCTCTCACAGGAATTTCGGATGGGAATTTGAGAAGACGCATTCGTAGCTTTTTGCTTCACGATTTCAAATGCTTATGAATACATTCACTTAGGATATTCTTCAAACATGTTTGGATCAGTGTCCCTTTCCACCYCTCTCGTCCTGGAACCCAATTCCAGCATTGTTCGCCGGCTGCTCAGGAAATTCTTTCTWCGATTTGGCGACACTGTTGGTGCTGTCTTGCTCGGAAGTCGCTGTTCCCCCTGTGCTATTCTTTCGGTTCCTATCGATTCAATGGAGTTAGCACATTGATACTCATGCGTTGGGGAGATTTTATTGATGATGCCTACTCCATCCCTTGCTTGGCAGCGTGCGTTTGTACGTTGGGCTGATCTGTCTTGTTCACAGTATGCGTCTTGTCCTTGCCGATTCCATCGCTTCGAATGGTGGGAGTCGTGGAGAATGGTCGGGCTGCTGTGGGGATGGTGCGAAGTGATCGGGTGGATAATCTGAGGAACGACATTTTGAGGATGTAGTTGTAGAGAGAAGGAATCTGCGTCGTCAATGGATGTTGAACATGAAGACAGAATGAACGATGACGATATTGGCATCATCATTTGTTCCATCCGAGCTTCATGCATTACCCCACAAAAAGCGCTTCCGGAAGAAGTTAAAGCACGATTAACTTCCCGCACCATGCTCGGTGATCCAGATCTTTCCCGTGGAGATTTGGTGGTCTGTATTCCACCAACGTCTAGCCGGATGTAGAACAACTCGGGTATCATCCGAAATTGCCGATCTCGATTGTTTATAGTAGTCCGTACACTAAAACAAATCTTTCTAAACAAATACAATCCGTACTAAGATTTACATCCTTCCTACGTATACTACCTACGCATACTTATATACACTACTAAGACCTACGTATAATAGTATCCGAAATTGCCCTCCTTCGAGATAGGTACTTTCGTCTAGATAGCGAGATTGTTCTTATACCGGAGGACTTTAAACTAGCTTAGAAGCTACTTAGTAACGTATAGAACTATATACGGACGGTAGAGCCTACGGATACTAATTATACGTAAAAGCTCTACTACTAATGTATTAAGAAGCGCCGCTCTACGTATTAAGTAGATAAGGACGATATAGGTACGCGGAATAAGAAGTCGTTCGGTTAGTTGCTCGAGCCGTATAAGGTTACCTTTTTAGCGGTAATCTAACTARACGGTAATAATAAGCTAGTTTTAATTAAACTAGTGCGTAGATAGCATAAAGRACTAYACTTATATAGCCTCGAATAGTRTAACTCTCGCCGTACGAAYAAGCTCCTAAAGGACCTAATACGTAAGCGTATAGATAACAGCCCTCGAGCCTCTCGAATAGTAGACGTATTAAAGGAAGAGYATAGTAATATTAGCGGTAAGCAGTTAACGTACTAACACGCTTATAACTAAGGGCGTTTATTACTAYACTATAACTTAGATAAGCGATACGTCCGTAAGGGCGCGGATACTATAGATRTAYAGCTTRTTAAGGCGGACAAYCGTACTAGTRCCCTTAGAYAATACTACTAGCTATTCGCTRTTAGAACGAAGGATRGATTAAGGCGTAGAATCGTCGTTRTAACACTAGATAGTTTAACAGTTTAGAAGTAATACGGAGCTCTTATAATTATAGACGCTACGTATTAAGYACTCGGCCTACCGTAGTTCCTTATTAACCTCGTAGTACGTAACGGTAACGGTTCGTTTCGGCCGGTTRCTTATATAGTAATTAAGAGCTAGTATAGCGTAGTTATTATAGAAGGACTCCGCGCGTTACGATTATAGGCTAGTAAYAACGAGAGCGGCTTAATATTATAGTAGACCGTTAYRGACGACTTATCTAGTAAAYAGAACGCTATCCGTATAGCCTTCGGCGATAACGTAAAGCTACTACTCTACTAAYGACACGTTAGTTAAACGATACGYACTAAGTTCCCTMTTAAAGGTAGATATAAGGCTACTAACTAAGCGTTATAGTATATAATGCTATATTACGAAACGGACGATAAAATTAAGGCTAAACTATAGCTAGCTATTAACTTACTACTAGGTGGATTAAACGACCGGCTATATAGCAACGTACGCCGCGAATAGTTATTTAACTACGCTTATATATAGTGCACTAAGTTCCGTAAGGACAATCCTCTATTAATATAGATACGCACCTCTAATCTAGTAGAAGGATAGCATTCTAACTATAAGAGCGGTAATATGCTCGTTAAGCGTAGCTTCTTAATTACCGGTTGCTTGCTTAAGAGCTTTAAAACGGATAAGCGGTAGAACAACAACGCCGCTAATAAGGCTCTAAAGAACGATAAGCTTAGCCTATAGACTCGTCTACATTACCGCTAGTTCGAGCTACTACCTATATACGTTTAAGAGAAGATTACGGAGTAATACCGCCTTAGTAAGAAGCGCTTTAAGAACCTTACACCTTAGTAGTTCCGGTTTAAGGCCTCGTACGATAAGGAAACGCCTTTACGTTATTACTACTACTTCTAGTTCGAGTAGCGAATGCCGTATAAGCATATATAGTTTAATGCCTGCTACGACGGCAACGAGCTTACTACTATTTAAACCGCTACGTATATTAACCGCTTCCTTAGCATTAATACTACGCATTATTACCGTAAGTAGCGGATTAACGAAAGCGACATACTAGTAGCGGAGGGAACGAGCGAGCGTATTAACGACGAGAGCTATTAAAAGCAGCGCTAATACTAATACTAGCCGCTCGAGCGTAATTACTACACTTTAATATATGCAATTATCGAGCAGTTTAAGGAGACGTTCTATCGACAAGCGGACGTTATAGTTATAGAGCTTACGAAGGCGGAGCGTAATTAATATATTAATACCCTCGCCTATAGCTACGAAGCGGCGCTCTTAAGTAGCGCTCTTACTATCTCCGAGTAGCGCGGCGGCGATAACACCGAGTCGCTCGGTAAAGCTATCGACAATACGCTTGCTTATTTAATAGATAAAGATGTTAAAAAGTAAAATCTAGGGACGAAGAGAGAGAGAAGTATCTAGGATAGTCGGGGTAAGCGAGTGTAATTTAGAGAAGGAAGAGCCTTTTTAAAAGACTAAATATAAGTAGTTTCTTAGTAAAGGCATAGTTATTCCCTAGCCTATTAAATTCTAATACTCCCCTATAGCTATATCTCTATTTAAGAATTCCAAAATTTAAAAAGGAAGGAAAAAACTACTAAAAGGCATATTAGTACTCCCCTATTCCCTTAGAATTCTCCTCTATTTCCTTAGATCTAATCTAGCTCCCCTATTTTTAGAAATCTTCTAAATCTAACCTAACTAACTCTAAATCTAAAAAGTTAGAATATTCCTTAGATCCTAAATCCTCTAGTTCTAGATCTAACCTAGTACTAGACTCTAAATTATCTAGTTCTAAATCTAACTTAGTTCTAGATTCTAGATTAGATAGAGGATTCTTAGAATCTAAGTATTAGTCTCCCCTAGTTCTAGAATCCTTAAGCTAGAGTTCTGTTATAATATCCTAAATTCTTTTAAAAAGATCTTTTCTTAACTAATCTAATATATTCTTAGACTATATCTAATCTTCCTCTAAACTTACTCTTTCTAGATTTAGCTTAGAAGTAGCTTTAGAAGGTAGGATTAGAGGTAGTTTAGATAACCTTAACTTAAGGGTAGATTTTAACTTAGAACTAGATTTTAACTTAAAGGTGGATTTTATCGTAGTTTTAGAAATAGACTTTAGAGTAGAATTTTCTAGCTTAAAGGTAGCTTACTAAGAGGCAAAAGCTAATCTAAATTCTATTCTAAAGACGTATAGCTCCTAAGGATTAAGTAGTAGTATTTTATATTAGTATCTTATTAAAGTATAGAGGTATCCTTTAACTTAAAGTAAAAATTCTGCATAAGTAGTGCTAAGCTTATTAAATTGTCTATAGGGTTCTAGAAGAAATTTTTAAAGGTCTTTCTATTACTCTTTTTCTCTTTACTATAGGAGAGAGTTCCTTTTCCTATCTTAGAAAATAGGGTAGAAAGACTAGGACTAATTACTAGATTTATAGCTAGATAAGGYATACTAAACTTAATATCTAATCTAATATAGAGAGGTTAAGTACCTTAGATTTACATTCTCTTCCTAAACTATTAGGAGTATTATTTAGAGGCTAAACTTAGAGGTATCTTAATTATATAAGGTTCCTCTTCCCCTCCCTTCTCTTCTAAATAAATTTAAGGAGTAGATTCCTTTATTAGAATGCAAAACTTCTCTTTAGATTTATTTTAGAGGTAAAAGTAGGCGTAAAACCCGGGCTTATAACCTATTAAAAAGTGAAATCTAGGGACGAAGAGAGAGAGAAGCATCTAGGATAGTCGGGGTAAGCGAGTATAATTTAGAGAAGGAAGAGCCTTCTTAAAAGACTAAATATAAGTAGTTTCTTAGCAAAGGTATAGTTATTCCCTAGCCTATTAAATTCTAATAAAAGACACTAATATAGAGCTTAGTAAGTTCGACACGCCCTCGACGGTAGTAATTATAAACGAGTTCCCTCTTACTTAAGTAAGCCGTAACTTTATTGCCGAAATACTAATACGTATTCGAAACGGCTACGGCTACTCGAGCCTTCGATAGGTTACTAATATTAACGATAAATCTACCGCGTAGCCGAGCTAGCTCCTATAGCAGTTACTAACTCTATTACTATATAAACTACCTCCGGAGGTTGTCGAATTTAATAGGCAATTCGCTATATAGGACCTAGTAAGAGACTACTAGCGTCGCGAAGGCGTATAAACACTACTAAAAGAGCGTAGATAGTAGATAGTAATTAGATACGAATAGTACGAAGGCAGGTAGCGAGGGTAATAGGACCTAAGAGTAGTAATATTAGAGCTAGTAAGGGTAGTACGTTTGCTAAGGAAACAGCGATAAGAACAATCTATAGTAGTAGATAAGAAAGCAGCTCTTATACCGGCAATCGACTTAACTTAGTAATTTTACGAACTCTACTAACTCTACTAACTCTAGCGTATACGAGGCTATACGAGCGACACGTTAGTGGAATATAGCTCCACCTGCAATCCACTAACGACTAGTTGCCTACTATAACGTAAGGCTAACCCATTTCAGAGCTCATTTCACACTACATAACGACCGTTACCTGGGTACGTATTGGCCGAATCGGGCTAGACGTTGGTGGAATACAGACCACCGGAGATTTCGATGCATAGACGGGAGAGAGCTGGTACCTGATCAACTTGTTCACAGCAACGACACCTCCGGTACACCACGACAATAATGGCCTCAGCATCAACAGAGATGTCTGCGTCTGCCAGCGCCGACTTCCCATGCCAATTGTAAGCTTCCCACCATTTCACTCACTTCATGACTTACATCTTCCCTCGCAGAACCCTCCACATTCCATTCCCCACCCCTCGGCTCGCTTCAGCAGCACACCGCACACTTTCGGTTGACCCTGAGCTTTCTGCGCTCGTCCAGCGCACTTTTTCCGTTGTGGACTCTGCCGCAGGAGATAAGACCATTCTACGGACAGACTATCGAGCTACTACGAACAGGATGCTAAGAGTTGCTGTGAATGGGTTTCTGGAGAGTCTGGGGACTGTTGTACAGGTCATGGAGGAGTTGGATGGGGATGTCGTCAAAAATAAAGGCTTGCAAGATCTAGAGGGTGCGCAGGGTGTTGAGGTCGGGATGGTGGGTAGGGCGGGATGAGCGGTGAACGGTGAACGGATGTGCGGAAAGCTGCATGAAGACGACGGAACTTGGGATCATGGCTGCTCAAGACTGCAGTCGAATGCTTCTGTGACCTTCTTGGGAGAGACATGGCATACATGTACAATACACCCCACCAGGGTTACGTCATTGGCCGGAGCGTGAAAAGCAGCTGGTCGCAAGATTGGAACCATACCATTCACACCACAGCCTGGCCCAGAACGTAGCCTCGAGGACCCGATCTCAAACGGAACAGTCCGACCTCGTCACGATACCGGTGCGAATGAACATCGTTCCAGACACTTGGTACTTGGCGGAACCCCAAGATAGATCACGAACGCTATCTGGGGTTTAAATCAATGGAACCATGTTGCGCACTGTAATAGCTACAGTGACCTTATTCCTTGCTCTCAGTACTGTCAAAGCCTCCGGATTTGATCCTCGAGAAGCAACTATCTCTTCTACACACAACGCCCTCTACACCAACCTTACGACCTGTCGAGATGTCGTCTCTTCCTACCTTGCCCGGGTTGAAGCCCTCAATCCGAAGATTAATGCCATCATCTCTTTGGACACACACGCACTAGAAATAGCAGATCAATACGACACCCAACTTCGATCCAATAATGGTACCGCCTACAAGCCTCTCTTCTGCATCCCCACCCTGCTCAAAGATAACTACGATACGTCCTCCCTTCCTACAACAGCCGGGTCTTTGGCGTTGGCTAAATCTCAACCCAGTGAAGATGCTCCTGTGGTCAAAGCTCTGAAAGATGCCGGAGCAATCATTCTCGGCAAGACAAACCTCCATGAACTCGCTCTCGAAGGTATCACGGTCTCCTCTCTCGGCGGCCAGACCATCAATCCTTATGACTCTACTCGCACTCCTGGAGGTAGTTCAGGTGGGACTGGCGCCGCTGTCGCTGCTTCTCTTGCAATCTGGGGAACTGGAACCGACACTGTCAACAGTCTTCGGTCTCCAGCCAGTGCAAATGGACTGTGGAGTTTGAGACCCACACGAGGATTGATTTCGAGGACGGGAGTTGTGCCTGTGAGTTTCACCCAGGATACTTTGGGACCCATTGCGCGTTGTGTGGAGGATCTGGCAGTAGCTTTGAGTGTGATGGTCAAAGCAGGTGAGTTTGATAATAAAGGTGCAGATAATGCCACTCTTGCGGTGCCTGCTGGTATCACAGGAACGGACTATACGGCAGTTCTGAAGCATGAGAATGTACTGAAGGGTATGCGGTTTGGATTGCTGGAAGGTTTCCTCAATCGGACATCTGGTTCCGAAACAGACCCCGTCAATGAAGCCATGGATAACATGATCGCTTTTCTCACCCGCTCTGGTGCAACGGTCGTTTCTAAAATGGAGAAGACGTACAATACAGCAGACCTCTTGGAACTTGATACTCAACGCTTTGAATTCAGGCAAGTAATGGACGAATACCTCTCCGATCCGTCCCTTGGCGGTTCTCATCCAAACTCTCTGGCAGACCTTTACGATGCGGAAAAGGAGGATTTCTTCGTCCTTCCCATACAGTACCCCTTCATTCACACGGCTCTTCGCTCCTCGACTTCGAATGACACGTATCCGCTGTTGATGCAGAAGATACTAGAACTGAAACTGAGAGTAAAGCAGACATTTGAGGAGAACAACCTGGATGCGCTCATATATCCTCAACAGAAGAACCTCGTGGTCAAGCTTGGCTCTCCATCTCAAAGTGGTCGCAATGGGATATTGGCGGCTTTGACGGGATTGCCTATGATCACCGTCCCTGCCGGTAGAAGCGAAAGTTCCGAGACTGCATCGTTGGGTGTCCCGGTTGGGATGGAGATTCTGGGGAGGGAATGGACCGAGGGGAAACTTCTTGGGATTGCAAGGGYTATTGAAGAGACGGGCTTTGTGCAACGAAGGATGCCAGAGTGGGCGGAGATTGATGTTCCTGTGCCTATCTATGAAAGCGTCCCCGTCGTAATTCCCAATTGGGAGAATTTGAGCAGCGAGTATCCTGTTGGGAGAGTAGAATAGGTGCATTGAAGTCTGGAGAGTCTCAAAATGGGATGCCGGCGCTGGACGAATGAAGGGATTCCAGGTGCCTTTCAGGTTATCAGATACAGGCAGCTCTCCGGTGGGGCGTCTAGTTCTCTGCGGTTGGCTCCTTCGTGGAGTTCAATTATCCATTGAACCTCTGTAATGAGATTATGATCCATATCCGCCCCTCTCAGCGGTCTACCCCCACAAACGCGGGATTAACATGCCTGCTGTTCCAGCTGCGCTCAGCGCCGGCATCGAGTTCACTCTCGTCAAGCACATACCAGCACAATTCGAATGGCCTACCGAAACATTGCGGACTGAGCGGTGCATCAAATCCCGAGAGGCTTGATGCCACTGCATGAAGATCTTAGACGAAACAGGAATGAGGACCTGATAAACAAGCAACCGATATGTGGAGACCTATCTGTACGAGAGATCAAAGAAAAGTGTTTAAAAGAAGTCCGAATGAAGCCAGCCCATTTCAATCTCCCACTATAAGCTAACCTATCGGCAAAGCATCCATCATTTCCTGCTCTTGCTGTGCATCTAGCCCGGCTTGTATCTCCTTATCAGTGATCAGCTCGAGTCCGAAGTACTGAGCATCTGCTGGTGAAAGGGCGACATATGCGGCATCCCTCTCGCGCGCAGCCTCAGCCTCCCATGCCACCAACAACTTCTTCAGTGCCGCATTTGAATTCTCGAACGCTGCATGCTTCTTCTCATGCTTGTCCAAGCGTGCTCCAAGGTTCAAGAGGGCTGGCACATGCCCGAAAACTCTCGACACAGCGTCCATCGACGTCCGCAAGTCCTCGTACTGCTTTGCAAAGAACCCCTTCGCTTCTGCATCTAAATTCATGCTCTTCAGCGACCGTGCCTCTCCAAAATCGACCACGACCAGGCTTGGGTAGTCCATGTAGGAAGTCGAGGTGGAGTATGTCGGGCGKAACAAGACGTTGTCCCAGGTAAGGTCTCCGTGGAAGAACATAGGCCAAGAGTCGTCAAGAACAGCTCCAAAATGAAGATTCAACAACGCTCCACATAGCTCATGAACCATGTGCCAGCCCAAGGCAGCGGGTGGAGCTGTGTCAAGCTGGAGAGCATATTTCTCCAAGGAACCTCCCGAGAAACCTTCTAGCTTGTACCAATCTGCCCAGCGCGGAGCATCATGATATTCAAACATTTTGCTCAATCTAGCATCCCCCAGACGATTGATGTGCTGCAATGCGTCGATCTCGGAGTCCAGATTGAAATGCTCTGGAGAAGCATGTTCTTGGATCTTGATACATCCCACGGCACCTCGAAGCCGCGCAAAACGTTCATCGACTTCAATGTCGCCTTCTCCATACTGCGCCATTGCTGGCTCGGCTACTGATTTGGGAATGTAAATGTATACGCCGGCGGTGTTTCCAGTTCCGAGCGACTTTACGAGGTAGTGAGTCTCCTTGACTCTCTCTTTCGGTGTAGAGTATGTATCTTCCATTTTGATTTATAGGTCTTTTCATTTATGCGCGGGGGATTTTCGAGGTATGAAGTCGAGGTGCGCTGGAGATTCTCGTGATAGAGTAAGGCAGCCGCGATGCTTGTTCAGGGGTTAGCGATTGTCTGCTTCGATAGCAAGAAGGGTTACATACCTTAAGCGAGGCGACTCGAGTAAGAAGCTGTGCGTGGGAAGCTCAGATGTACTTCGATGTAGTGTTTATAAGGAGTCTGCTGTCTGTGACACAGTTAGTAAGAGAGCACGTCTCTAGAAGCAGAGGCGCGCATACTCTCAATCGAGTGCTAAGCGGAGTAGTAGTGCGCGGATGATCGAGTTCCATCTAACTGGGTAGCGTTTCGAATATAAACTGGTTCGGTAGTCGACCTGTAGTAGTGCCTTATGTGTAGGTGTGTTGTAGAGCCGCATGTGGTCGAGGGAGTCTTCGTTTGTAATGAGGCGGAAAGCACAGTTCAGACTTCCAGCGTGGAGCTCGAGTGAACATCATGGGTAGCACAGAAAAGTCGGGCCGCATTTCTTCTAGGTTGTAGGAGTGGGGCTTGGCGTGCATGAGCTTAGCGTGGAGTGTAAATTCGAAGTGAATGTTTTGCGAAAGTGGATTCGTGAGCGCGCCAGGCTTGATTAAACCGCAGAATGCATCGTTGTGTGAATATTAAGTCGAATTCAGATTAGTCATACCACTCCATCGGCTTGAAGGGAAAGTACGCGGTGTCGTAGAGTCCTTGATGGGAGATGGGAGATAAGGACATAAATCCGCCGAGACTCAATCTTCCAAAGATGATGCTGTAGAAAACGAACTGGGTCGATGCGAGATGCTTATAAGTAGGTACCTAGACCGCAGGTAAATCTTTTAAGATTGTTCAAACAATGAATTCAGCAAGCACTGATCAAACTGCGCAGAATATTCTCCTGGTAGCTTCCGCCAGCGATAGACCAGCATCATTCCCTTTGTCTTAACATAGTGGCGTTTGATCATCATGAGTACCATTTGTCAGAGTGCTCGAGTGCGGGAAAGCGAGGTGAAGGCTGACATCTCTATCATCTTAAAGTCCAGCGAGACCGCGGAGGAGAATCTGCATACGCTGACGGGCGTGTACAAACTTTGTCTAGACACACTTATCGTTACGGACACGACGAGATCGACTGTCGTGAGACTGGCAAATACGACACACAAACTCGTTGTGGTGGAAGTTTCGACGCTCAATCGCCGACTATCGAGAGATCTGCCACTTCTATCAACCTATTGCAGACGTCTTTACCATCGAAGGTGAATCTCTGATAGATCTGCTTCCATGTTAGTCTTTCACATGAGTGTACCCGTGTGGATATCTTCTACACAGCCCTGGAACATTCGTCACTCCTGCGGGATCATTTGACACGATATTTTCGAGAGAAACTTGCTTTTTTGGGCATCGCATATTGAAAGACAGAAGACCGGCTCATTTCCACGAACGCGCTCTACAGATCTCTGGACAGAGGATCCGATTTTGAAGGTGATCTCAACGACGGTACACATCGCACTTTTTCCACAATGCTGGCAGCGTTCTGTCGACGAGTGCCGTGCGTCGAACCTCTCGCCCTGCTTAAACGCCGAACTCCTCAGAGCACAGGAATCGGCATTACATAGAGCTTTTAAACGGCCTCTGCGCTGTAGACGTGATGCCAAATCCGATGGATAGCGCACTCTTAGAGCAAGACTTGGATGGCTCCAGCTGGAATTACCTTCGAGAGAAGAATATCTTCTCACACATGAGCGGACCGCTACCAACGTGAGATTCACGGATTGAAAAAGTTCTCAAGTGCCTTATGAAGACATTGAGGTATGAATGTCTGAGCTCTTGCATACTTGACGAGAAAGAGTCCGGATCTGAACCCAGTCATGTTGGAATCCGTTGTACACGGCCCGCAAAGCCGGAGATTCTCTACCACAGCTCTTTGGCTAGAGACTCGACTATAATAACTGCGAACCCTTGGTGCATGTGAGGTTTGTGAAGCAAAGTCTATATTTTCTGCTCTGGTGTGGACGATGTACAGGCCGGCCATTCCTGCTCGCCAAGGTGAGGTGAACATTAGGGTACGGAACGGCGCCGAAACCTTATTCTATACGAGCCGGCGCCCGAGACCCCGAATCAGAAATTCCGTCTAGAAATCTTCTTCGATCGCTCCGACTTTGTTGAACCACCCACCTTACACAATCTCCACTTCCCACTTGAGAGATGTCCAGAATGGCTACAGCGGGAGTCAAGCGCAAGAGTAGCGCCGACGATAAAAGTGAGAAGAAGCAGAAGACGAGTGAGAAGCGCGAGAGGAGCGAGAAGAAGGACAAGAAATCCGACAAAACTTCCTTCACACCGACCGTGAAGCGCTCGCACCTCGAAGCCGCCGCCAACAACGACGATGACGAGGACGACGAGGAGGAGTTCAACGGCATCTCCGACGAAGACAACGGCATCAATCCGGAGCGAGTCGAGGCGATTAAATCGAGCAACAATCCCAATGCAAAGGGCTTCAAACTTGATGGCTCGTCAGCGGAGGCACACGCCAAACAGAGGGTGCTGGCAAAGGAGCGGAGAGCTGCAAAGCCCAATGCCGATGTCGTGCAGCGCAGTAAACAACTGTGGGAGCGTCTGCGGAGGAAATCACATGTTCCCAAGGAAGAACGGGCGGAATTGCTGGCGGAATTGTTCAAAATCATCGATGGACGGGTCCGGGATTTTGTCTTCAAGCATGACAGCGTGCGAGTTGTACAGTGTGCCATCAAATATGCCAGACCGGAACAACTCAAGGGGATCGTGAAGGAGTTGAAGAACGATGTGCGAGATTTGGTGGAGAGTCGGTATGGAAAGTTCTTGGTGGCCAAGATGGTCATGCAGGGCGATCGTGAGGACAAGGACATCATCATTCCGCAATTCTATGGGCATGTCAAGAGATTGATCAACCACCCGGAGGCGAGCTGGATTGTGGACGACATTTATCGACAGGTTGCAACACAGGCGCAAAAGGATATGATGTTGAGAGAATGGTATGGCACCGAGTTTGCGCTTTTTGGCAAGGACAAGAGTGCCGGACAGCGCCGCTTCGGCGAGAAGGCAGAAGCTGACGATGCTTCCGCCAATCTGAAAGAGATTCTGGAGAAGAGCCCGGAGAAGAGGAAGCCAATTCTCGGCTACCTCAAGCAAATGATCAACAACCTCGTCCAGAAGAAGATGACCGGATTCACCATGCTTCATGACGCCATGCTGCAGTACTTCCTTGCCTTGGAGCAGGGCACTGAGGAGCAAAGCGAATTCCTCGAGATCCTCAAAGGCGATATTGATGCCGAGGAGGAGGGCGGTGGTGGAGATCTCTACCGAAACTTGGCTTTCACCAAGAACGGAAGTCGTCTCGTCTGTCTGACTCTCGCACACGGAACTGCCAAGGATCGAAAGGTGATTTTGAAGTGTTTCAAAGACAACATCGAACTCATGGCTTGTGATACCTATGCAAAGATGGTCCTCGTGACTGGTCTTGAAGTTCCGGACGACACAAGAAATGCTCTGCAAGCCATCCTCCGCGAACTTCTTGGACTACAAATCGAAAACTCACAAGAACGATTCGATAGGTTGGAAGGGTTGATCACGAACCTCAACGCACGACTCCCATTGCTGTATCCCATTGCACCGGAAGCGAAATGGCTACTCAAAGCAGGCGAGGAAAAGACACTTCTCGATGAAGTCCACGCCATCCGCACAACCACATCAAAAAAGGCACCTGAAGTAAGARGACAAGAACTCATCGCACATCTTGCCGGACCTCTTCTGGAATTCGTGGCAGAGCGTGCAGGCAATCTCGTACAATCAAGTTTCGCCGCACAAGCCATTACGGAGATTCTTCTTGAATGCCCTGGAGATAAGAGAGCGGCGGCTGTCGAGGCCGTTGCTGCACTTGCCGAGGGGACACCGTTGGAAGAAGGACATATCGCTCAGGATCCCGCTGCGAGTCGCATGTTGAAGACGCTTGTCTCTGGTGGAAGCTTTGACCCCAAAACAAAGACCGTCAAGCTTGCGGAGCCGAGACTGGGATTCGCCGAGGTGCTGTATGGAGTTATCGGAGAACATGTTGTGGAATGGGCATGTTCAGACGCCAGCTTCGTGGTGGTCGCCATGTTGGAAAGCGAGGAAGTTTCCGACAAAATCAAGGACAAGATTCGAAGTGCGTTGAAGAAGGGAAAGAAGCATGTTGAAAAAGCTGCTGCTGAGGGTCAGAAGGCGTTGGAGAAGAAGGTCGTGGCGCAGCAGGATGATGATGATGAGGAGATGGGTGGTGTCCCTGTCGAGGAGCCGAAGAAGAAAAAGTCCAAGTCGGCGGGCGGCGTCAAAAAGGGGAATGCGGGTGCGAAGATTTTGTTGCAGAAGTTGTGAGCTTGAGCCCTACCTTGCTTTTTAGCGCCCGCTGTATGATTTGATTGATAGATGCGAAGGGGTGGGTGGGTGGTCGCTATTCGAAAGCACAATGTTCAAAGAATTGCTGCATTTGTTTGATTTCACGACGCCTGATGTTGTGGTGTCGTCCACTCTATCGTAGGGCTTTCAATCCTGCTTCATCGGTTCGTTTCCGATTTATTTTCTCCATACGGCTGATCTCCTTTATATACTTGGTATCTTCATCCTTGGATGTTATGCCTCGGTGGTTCAATGCTATCATGTCATTTCGATGTTGCACCTTGAACTTACACAAAGGACGGACATCTCAAACATTGATCTCTGTTCGTGGGGATTGCTTTGGGGTTGAGATTACTGCAGGCTTGCGCATACTATAGTGTACTGTTCAGGGATGTGTACGACATGCTTTTTTAATTCGGCTGTTCCATGATTCCTTGCTCAATGAAAGGAAAGAGAAATTCATTGTAGAAACTACGAAATGTGTGACCCCAGTCCGATCTAACGCCTGCAAAATCACACCCGCTGCCATGAAAGTGACATCCATAAGAAAAGCAGAAGTCGTATCCCTGCACTCATCCCGTCGTAAGCTAAGCTTCGGTCTTCTCATCCAGCCTCTCCGTCTGAGCAACGGACTCGTACATTGGCAAACCCTCCACGGTGCTCCTCGTGAAAATCTGCGTTCCATACTTGGTAATCGCACCCGGGCCTCCCAAAAACGACTGCACCTCCTCGTCGCTGTCGATTTCCAATTTCTGCGAACTGAAATTCAACGTAAGGCTCAATTGCAACCACATCATCGCGGATCCTAGAACAGCCTGCGAGACTAACATTCTCGCGGTGGCGTTCTGAAAGGTTGGCCAGTACGCCTGCATGATCAAAGCCAGCGAGGACCAGATCTGTCCGGTATGCGTGGTGAGGATGCGGAGAGAAGAGATGACGTCCGCCGCCGTTTCATTGCTTCTCTCACGACGACGCTGGATGAGCATGAAGCAAASCATGACTTGGAGGAGGGGAAAGAGGAAGAAGATGGCTGAGAAAATGGCAAACAGTCCGACCATGTAGACTGCCAATTCCAGAATGTGGGCGCTGTCGTAGACTGTCGGGTTGTCGGAAGCGTCGTTCCAGATGATGCTCATGCTGATGTACGTGTCGACGGCGATGATCACCAGGGTGCAGAAGAGGTACAGGGTGGCGATGCCGAACTGTGAGCGGTTGAGCGACAACATTTTGTTGTTGCTCACACTCATGATTGCCTGACGAGATGAAGGGTTTGCGAGTAGCTCCGTCCGGGTGCGGCGAAGCTGGAAGAGTGATTTGAAGCTTATGATGAAGGCCGCGAGGGTGAGGCTGGCGTAGGCCAGGGTGCTGTAGTTGTACAGCTCTGGGTGGGTGCGGTTGAGCCAAAGACCCATCCAGCCGGTCGGCTCCTCGATGTTTCGGTCCATCATGTCGTCGTAGGTAGGCGTTGCTGATGTTGATGTTGAGAGGTGTGGATGTCGAGGTAGGAGATGCGGCTGAGGATGTTAGTGAGGTGTATGTGAGCACGAGGTTCGAGAGGTGATGACGTAGGACTGGGGTTAGGGTTTGGGTAAGCTCACAACTCAAAAAATGTCTTATCTTTCCAGTCGCTCTCAGTCGCTACCTTACCATGATGAACTTGTTTCATGGAATCAAGCACAGGCTATACATGGTCAATAACTCGGACTTGGCTGCCGTTACAAGCCGAGCGTAAATCGGGAGATCTTGTCTAGAGTGAACGTGACCCTCTCGCCGGACTCACAAGCCGACTTTTGACGGACAACAGTACTAGGTATGGCCACTGTCCGCGAATAATCAATAAGAGAGTGCCGTCGATACCGAGACTGAGAGCGAGATGCGCTGGAGTAAAAAGGTATGGGGTATCAACGTTTCTCATCAATTCAATATGTACATTTCGGCTTCAAAACAGGCCGTTGCCAATAGCCACCCATGATTCCATTAATCCTCTTCCTTGGACAGTTACGAGGTATTCAATGCCGTCAATACAAACAGCGTGAAATGAGGTTTCGCGCCTCTCCATACCAGTTCTTGCAGTAGACTTCCACGATACAACAGCAGCTTCACTTCCTCGGTACGGGTGGTGGTAGTGCCAGATCAACATCATTCAAGATGAGATCATCCTCATCCTCCTCTCGATCATGACCTGGCTGGGGTAGTTCCTTGTTTCTGTAATCCTTGCTGAAGACCGCCTGTGTTTCGGAGAAACGGTTCATGTAACGAGGAAACGCACTTGTGCGATTTACTGCAAATGCAGGTGGACCTTTACCTCGCGGCAATGGACTTGAGTACCGATGTATCACTGGAGCAGGAGCAGATGCAAGTGAGGTATCCTTTTCGGAGAAGGTGGAGAATCTCGAACCAGTGCGGGTTCTGTCGGAGCCGTGGCTGTCGTCACGGTGTAGCAGAGGCTTTGGGTTGGGTGTTGTCTCCCGGTAATTTCGCAAAGGCATCGAGGAAGTGCTTTCAGTCACAGTTCTGCCTCTCACGTAGCGATAGGAGCGTCGAACGATACCCGGTATCTGTAATTCTCAATCAGATTTGCGCGATTGTTAAGAGGGTGGGAGCACTCACTGTCGGCATGCAACAACAGATTTGACTGAGATGTGCCTGTTGTCACACCACATCAGTTCCGGATGCGCTGGAGATKAGGATGTCCGTCTTGATTGACTTACCTCGACATTGCTGTAAATTCCAAGATACCCCAAAAACATGGTGGGATTAGGAGTTGTTTCGATGCCGCGGACAAAATCCAGACGCACACACGAGAATGTCGTCACAACAAGACCGACGAGGAATACCGCACACAGTCTGTGAGGTCGTCAGCGGAGAGTAGAATGGTCAGAGCACGGCAGACTGACCCGATTTTCCTGGTAGTTGGAACTTCCAGCCTCAGCAGAATGGGACATGGCAGCAATAGGACCAACAAGTCGAGAGCGATGACGACAAATCCAATGCTCCAGCCCCATGCCTCTCGATTGATGCAGGTTCCAACTCTCTCGGCATCAATCAAGCGAGCCCATTGAAAGTCTATGGGCGTGCTGTATGTGGAAGTGCATGATCAGTAAGTGTGTCGGATGTAGGACTCTTTCATCAAACGTACCCTGCAAAAGAAGTTAGCAATGCGGCGAAGAGGAGGAAGGAATAGTCATACATTGCWGAATAACAACAACTTGAAAGGCGACGAATGCAACCACGAGAACAGCTAGCGTGATCCGACAAGCCACTCGGAAGGAGGATTCGAAATCCCAGATTCGGAGATAGAGGCACACCAGGGAGATCTTGGTGAGGAATGGAACGGGGACGTAAAACACGAGGTCCAGGTAGAACCACTGCTAAGAATGAGCTTTTCTCCATCATTCGTCTTTGTAATAGCCACTTACAAACACGAAGCGGTAGACATTCGGCATGGTCAAACCCCAGATGTCTGTTCCTCCTCCATAGTGGATGGTATACCAGTCGCAGATGGTCAGACCGGTCAAGGGGATGAAGGAGAGCACGGCGGTGAAGTCGTCCCAGCCGAGACCTGCGCCGCCAAACGTACGCAGGCGGGAGATGATCCGTGCCAATGTGAATATCGTCGCCGTGCCGTAGAGGACGTAGAACATGGGAGCCAGTCGCTGTATACTTCGAACCGGTCTCTGGCAGGTCGATCCTTGGAAATGACTGGCCGCAAGTTGATCTTCAAAGGGACACGCAAGGACACAGCGGACAATGTCTTTGTTGAGATGTTCATCCTCGCAGAAGCAGGGGTCTGTGGGAAAGCAAGAGTACTTGGAGATGACTTCTGCGGCGCATTGGACCTGTGTCTCCGTCAGCGGATAGGTTCATCCCAGGAAGCCAGCCAGCCATTGGATGGATACATACAACGCAAGGCGAGAGCTCCGCCAGGGCAGTCTCGTTGATAACATTCTTCTGCGCTGCAACCAATGCGAGAAGCAGCTGACCCCAGGTCAAGATGTCATGAAGACGCAGTCGCATGTTCCTTGAAGGAGGGAGACGAGACAAGCCTGTGGCTGCAGGTGCGAACCATTAAGCATCCGCCGGGCCAGTATGCAGTACGACTACCTTTTTGGCTTGGCCCCTCGATGTGATCAGATCAGGCTGGAGTGATAGATTTGAAGTGAACGGCTGGGTCCTCTGCAGCAGTTCCCTGACTAATGCACCTTGGGCAATAGCGAGTAAGGCATTAAGTATTGGGTCTCCATCTCGCAGATCCAACCACAGTGCACCATTGCCACGGTAAGACTAAGGATGAATCAATGCGAGGTGTGAGATACGCAGCGCKTCGCCACGTGAGAATGCTTTTGCGATCGATCTCGCTTGTATAGGCGTCTTGCGCGTTGTTCGCACTTTACGATTGGTTGCTGTGTCAAGTGAAACGTCGGAGGCCTGTCTCCATTTTTAAGAGTGGAGATATGTATAATAGTGGAGAGCTTCGCGAGTCAAATCAGCAGAGAGACTTGCCGACGTTCTAAAATGATACATGTCGCGTGCCAACAGTTCCGGCAGATCATGGAGCATCTTGCGTCAGTGACATCCATCGGCGCAACGGCGCTGTACGTGAAAAAGTGTATTGTATTGTGCTCCAGTAGATCGTGCACATGCGACGTATATTATTGTGCATTTGTGGAGCCCACTTCCCAGCGGACCATTCCCAGAAGAGAGGTGCTTGCAGGATGCGACGGGCGTCCGATGTGATACATCATATAACTTACCCTCTCCTGCCTTGTTTTCAAACGACCTCCGTGAATCGCGAATCGCTTGCGAAACGGCAAGGACGGCCTGCGATTCAGATCCGTTGCTGATGGGTGGGGAACGACGTGGCGTATTGATGAGATTTCTGACGAGATTGGAGCAAGCTCGCGGTAACGTAGGTAGGATTGAAGTGGACGTTGGAATGAATCCACCGGCCAGGTCTAGAACAACCATCAAGCTCGAGTCGTGTCATCCATTTGACCTGCAGCTGCTTTGGGTTTGATATTGAGCTAATTAAACACTCGGGGCGTCCGTCTGTGAAGAGGAAATAACACGCGCTCGGAGCAGAGTCGACAATCGGCGTCCAGATCCATCTCCATCTCCGCACCATGAGTTCAGGCAAGACGACAGCAACACTGCCCGAGGGGCCCTCTTCTTCCCGCTGCTGTGGGGTGGGGTCTCATGCCGGACGTGTTGCCCGAACGAATCAACGGACAAAACATGAACATCCCGAGAGGCGTCATCGTCAGCCTGGACCCTGTCCAATGGAGGTTTCACGCTAATTACAAAGCAAGCCTCGCGAATACCTGCAGAGCGTGAAGAGCCAAGGCGCGTCGTTCGCCTGAGGAAGATATATCTGCGAAGGTATGGGGCATTCTGTACATTGCGATCCCCACAGCACGTCGATGATCACCAGGACCTCCGCTCACTCACGGAGCACGAACTACATCTGATCACACGCTTGAAGCCCGCCTGGAAGCAAGCCATCGCTGCCGTTTGGCTCGATGGACTCGGAAGGATTGCAAAGCTCGTCTCACGAACCATTCGGATCACATCCTCTCTAGTTCTGACTCCGGAGCAGATTGTCAACTCCGGTTCCCTCCACGTGCACAAGATTCCACGCTTCCCTCCTAGATGAGATCCTTAGCCGCGTAGATAGGGCAGGCCGAGGAAGGTGTGACGTTTCAATGCATCTCTTTTCTCCTCATATCAAGGAATCTTCATCGAAAGATCAAACCAATCGGCACGGAAGTCTTTTGTCACGCGTCATCCTCGCCAGCTCTACATCCTTGTTCTTCTCTACTTTGGCCGGCCTCCTCTCGAGCGTACGAGGCTTGACGATCTTTCGAAACTCACGATCTTGATCCTCGACACGGAGATGCTCAGTGCATGCCATGAGATTGGCAAATATGCATAGATGTACATTGACTCTCGCTTCGATCAATTCGCGTCGATCAAGGCGAATGTGGAGTCCCAATTTGTTCTCGGGAGAATCAGAGACGGAAGGTGTGTAGAGAATGCCGTAGACGATGAAGGTGTGCAGACAAAGCTATAGACGACGAAGCTGCTCCAAACATCATCGATAGAAGGAAGGTTAGGATTGTGCTTACATTCCGCAAAGCCCGTCGAAGACTGGATGGACCCAATCGTTTAGGTTGTCGTAATGGACGATGTGAAGATGCATTTGTTGAAGAGCACCACAGACGTCTGGTCAAACCCACGTCGAGCTTGGAGTGATAGGGACATCAATTTATGAATAATTCCACGGTCATCATGAGCAATAGTGCATGGATGCAAATACAGATGGATGGAAGTTCTCTTTCTCCGGCAGGGTTTCTTGATGTTGGAGATGGAAGAAGTCTACCCCAACCCTAGCCCCAACCCTAAGGTATCAATACCATCATCTCGTACCTACACGAACTTGCTTACACCTCCACTCGACATCGACATCACCTCCATCTTCTCATCCTCTCAACAACATCAACCCACCATGCCTACTGCCGTGAAACCTCCAACGGATATTCCCTCCCTGTCCGCAAAACTTCTCTCGCCGCGACGAAGACAGACTCAACCAGAAAGCACCGAAGTGCCACCAACGCCAGCGCTCTCATCAACTCCAGACCTCAGCAATCAACACTATTCCACACCGACGCGACGAATCCTGTCTGAAACAGACCATCAGCTGTTCCTCACTTCAGAAACCCACAACCTCATCGTCAGCTTTGTTTTTCATCTCTCCGACTCAGTCCGCGACACGACCATTTCTGCCGTCCGTGACTCTTCAGCAGCTCAAGACCCGGCCATCCTTGCCCTTTTCGCCGTGCTCGATGATGCCGAAAGGATTTTGAAGGAATGTCCTGCGTTGGACACTGGATCTCGCTTTGGCAACCCGGCGTTTCGAGATTTCCTTTCCAAAATCAACACCACTCTCCCATCATGGCACTCCAAATTCGGTGTCCTCTCACAACCCGCCGTGGATGAGATTTCCACCTACCTCGCCTCCGCTTTTGGTAATGGCTCGCGGATTGATTACGGATCTGGACATGAGCTCAACTTTCTCCTTTGGCTCCTCTGTCTCCGTCAAGCTGGCTTCCTCCCCGCCAGCACATTCCCCGCACTAGCCCTTTTGGTGTTTCCTCGCTACCTCACTCTCATGCGATCCGTGCAGGAAACATACTATCTCGAGCCCGCTGGTTCCCACGGTGTGTGGGGTCTAGACGACTATCAATTCCTTCCCTTTCTCTTCGGCGCCAGCCAATTGGTGGGACACAAACACATCCGACCAATGAGCATTCACAATGAATTGATCATCGAGGAGTGCTCCAAGGATTACCTCTACCTCGATCAGATCCGCTGGGTCAACGCAACCAAGACGGTACAGGGTCTTCGCTGGCATTCCCCCATGCTAGACGACATCTCCTCGGCGAAGAATTGGGGAAAGGTTGAAGCCGGGATGCGGAAGATGTTCCTCAAAGAAGTCCTGGGCAAGTTGCCCGTCGCGCAGCACTTTATGTTTGGATCACTCCTGCCGCCTGCGGAAGGAATGAGCGGTGGGGAGGAAGGTGAGGCGGTGGGCGAGGCCGAGCTAGTAGATGCGGATGGAATGAGACACGTGCATAATCCTACCAGTTGGGGTGACTGCTGTGGCATCAAGGTCCCAAGTGCGGTTGGTGCGCGGAGAGAGGCAGGAAAGAGGGGAGAGGGTGAAGGTTTGAGGAGGGTTCCATTCGATTAGGCGAGTCAATGCTGAGTAAGATGAATGGATTGAAGATGAGCCATCCAGAAGATCACATGTGGAGCCTCGATGCAGCATGTGCTGTTGACCTCTACCGGAAGATTGCTGCGCATAAGACAGGAACAAATCGGAGATCAGCAAATATCCGCGCAACCCTCTCCACCCGCCAGATTGTTACTTTGCCGACCCACAAGAGAGTCCGATGAAGCATTCACGACAATCTCGCTGGAGTTGGTGTTCCCATTGAGATGGTCACATGGAGACATGCCTGGCCAGGAATCCATCATATACCTTCGGCATATACGACCGTAACAGCAGGTCACCTTGTCATGTCTCTTGATCCTCACGTAACTGCTGCAATATCATTGGAGCTTGCGGCTCCGACAAGACGCTTTGAACTGCCTTGGACTTGCATCACTGGATGCTAACGACATCTCCACGTCGCGCTTGCCCAATTGAGTGAATAGCAACGGGGCAACATTCCTCCGCCCCTCGATGGTTTTTTGACAATCCAACCATTTGAGTATTTGAAAGTCTTGCGTTGGCGGGTACAATATATACTGGTCTCATCAATCTCACTGTTGTTTCATCCACACAATCAATATGCGTGCCGCCATCCTAGCGACAGCTCTCCTCTTTCAGCTCAACCGGGACGCACTGGGAGTCCCGCTCTCTGATGGAAAAAGTAGATGACAGCCGCTTCAAGTTATACGACCTCCCCACCCCGCTTACCGGCCCCTGCGACTTGGTCGAGGGTCATGACGGTGCTCTTTGGGGTGAAGGTGTTTTGAACAATGTCATTTTCAGAATGCATCCTCACACTGGAGCTTTCGAGGAGTACCCTATCCCATTCACAACTCCACTTGATGACCATCCGATTGAACTTCCAGGGCTTTTCAAATCATTTACGGACCGTACCGCCTTCTCCTGCGTGATCCGTCGCGGTGCGGATGGGAACTTGTACGCCGCCAACGGTATGCGCAACCAACTTCTTCGCATCAACGAGAAGACGAAGAAGATTGACGTCTTCCAAATCACACCCACCGATCCTCTCGACAACTTGGTCTTCCTGAATGACATCGACACCGCGGAGGATGACATCTACGTGACATCCACCACAGCAAACCCCTTCTCCTTCTTCTCCTTTGCAACGGAGAAGTTCGAGTCTTATTACGTACTCACCCCATTATCCCTTCCATTAGGAGTCCTAGTTGCATCGGATGGTCTAGTATATATTGTCGAATTCAACGTCAACAAAAAATCCTGACTTTCAACCCGACGACCAAAACCATCAACGAGTATGCACTACCAGAACTACTTCAAAGCCCAACAGTCATCCGAGCGGAACACGATGGCTACATGTACTTTGCACTCGGAAGTGGGAATGGTTTGGGACGCATCAGCACCCTCACGAAAGAAATTGAAATCTTCCACACGAATCAAATCGGACTCGCCGGTGCGGAAAATACACTGGACAAATACGGAGGCGTGTGGATTAGTGCTCTGGACCGCAACATCCTCTCGCGATTGGATACCAAGACGCTCGAGTATATAGTTATACGAAAATCCCAATCAGTATTTCCAATATCAAACTTCTTGGTCTTCTCGGCGAGCTGCTGCTACCTGCTGTTGATGTTGCTGTTAATTATGGACCTGGTGATGATGTTTGGTATACAAGTATTCTTTCTAACCAGATCGGGAGATTTAATATTACTGGTTTGTTTGTGTGATTGGAAAATCTTCGAGGGGGTTGATGTCGAGGGTGGTGGGATACATTGTAGATGTGGAATGTATATATATATATATATACTATATATATATTGTCTACCTACTTCGACTGGCTGAAATTTTGTTATCGTAACTTGTACCCAATCTATATAAAATCAACCTCAAGTACGATTAGTATATTCTCGTCGTCGTCGTCGTCATTAAACCGAACTATACATGTAGCTAGGTCTTTCGTACGGGCCGTACTTTTAAAAGGGGGAGACGTTTCGGCCGAAAGAAGTCTACATTACCTTATTATCACTTGATTGAAAAACTCACTCTACTCTAGAATTCCTCCTATACTAGGTAAGTACCTACATAGGTACTCGCTCGCTATCCGAGAGCTACTTTTAATAAGAGAGACGGAGAGAGAGAGAGAGAGAGAGTAGAGTAGAGTAGTACGAGGATAATCCTACCGGACGGAGTAAAGGAGATTAGTAGGCTTTGCTTGCTTGAAATGAATGAAATAGACAATAATGCAAGGAAGGAGTGGGAGTGTCGACTCATCGCTGAAATCAATGAATTAATCGCTCAACATGAATGATCTGAAAAATGTATCCAAGAAACTCCATCGCAATGCAGCCTTCTATTCTCCCAAAAACCCCCCCGCATTGTAGTCTTGAATCTCCTCCAAACCACAACATTGTAAGTCTTAAATCTCCTCGAAGCCAGAATATCCATCTCCAACACCCCATCCGTACATCTCCCCCATCTCTCTCTCTCTCTCTCTCTCTCCATTCTACAACGATACAATCCCATCACAACTGAAACCTCTCCACCCAATGTGAAGTGACGACCCTACCCTCATCAAAACTCTCCTTTTGTATCCGCACCACAATCGCGGCGTGCGTGTGTCGGACCTTCATGATATGCACGGGAAACTTGACGAAACCTACTCGATCCAAATTCTCAATCATTTCAAACTGTTCCTTTTGCAACGCCAGCGWCGGGAAGGGAGATGCCTCGTCGTCCTTGCTGCCACCTTCTTGTCTCGATTTCGTGCGTTGGAGTTCTGCATCCTCCTCGCTTGTGGGTTTGTTAATGGATGATTCTGATGATTTTGATGATGAGGAGGAAGAGGACTCGGGAGGGGGAGTGGGAAGATATGCTTCCGCCTCATCGTTGGCGAGGTTTTGTACGACGCGATCTTGTACGGCCTGTGCTTCTTCCAGCAGTTTGACGCGATATCGATCCAATTGGAATGCCTTTCCCGATTCGTGGTGGCGTAGTCGCTGGTTGGAGCGGAATGTTTGATAGGCGGCGTTGAGCATGAAAGCTGGGACGGCCAAAGGGGTGAGTGCTGCGAGGACGAAATAGACGGGGAGGGTGCGAAGGGTGGTCATTGCGCCGTGCCATTGGCTTGGAGGGATACCTCCTCTTTTGGGGGRGACGTAGTGGTCGGGGTCGAGAATGACGTTTCCGGGCTCGGGTTGTGGGTTGAGGAAGTGGGGAGTGATGGCAGAGAGGGAGACAAAGGGATCGGTGGCGGACATCATGGCGGTGTAGTAGGGCACGCTTCGATCGTTGACGGTGTTGGCATAGATCCATTTGTTGCGAAATTGCTTCAGAGCTTTGATGAAGATGGAGTTGGGATCGGCCATGATGGAGAGGAGCGGGCGGCCGGTGTCACGAAAGGTGTCGATGAGGAACATTTGCTGGCCCGAGGTGGAGAGAGTGCGAGCTCCCATGTAGTTGAACATGTACGATCGGTAGCTGTTTGTGGGCGTTCGGACTCCCAGATGAGGCGTGGCGCTGGAGATGATCTGTCAGTCAGTCCGTCCGTCCATCCATTCAAGATAGATATGAAATGTTTCTTTCACCCACAAAGTTGTAAAGTTGACCGGTTCAATTCGATCAAACAGACCAGAAGAGTACATCAAGCCCACGGCATAACGAGCCACCAATCCTCCCAGAGAGTATCCTGTAATGCTAATCTTCTTGATGCTGGTGCCCTGTTCGGCCTCTAATCTTTCCATTTCCTGCTCGACTTCATACACAATCCTCTCGCCTCCCACCTCGATTCCATCGTACGTGTGATTGTCGGCATTGCTCTTGGCCACGAGAATGTGCAGCTTGTCGGCCGGATATTGCCGCCGAAGACGTTCTCGCAGGTGGTTGAGATGTGAAGGGTTGCCCCAAAGTCTACCATCCCGAGGCGTCAATATAATATCTACGTGCATGTTGCAATAATGTCCATGGTGATGCTTGCCTACCCGTGAACGAGAATCGCGAGATGGTCCGCTCCTTGGGTCGATGCCATGATTGTACAATCGGTCAGATCTGACTGTGAGGAGACCTTTTTCTCTCTCAACGACCGTCGATCGATATCCTGTAGAAGCGGGAGGGAAATTGCACACGAAGGACTATCTTGCCRCCGCCAGCAACCCACGTCGCGCAAACCCCAAAGTGACTTACTTATGCACGCACGCGATGACGACGACATATCGGCCGGCGGAATGCTCAAGTCCGATTGCGGATGCGGCTGCGGCTGCGGCTGCGGTTAGGGCTGATCGGTGGTTGATCGGGTCCGAGGGCCCGTTCCGCTTCACGTGACTCGACACTATCCACCTCATCATGAGCCTTTCATCCCTTCCACTTACCGGAAACAGCAAGCTCTGCCTCCCGCAGGCCATCAGACCTCCCACGCACATCCAAGCGTGTGCACACAATCTCTCGGAGGGAGTGTCGCTGTACAGTATCACAGCTTCAGCCAGTCGGTAAGCACGAGCAGGCTATCATTGCCATATGGTTTCGTATTGTGCTCATTCAACAAACCATCCCCAGCTTCGACTTACCTTCTTCGTCCTCGCTCTTCCGCTCATGATTTGTGCATCACCTCACCTCACCTCATTGCGATTGTCGGCTCATCTCGTGGCAGTGGATCTGTCGGGAGCAACCCTCACAGCATTTCATCCCAACATCCATCAGCGGCTTGCTCTGCTCTCTGCTCTCTCTCATCCACCCTCGACATGCTGTTCTCCACCACCAATCTCTTCAAGGGCATTGCGTGTCCTGCAGGGGCCAACTGCAAACTCACTCACTGCATCTACTCGCATGATGCCCCAGAATTGGCCGCCACACAGCCTCCACCCGCTGCCGTCGTACCTGCCCCCCCGCCACCATCCAATGATGTAGTCGAGCCAGCGGCAAAGCGACGAAAAATCACTTACAACACTCTCGCCGACAAGCCTCTAAGCAGAGCTGACATGATTCGATCTCAACTGGCAGCTGTTCGACCATCGGCCTCGTCTTCATCTTCCAGTTCACATTCATCAACATCTTCAACATTGTTGCATCCACCTCGGACTCTTGTCAAGCCGGTTTCGCCCCCACAAACCTCCAAAGCGGTAGCAGCATCGGGAAAAGTCGCATCTTCAGCTGCACCTCCATCCAGTTCAGCAGTCAAGATTGAGACTCTCAATCCTCGTTTGATCCCCAACGATCCCGTCGGACATGCGAAGCGTTCTCTCTTCATCAAACACCTCCACGCCGAGATGGTGCGTCTTAACAAGCAAGTTGGTGACGCGGGGGGTCTCGAGGGTGTCATGTTTCTGCCTGAGCAGGAGCTGATTAAGCTCGCGCTTGACGAGGAGGAAAAGGTGGTCCGCGAGCAGCCCAAAGTCTACCCAAACATCATCAAGCAACGAATCTCCACTCTGAAGAAGATCTCGACAGAGGATTGGACGAAACAAGTTCAAGCGATTCGAACAAAAGACTCGACAATGCCGAAGAAGAAGAATAAGTCCAGTGAGGAAAAGGTCATCAACACCGGGCTCGAACTCGAGCAGGAGATATTGATTTTGCCGCACCTGGTCGTCACCGACCAGTCCACCCTACAACCTCATGGCTATATTCCGACGCCACCAACCCCGCGCGAAGCGTCAATCGCAGCTGAGGCGGTAGAAGCCAGCCGCAATTATGAAGAGTGCGATCGCTGCGCCGCGCGATTTCAAGTCTTCCCCGACCGCAATTCCGAGACGGGTTTGTTGACAGGAGGGGGAATTTGCAAATTCCATCCCAATCGTCCCATACAACCTCCAAAAGCCAACAAAGGCGAGGCGCTAAAAGCAAAGGTTCACCCGTGTTGTAATGAGACGATTGGAACTCCCGGCTGCGCGGAGAATGAGGAGCATGTCTTCAAGACGACTTCTCCAGCGAGACTGGCGGCTGTCTGTCCTTTTATTGTCACTCCGGAGAACCCGACACCCCGCCGCTCTCCACTGAATGGGAAAGAAATCAAGGCGGTGGTCTTCGATTGCGAGATGGGCTACACCTCCCTCGGACTCGAGTTAATCCGTCTGACAGCACTATCCTGGCCCGAGCACGAAGAACTTGTGGATGTACTCGTCCGACCTCTGGGTGCCATTATCGACCTCAACTCCCGCTTCTCCGGCGTCTACCCTGAAGATTACTCGAACGGCAAGATCCCAGTAGTCGAGGGACCGGCCAAAGCACGCCACCTCATGTGTGAATATCTCACTCCCAGCACCCCTTTGATGGGCCACGCCATCGACAATGACTTGAACACCGTCCGACTCTGTCATCCCACCATTGTGGACACCGTTCTCCTCTTCGCCCACTCGAAGGGACTCCCCATGCGACTTGGCCTTCGAATGTTGAGTCAGCGATATCTCGGCCGCGCGATCCAATCTGGAGTGGGAGGTCACGATTCCAAGGAAGACGCGATCGCTACGGGAGATTTGGTCAGGTGGAAGGTGGGAGAGAAGTGGAAGGCTTTGAGGGTGGAGGGGTGGAAGATTGACGAGGGTGGATTGGTGCGGCCGGATGGGGATGGGGTTGAGGATCCTGCTTGGGCGGAGGGGGGAGGGAAGAGGAAATTGGCTGATTTGTTGGAGGATGTGGGTGAGGGGAGTAGTGGTGGTGGTGGTGGTGGCGGTGGTGATGTTGGGGAGGAGGGTGTGGCAAAGTAGGATGATGATGATGATGATGTTTCTCTCATTCTCGAGGGGAGAGTGGTCGTGGTGGTGAGGAGGGAGTAGTATGATATGATGATGTTCCTCTCGTTATCGACGAGGGTGATTTCTGATGAGGTCTACTCTACTTTCACAAATCGGGAATCAGGTCATGTATTATTGCAGTGGTCTACTAAAACCACCATCAATGATCATCATAGCCTTCATCATCATAGTCACATTGCATCAAACATATCCTCCAGTCCTTTTGTTTTTGTTTTTTGTTTTTGCATTTTCATCTGTGGAGTAGGTGTGGGAGGTGGGAGTAGGAATGGTAGTGAGAGTTTTATAGAGGTCATGTGGAGTAGTGAGTCTACCTACTATACATACAGCCCCATTCCTGCATATGGGAAGACTGAGCTGGAAGTCCGATCCGTTTCCGCATCAAAATCATCGACAGACAACAGAATGGAGTTCGCGCATGGGTGGTATTGGATGAAAAAAGCCTCCGTGTCTCTATGTCCTTGGCGTGCACGATTCCTGTTTGCGGGCTAGGTATACTTTCCAGTTCCTAGGTAAGACAGACTAGCTTTCTTTTAATGTAGAGGTGGAGGTGGAGTGGGAGGTGGAGTGGGAGGTAGAGGTGGATAGTTGGAGGTGGATATGGAGAATGGGAGTGGGGGTATAGGTATAGGTATAGATATAGGTGGAGTCACATGAAGTTATGAGTTGTCCACGGGTGTGAACCAAACTTTTGAAAARCTTTGTTATGTCCTTCCGATCGATTGTCGATTGTCGATTCGCTTTACCCTATTCGGGGAATCCACCCATGCCATGGAAGAACTAGAGCTAGGTAAGGTAAGGTACGGATCGATGAACCGAGAAAGAGTGGAAGGCTTTTCATCATGTCCCGAATTTTCCGCCGTTAGGTTCATGTGGGCATGGTGGTCATGTGAAACGAAGGACGGATGGACGGGTTGGCCGTTGGTAATCATCTAAGGTACCCACCCAAGGTAAAGAGTACCTAGGTAAGGTGCACATGTAGTAGGTACTACGAATGATCGGATCAGGTGATGAGTTTGGTAGACATGCCCGTTGTTCGTGTTAAATATATAAATATATATATATATAGCTTTTATCCGTCGCGCGGGGTGTGGATTAATAAACAGTACTCCAACACGCGTACGAAGTATTTATTACCTTATATATACTTTCCATCGGGCTGTTGTTCTCCTTGCAGGGATTACCTATATACATTGCTTGGCCGGTTGGGGTTTTGTGGACCTTGCCCCTGCACTTGCGCGCCTGCACCTGCACCTGCACCTGCACCCTGCGCCGGAGCCAACCTACCTACCTTACGGGCAGAATAGCGGGCGATCAAATCATCTCTCTCTCCCCTCCTCCCCCGAATTCATTTACTGATTTGATTGTGGCTGCCCAAAGTCACCCTTGGGCCTTGCCTTGTCTTGCCTTGTTCTGGTCTTGTTCTGGTCTTCGCTTCCGTTCGCTTCACTTAACTCCACACTACACTACAGCTCTTCAACTCGTTTCTTGTCCTTCTCTTCCACTACCAACCAACCAGCTGGTTCTGGGGGAGGGAAATTGTCGCCGTCTCAGATCGGACGGAAGATAGAAGGCAGGAAGGRATTGTATTGGAAGGGATGAGTCTGATTTCCCCTCGAGTCACGATGCCGGAAGGGCAGAAACGCCACGGCGGCAAGGGGCGGGAGAAGGTGCTGCTGCAGAGACAGAGACCGATGGAGAAGGACAGGGAGATGCAGGGTCTCGGCGAAACAGGCACCAGGCGATATGACGCACGTCGCGCGGAGGATGATGGAACGGCGGAAGAGGAGGAGGAGGATGTGACGGAGGGAGTGGAGGAAGAAGAAGAGCAAGAGGAAGAAGACGACGAGGAAGAGCAAGAAGAAGACGAGGAAGAAGAGGAAGTAATTGCGCACCAGACACCAAACACACCCACACCCGCCAGAAAAGTCAAGCAACCAGCACTACAACAACAACAACAACCACCACCCATCATCACCCACAATCTCGTCCTCCCTCGACGCCTTCTCCATAAACCTCCACCCGCCGACCGACACGTGGAGCAACAACCCTCTCCCACTTCCCATCCGCAACAAAGATCGCTCTTTCCCCGCTCCCACCTGCGATCCCGCTCCGACGGCACAGTCCTCTTCTCCAACTCACCCTCGGCCTCGGCCGCCCCACCCATGGCGCGAACGCGCAGTGCCGACTATCTCACTCCCCAACACGCCGCGCAACAAACCCACCCCGCGGGACTGCGAACACCACCCACACGACAACGCTCTCCATTCGGGGAAGAACATCCTCGACCCCGCTCCCCGCGAAGTTGGGAGGGTTCGGGAATTCCCAGCATTCAAGAAGATGTCGCGTTGAATATCCCTCTCTCCCGCCCTCTGATCCCTCTCGCTCGCTCTTCTTCGGGGAGTTTGCGAAGAAGTCGACCTGCTAGTCCTCTTCACAGCGTTACAAATGCGGTGTCCACTCCTTCCACCAACAATTATGCTGGTAGCATCAACTATGCTGGTAGTCATACTGGCAGCGCCAACTACGCTGGGAGTGCAGATGGGAGTGAGCGAGGCAGTCCACAACTCGGACCCATTCAACGCTACTACTCCAACGAAGCATATCCCTCGGCGACCTCCAGCAGTGCAAGTCTGTCCAGCACACCTACCAGTTGGATGTCGCGAAGTCGCTCGCCGAGCATCAGCTCGCTGGAGACGATTGAAGACGCCGGAGAGGAGATCGAGATGAAGGAAGCCGAGGAGGTGGAGAAGTTGAGGGAAGCTGCTGCTGCGGATGCCGAGGGAAGTCGCAGGAGTTCCTTCGATGGAGGTGGTGCGGGAAGATTGAGAGGTGTGCTGGGGAGGGAAAGGAAGAGGTGGAGTGTTTGTGGAGGGGAGAGGAGGGCGGATTTGGACTTGGAGACGATTTGGGAGGATTGATGAGGATTGACGGGGAGGGGAATGGTGAGGATGGAAGAAGCAGTCCAGTTGCAATGTTTGATGACGACGTCTTTTACACCTTGGGAGTTATGGATTGGGGGAGAAGCGTGGGAGCATCTTGTTTATTGYGGGGGTACTACCGATGGATGGATGGATGGATGTTTGTTTGTTTGTTCGTTCTTGTTATGTAGCATGCGGACTGCTTTGCGATACCCCAWTAAAATGGCGATTGAGGAGTTTGTTCTTGGCTTGAATTGAATTGAAATCATATGATTATCTTGGCTGCAGTGGAAGTCTGGGAAATTGTCTACATCTTTCGTATAATCAAGCCTGTACTGTGTGCTGTATGGATGATAATGCTCGCATGTGACGGGTATGAAAGATGGAACCGTACTGTATAAATGTCTAGTGCTCGCATGTGATAAGGTAGGCATGAAGATGGTGGAAGAAGTAGAAAGGATGGAACCGAACTGTTTACCTTGAATTTTGAGTGCTCGCATGTGATGGGTATAATAATACAGGATGGAACCGTACTGCATAAATGTCTAGTACTCGCATGTGACTGGCATAAAAGATGGAATAAGCATAGAAGATGGAACAAGAATAGAAGAAGATGGAACAAGGGCTGATGAAATTGAAGATTGCCGCCTTGAGGGTACTTGGAGCAGCTGAAGATGTTAGACTTCTCTATAACAACGATAACATCAATAACAGCACGACTAGGCAGACGTATTTCACAAGACATATTGACTCTCTCTAGGGCTTCAATTATTTTGTGCGAATAATTCAGCTACCTACCTTATCGCGAGCATTATCGTGGAACAGCCCACCCGAACCTCTGCCGTGAATGCGACTTGATCATCACCGTCAAAATTAATGATATTAAACAACAACAACATTAACAACCAACAACGACACCCTAACCTAGGGCTCTCAAGAAAATGACCCCTCAACACCCCCTCCCCCCACCATTCTCCACCTCCCCCTCCCCCTTCACCCTCATAATCCAAGGCGCCGAATCCCTCCTCTACCACACCACCTCCCCCAACAACCCGACCGAACCCTGCGCCTTGAAAATCCGCCCCTCGAAACTCTGGCGCCACCCACTCCTCGACAAACGTCTCACCAAACAACGCATCCTAGCTGAATCGCGCGTTTTGGTGAAATTATCCCAAAGTTTGACGACGGGGCAGACCCGGCAGCTGTTTTCTGTTCCTGCGGTTTTGGGCATGGATTGGGAAAATGGGTGGTTGGCACTTGAGTGGATTGAGGGGAGGACTGTGAAGGCTGTTATTCGAGGACGGAGGGATGGAAGGGAGGAGGATAATGAAGAGGAAGGGTTGAAATCCATGATGAGAAGAATTGGAATCGCCGTCGCCACGTTGCATTCTTTGGGGATTGTACATGGGGATCTCACGACTAGTAATCTTATGCTGAGGGGGAATAATGTTGATGATGGAGGGTTTGAGGGGGAGGTGGTGGTGATTGATTTTGGATTGAGTGGGCAGAGTGTGCAGGAGGAGGAGCGGGCGGTGGATTTGTATGTGTTGGAACGGGCGTTTGGGAGTACGCATCCTAGAGAGGAGGGGCTGTTTGGGGTCGTTTTGGAGGGGTATTTGGAGGGTGCTGGTGGGAAGTGGGGGAGGGGCGTGTTGAGGCGGTTGGAGGATGTGAGGATGAGGGGCAGGAAGAAGAGTATGATTGGGTGATTGGTGGAGTTTATGAGATGATGATATGACATGATATGAGATATGAGATGAGATGAGGTTATGATGGTCGGGAAATCCTGGCCTCGCGTTCTATGCTGGGTGGAAGAAGAAGGGAGGCGTGATTTTCTTCCTTCCTTTGGGAGACTTTGTGTGGATATGAGTATGATGTCCGGACTCTCTTACAAAGTGCCGGATCCTCTCACAGACTGCTGGATCCTCTCACAAATTGCTGGATTCTCTTCCCAACTACCACCTTCTCCCACAACAGCAAACCCCAGGGATCCCATGGCCTCGCATCCCACCTACCTGCCATTTCGAAATCCTCGAGAACTGTTCCTACCTCAGAGTAAGGTATATATTGTCGTGGGGGATTAATACCTCTCGAGTCTTTAGCATCGAACACGACATATCTTAACTGACTAAGGAGGACATCCATCTCAATCCCTCCAGCAAGGCAGGCAGGCAGGCAGCCATCCCTGTTCTTTCTCAAAATGCGGGTGTATATACGATGGGCACGAAACGCTCCGATATCACTGTTCTTTCTTGGAAGATGAGAAAGGGGTATATGTATGCCCTTCGATCCGTCCACTCCTTAACATTAAACATGGTGAAATGCTGGGTTGAGAAGTGATTGTCTGAAGATCTAAAGTACTAAGTGGCTACAAGATGGTGAACATATGACATGGATTGGTCAATTGAGTGACTAGCCACCGTCCTTTGAACAATACAGATCTTCAAGTCGTCACGGACTGACTGGGCAATCATCGCTTCATACCATTCATCGGAGACGAATGCCATCATAATATGTACTACTACCTTCCCTCTACTTTGCCTCGTACAAAGCATGAAACGCCGACCCAGTCTCCCTCAACAACCCCCTCGGACATCCCACCTCAACAATCTGCCCCCGATTCAAAACAACCACTCGATCAAAGTCGAGGACTTCATGCAATTYATGCGCCACAGCAACAATCGTTCGACCGACGAATTCCTCCCGAATCACCCCCTGCATTAAACTGGCAGTCGTACTATCCACGCCACTCGTCACCTCGTCCAAAATCACCAAGTTCCCACCCTTGACTAAACAGCGTCCAAGACAGAATAACTGGCGTTGTCCATGCGAGAGTGGAACATCTTCCRTGTCGGCGTCCAAGCCCCCATTCTCATCAATCGCTTTCTCCCAGAGATGGAGTTTCTGTAAAATGTGTATCAAACGCTCCTCACTGACTGAATGATAGGGATCCAAATTCTCACGTACAGTGCCCCTGAGAAAGAAAGGTTCTTGAGGGAGAGTATTCAATCTCCTTCGCACTTCTTCCCGCGGTATTGTGGTGATGTCTACATTATCAATGGAAATTCTCCCGTGGTCGATATCCACCGTTCGGAGAAGTGTGCCTGTTAGAGATGATTTGCCGCTCCCTGTACGACCGCAAATGGCCACTTTCATCCCGGAATCAATGACAAGGTTGATATTTCGCAGGATGGGGTTGGTTAGGGAGTCGTACGAAGCCTGCACATTCTCAAACACTATCCTGCCTTGCGTTGGCCACTCGTTTGATAAACTGCCCTTCTCCCCGGGAAGATTCTCATTCTGGACGTTTTGCTCATACGCGCGAATCCGATTGATCGCTCCAAGAGCTGCTTCTACTTGCGTCCATTCAGTCACTAGACTCTGCACGGTAGAGGAGAAGATGACGATATTGAAGAGCGCCACGCCGAGAAACTCGGTGGATCCATTGTGGATATTGGTGGCGATTGCCACGAGAGTAATGGCTACTCCCGCGTTGAGAAGATCCAGGACCAGAGTCAACCATCGCTGCAGGCAGAATAAGAGATAATAAGGTCGCTGGGAGTTATTGAGTGCTTTTAAATTCCGTTCCGCGTATTCTGCTGTCCAGCCATATGCCCGAATGGATTCAATACCGTGGATCGTTTCGAGGAAGTGCGAGAAGAGAGGGGCTTTTGCTTCGATGTCGAGGAGGCGCATTTGGCGGGATGTTCGTAGGTAAAAGAGGGATATCAAGATTATCACCACGATGAGGACGGGTATCGCGGCTGCTATGTATCCGGAACCGGAAAATACTAGTGCTGCGGTGACGATTGTTGACATGAATTGGAAGATTGCCTGGTTGATGGCTTGGGGGAGATCGTTGTCGATTAACTCCAAGTCTTGACTGAATCGATTCAATGTCGTTCCTGCGTCCGTGGAGGTGAGGAAATTGGTTGATGCGCTGTTTACAATTAGCACAGCTTTTCCTCATCGATAATAAACAAAGGATTGGGATTTCCCATACTGCATCGTGGTATCTAGCAATAGCTCGTGGAATCTCTTTGACGTTTTCGGCAGTAAGAGTAAGTTGAATACCCTTGGGAAAAGATTAGCATCCCTCTCCATGTGGAATGGATGAATGAATGAGAATGATTCCCCAACAATACATACGAGTCTGCGATTGCACATCCAACGAGCGTCAAGAACCCCAACCCGGCAAAAACACCAATCCAATAAGGAATACGCTCATTCGGATGTTTGGCATTGGCATTCGTCCACCATTGTAGCCATAGCGCTATTCCCGTCATCTTATTAGCACAAAAAAACATCTTGCAAGGCTTACTCATGCACTCTCTCACGCATACAAGGTGGGCTTGACTTACAGGGGAATGTGAGGCCGAAAACCAAAACGGCACACGCGAGTAAATATAGCGTTATCAATGGCCATCCTGCTATACGGGCGTAGTAGAGGTAGACTTGCCAGTCGCCCGTCTTTCGAGCATTTCCATCCTTTTCAAAGTCATCCAGGAGACGATGGAGTTGTTGTTCGTCGTCGTCGTCGTCGGCAGAATCTGAAAATTTCTCGTGGGTTGTAGTAGTAGGACCGGGTAGAGTTTCGACGTGTGGTGTATCCTTCTCCTCCTCCTCCGATATCGTGTCGAGACTATTGCTAGATTTGACGGTTATTTGTGCGTCTTGCTTTAGGATACCCCCGTCGGTACTCAGGGGTATGATATGATCTCCTAATTTCAAGTGATCGGTAGAAGTTGTAGCCAGCACGACCGTGGCGTTCATTCTAGTAAGTATCCCCGCCGTACCAAATACAGTTTCTATAATGTGCTGTTCCGTAGCTCGATCCAGACCTTCGAGTACTCCATCCAATAGCATGACTGGTCGTCGGGAATAAATCGCCCGAGCAAGTGCGATGCGTGATTGTTGTCCTCCACTCAGACGGGAACCTCTATTGCCAATCAACGTCTGCTCGCCTTCGGGTAATTGTGCGAGATCGTGGGATAAAGCACAGGCGGAGAGGACTTGTTGATACCAGTTCTCGTCCCAGATGGACTTGCCGATGATGTTGCTGCGGATGGTGCCCCAGCTACACCATGCCTTTTGCGAGCAGTAGGCTATTCTTGAGTCGGTTGTCTTGAGGGAACCTGAGAAGATAGGCATCTCTCCGAGGAGAAGTTTGAGCAGTGTGGTTTTGCCGCAACCGATATTTCCGTGGATGATTGTTGTCTGGCCTCGTGGGATGCGAAATGTCAAGTCTTTTAGGATGGTTTTGCCTTCGTTTTCATAGCATGCTGTGATATCTTCGGCGTCGAAAGCGTTCATAGATTCGACCATATCCAACTTGGCCTTTTCAGGGTGCGGCGGCGTATATCTCTCTGGAAGAAGTGTTCTGTAGTCCTCTCGATCCCGAGATACGAGATACTCCTGGATACGTCGGAAAGAATTGACCAGCGTCTGGAAATCTTCCATGCCGTCCACGGCATATTGGACAGGTTGCTGTAGTAACTCAAAGAGACTCAAGGCGCCAAACGCAACGCCTGCTGTTAGTGTTCGTTGAGGATCACTAGACTTGGCTAGCAATATGTACGTCAGAAATCCTAGAACTGGAGCCATGGCTAGAGAAGCAAAGGCTGGACGAAATTCATAGTCAGTCATGAATTTTGATAATGTCAATGACAGGCCTACTCACAAGATACAAAGACGAAAATGTTCAACACTCGATGACGCCTTGAAGCTCGGATTTCAGTAATCCTTGATGCAGCAATGAGCGAGTGAACATGCTCCATCAATCCCGTCATTTTGATTGCCTTCATCGCGCTCAAAGCTTTGGCAGTAGACGCCAGACGATCCTCTATCGCTTCCAGCCAGGGGATTTGTGCGTTCCCGGATGCCTTTGCAATGGGAATGCCGATTGCAACACAAACTACACATACAGTCATCAGTCAGTCCTTTGGGGATGAAAATTTCTCAGGGGATCTTTTTTTTTTCTTTCTCAACGGACATGCTTACTGCCCATCCATGCCAAAGGAGGCACCATTGCAATCCCGAGAAAGTCATAGAGGAACCAAAGTGCTATGCCGGCTTCAATCACACTGGCGTATAAATCGTGGATGATGTGCATGCTACCCGTGATACGATCTATATCCGCGCTCATAAGAGTCACTGCTTCTGCATTGTTGTAGGTGGAAGTCTCGGCGCGGAGCGTCTTGTCGAATATCATGGAGACCAGTGACCCGCGAACCATGGTGAGTAATCGGTAGGTCTTGTGCTGATAGACGGAGTATGATAACTTGTAGCTCGTCAGATGATGGAAAGTGTGGGCTTCAAATACAAGGGGAATGGTGATGCGTACTGAAATCCCAATATAAACAATGGCGTATGCTCCTATCAACGCGTAGGCGGTGGTAGTGTTGCTTTCTAGACCTTGAGACGCCGCGGTGAAGTCTAGTACGCTTTGTACGAGGTATGGCTGGGCGAATGCAAATCCAGCGTAGGCTAGTCGAGGGAATACGCCTGCGAGTGCCGCCCATTTGAAATGCTGTGCAAATACCCATAAAAGGTCGTCATCGTTTGGGGTTTCTTCTTTTTGTTGGCGAAGATTGTTCCACTTTGTTGTGATGGCTGATGGTTCGGAAGCTGCGAGGATCTCATCGTCGAGTGGGAGCAGGGTATTAATTGTTAACAAGCTGCGGAAGCCTTTGATGAAGACCGCATTCAACCAGAGGAACAAGGCACGGCTCAGAGTACTGCTCGTAGCTTCCAACGAGGCAGTCTTGGATTCGGGTCTTAACATCCCTCGCTTCTCAACCAACTCGAAGCCCAGAATGAGTAGTTTAACCAACAGACTTGTCAGATTGACTCTAGCAATCGTCTCACCTTGCGATGTGAAGAACAGGGTCCTTGTCCGGGCCAGATCCAGGATGGAAGTGATACCAAGATGGAGAACGAGCATGGTGGATGGCCGCACGGAACGTGTGTGCTCAAGGTAGGATACTACTGGCAAGAAGGCATGGATCACTATGCTGAATGAGATGCATACCAGGGTGAATCGTGTTCGCGGTACGCCATTAGGAGCCCATAGTGCTAGGAGCGCGATCTGAAGACCTTCATATGTGGCATAGCAAAGCTACTGGTTGTGTCAGTTATGATCTCATTGTGTTTGCTCTAATATATCCGAAACTCACCAGTTTAGTTGGGAGGAGGAATGATGGGAACACTATGGCGGCTTTGTGGCGAAGCACGACTATGCGAAGGATCGCCCATAGACCTGCGTGTCAACATCGTATTAGCGCTTCTAGAGATTTCGTGCAGATTTCTTTTTTGGGGGGTTACTACATACTAGCCACCAGTAGTGGAAGAAATGTCAGGATTTTCTCCTCGAAAAGTAAGGTGAAGTCGAAGCCATTCAAGCAAGCGTCGGACACAATGGGCCCGAATTTATCCTCGACGACTGGCGTACAAGGCATGTTGCTGCAGTGGTGGAAGTTCCAACACAGAACGAAGAATTGAACCTCGAATGAGCGTGGATGGAAGAGATTCCGCCTCTAGATCTCAGGAGGCCAGAAGGAAAACACCCTTCTCATCTGGCGTATGGACTGCRAACCATTCCAACCCATATTCTTCTGATCTGCAACGGTACATCAGCTGAGCTCGGTTCCTGTGCAACGTCCAGATAGACCCGGGTTTCGTGGTGGCTCTAGCGGCGTGTCTTGTTTCATCTTGGTCAAATTATGGCTCAAGGCAGACCTCGGGTTCCTATGATAGCCTCAGCCAAACCCGGATGGATGTACTCCCACCTCAAGTGCGCTGCCTATATAGAGTATAGCGGGATGCACTCTCTCGGGAGTTGAAATGCCGTCTTTCGTAATGATCCTCTCTCGGGGAGGTCGTTCCGCATTATTAATCTGCATGCAGGTGGCGATGAGTTGCATGCTGACTTGGACCCCCTTTTTGGCTTGGCAGGAGTTTGGCAGAAGGGAATATGCAGGTGGATACCATCCAGGTCATTGACAGTTAAGCTACACAAGGCTGATGCTTGGTCTTGTACTCTGCATGCATCTCACGTTTAACGAGAATGCGAAGAAGTGCCGTTTGGTGGATATTGTCTTGGATTACCGCTTCGGGATGCGTATTTTTAGTGGATTGCCTGAATGCCTCGTCGTTGAATTCGACACAACGTTGGAGTCTAACGTTATGTAGTTCCCTTTATTAACTGACCTGGTGGTGCTCGGAGGGCTGGTGTGGCTTCCCCGACGGTACATGAGCTTTTCGTGGTGCGTGCTGGGTATGCTGGGTCCATTTCCGGGTACAAATTGGACGTTCCATTGCAATGATGCCTGGGTGTGCCATTGAGAATTGTGTGACCACACATTACCTTTAAGATACTACCATTGCAGAGCCATCAATGGTTTATATCGACAACTAACACTGCTCCGTCAGGCCGCTACAGGATGGATCTCTCAGTATGCACAGAGCCGCCTGGAACTAGCAACCATGGCCTAACCAAGAGAGAGGATCCATTTTCTTTGCTTCCTCCGTTCATCATCAAGTCGGAGGCCATTGCTCATACTGTACAACTCTGCCGCGTGAAGATTTCGCAGGTCGTCGATCTAATCCCATGCACACCTCTTCAAGAAGGGTTAATGGCCATCACGGCTGTTAGTCCAGGGGCCTACGTATCGTGCTTTACCTTTGATATCGAGACGGAGTCAGACKTCGGAAGACTGCAGCAAGCTTGGAACAAAGTCGCAGCCGCCAACAGTATTCTTCGGACGAGGATCGTTAGTATACCAACAACACAAGGCGACATTCTCCTGCAAGCCGTCCTAGATGACCCATTACGGTGGATAGAAAGGGAAAAAATCGACGACGGCCCAGATTCCCGGCTTCGAATGGGACTTGGAGAGCGACTTGTAGGCCTTTCATTCATCAGCTCATCCTCCAGCACACTGTCCCGTCGGCTTTTCCTCGAGATTCACCATGCGTTGTATGATGGCTGGAGTTTGGATCTAATTCTTGAAGAGGTCGAAAGAGCATATCACGAGCAGCCAGCGAGCAGACTGCTCCCGATGCAATACTTTATTCGCCACCTGCAGGTTCAAAACCAGGGAGAGGAAAATATATTCTGGAGCCGGTACTTTGAAGGCACCCGTGCCATACACTTCCCCACAGCGGTGAAAGATATACAACCACAGCCCAATAGCCAGATCACCCTCAATATACCAAACTTGACGTGGAGGAACCGCGATTACACGCGAGCCAGTATCGTTTCGGCAGCTTGGGCGATAGTGGTCGCAACTGAAATGGACACCGAAGAGGCGCTATTTGGGATGACCGTCACTGGTCGTCAAGTTCCTTTGAAAGATGTAGACCTCGTTGTGGGACCTACGATTGCAACTGTGCCGCGGAGAGTCTCCTTGAAGTGGAACATGTGCTGCAATCATCTCCTCGACGAGGTGCAGCGTGGAGCAGCAGAGATGATTCCATTCGAACAGACTGGGATTCAGAAAATCTCTCGGATGAGCGATAGCGCTGCATTGGGATGCCGGTTTCAATCACTTCTTGTCTTGCAGCCTGTGGATTTTGCTGGGGATTCAACTTTGAGCACTCGCGTTCTTCGTGAAATTGCAGATCAACAATCGGGATCAACATCTGACWCATATTCTGTGGTCGTCGAATGTCAAATGGATGAAGACGCAGTCCAGGTGCGGGTGGCGTTCGATTCGAGAGTCATAACCCAGCAGCGGATGGAGTTTATCGCCGAAAACTTCGTATATGCCATTGCTCAGCTTTCTGACAGTGATTCAGCAAACCGACAGCTTACGACCCTACAAGGAGGATCCTCGGATGTTCATCAAGCGTGGGAATGGAATGATATTGTGCCCGAGCCTACCCGGGAGTGTGTTCACAATGTCATTTCTCGCAAGGCCATCCAATACCCCTTGTCACCTGCGATTGATGCCTGGGATGGCAGTTTCACCTATGGGGAGCTGGAAGACCTCACCACAAAAATCGCTCTCCATCTTCACAGTAGATCGCTCAAAGGGAAGGTCGTCTCGCTTTTGTTTGAGAAATCAAAGTGGATGCCGATAGCTGCCGTTAGCGTGATGAAAGCAGGAGGTGTCTGTCTTGCTTTGGACGCCCAACAACCTCCAGCTCGACTGAAGGGGATAGTGACGCAAGCGGAGTCTGAACTGATTTTATGTGCCGAGAGCAACATCTCCCTTGCGCAGCAGATTGGAGGACATGTACTTGTCGTTGGACCAGACCGCCAGTGGCCGAGGGGGGATTCATCCACCCTGCCGACCGTAGTTCCATCTGATGCCCTCTACGTCAACTTCACCTCAGGCAGTACCGGGATCTCAAAGGGAGCTATCAGCACGCATGAGGGCTTCTGTTCTTCGAGAACTCACCAACAGAAGACACTGGGGTTCTCCGAATCATCACGTGTGCTCGACTTCTCCTCCTATGCCTTTGATGCGTCCTGGGCGAACTGTCTGCACAGTCTAACTTCTGGGGGCTGCCTTTGCATTCCCGCACAAGAGGAGCGTGATAATGATCTTGCTGGTTGCTTGAAACGATACAACATCAACTCGGTGGATCTCACGCCATCTGTTGCGCGGATTGTCGGTCGCGAGTCTCTTTCGCAGCTATCTTCCCTCATTCTAGGCGGGGAGCCCGTTGTTCCTGAGGATGCCAATCTAGCCGGCCCAGATACCAAGATCTTCAACGTTTACGGACCTGCTGAATGCACAATCACTGCAACACTGGCGGAACTGCGACCAAATGACATTTCCATTGGGCGTGGTGCAGGTGTATGTACTTGGGTCGTCAACACAGACACCGATACTCTCAGCAAGATTGGAGAGGTTGGTGAGCTTTGGCTGGAGGGACCTTTGGTAGGCAAAGGATATCTCAATGACCCACAACGTACGAAAGAATCCTTCATCGAGAACCCTTCCTGGCTGGTCGCGGGTGTCACTGGTACATGTGGCCGGCCTGGTCGGCGGGGAAGACATGGAATACTATATCGTACTGGTGATCTCGTTCGATATAGAGCGGATGGATCGTTGATATTCGTGGGGCGCAAGGACACGCAAGTCAAGATTCGTGGGCAGAGAGTTGAGCTGAGCGAGGTCGAACAGCACATTCTGGACGCCCTACCGGTTGATATTTCTGCGACGGTGGTTGCGGAGTTGATCAACCCAGTGGATACCCGCGGAGGCGCTCTTGTTGCGTTTGTGACACTGAAAGATGCAGAGATTACCGACATGACTGAACAATCACACAATGCGGCTGTTGAAAACGCCGTGGCGGGTGTGCTGGCCAGCCTCGCGCAAGTCATTCCCCCGTATTTGATACCAGCCGTCATAATCCCCTTACAGAGACTACCTTTGCTCAGTTCAAAAAAGATTGACAGGAAAGCATTGCGCACTCTCGGTGCGAGCCTCTATACTCAGCATCGCAACACTGGCAGTCGGGCGGAAGAATGCTTGGACTTGCAGCCTTCCAATGATGCAGAAACCATTCTCCAGCAAGTCTGGATGTGTGTTCTCAACTTATCCATGGACGAAGTACCGATCAACAAGTCTTTCGCCCGGCTCGGTGGAGACTCCATCACTGCAATGCAAGCCGTCTCACAGGGTAGGCTTCGTAACATCTCGTTCACCGTAACAGATGTACTGGAAGCTTCAACGATTAGGAAACTCGCTCCTCGTTGTAAACTTGTTGCACCACCGCAAGCGTTTGAATTGAGCCAGCTTGGGAGTGCGGAAGAGGGTACAGGGGACGGGAATCCTTTCGACTTGTCTCCCATCCAGAAAATGTTCTTCGAGGCATACCCAGAGGGCMTCAATCATTGGAACCAGAGCTTCCTCCTGGAACTTGAAAGACCAGTTTCCACAACACTGCTAGACAATGCTTTGAAAGCTGTCGTCGCACGCCACGGAATGTTACGCTGTCGGTTTGAAAAGGATACAAGAACCGGTCAATGGATACAGAGAGTCATGCCAAAGACTGACGGTGATGCTTCTCTCCTGCAAGCGCACGTCGTAGACTCCCTCGAGCAAGTTTTCAAGACCTCTCGATCAAGACAGCAATCGCTTAATCTCCAACATGGTCCGGTCTTCACCAGTGACTTGTTCCAGATATCTTCTACTGGAACTCAGCTCCTTCTCTTATCGGCTCATCACGCAATCATCGATCTCGTATCGTGGCGTATTCTATGGGTTGACATTGAGGACTTTGTAGACCACGGGAAACTGCTTTCGCACCCGACAGCCTCCTTTCAGCAATGGTGCCATCATCAGATTGTCGTGGGATCCAGCCTCTCTCCTTTGTCGGTCTTGCCCTATGTGTTTCCTGAGCCGCCGTTGAACTTCTGGGGCATCTCGCCTTCGGACAACACATATGCAGGGTGTGAGGCTCATGAGCTCAGCTTTGATTCGAATATCACCTCAGCTCTATTCGGAGCAGTCAATGAAGCTCTTCGTACCGAGCCGATTGAAATTATGATCGCGGCATTGATGCATTCGTTCCTGCAGATATTCCCTGAGCGAGAGCCGGCGGTTGTATGGCTGGAGGGACATGGCCGCGAATCACTCGACGAGACACCTATAGATGTCACCAGTACAGTCGGATGGTTTACCACCCTCCACCCTCTTGTCGTTCCTATATCCCTGGGAAGTACCCTCGTGGATACAGTCCGTCTCGCCAAAGACAACCGACGGCGTGTACCCAACAAAGGCCAATCCTACTTTTCCTGTCGTTACCACAGCGAGTCTGGACGGGAGATATTCAAAGGACACGGCCTCCCGGAATTGGTCCTCAACTTCTCGGGCCAATTTCAGCAACTGGAGGCCAGAGGAGGCCTTTTCACGCGTCCGGACAGCTTCGGCGTGGAGAATAGCGATATTGGCGAGATCGCTCCAACAGCAAAACGTACCAGCATGATCGAGGTCAACGCAGCAAGAGAAGAGAACCAATTCCTGGTCACATTTTACATCCACAAGGATCTGAAGCATAGAGAGAGGCTGAAGGAGTGGATCACTTCCTTTTCTCATACAGTGGAGTCTGCGACCGAGGAACTACTCCGTCATGCTCCGAGTTTCACCTTGGCCGATTTACCTCTACTGCCTTTGTCTTATTCGGGCCTTGATATGCTGCTGAGACAGCAACTTCCCCGTTCTGGAATCTTGCCAAGCGATGTTGTTGATATATATCCATGCTTACCGGCGCAAGAAGGTATCCTGCTGAGCAAGCAAAAGATGGCAGCTTCATATTCTACATCAACAGTCTGGAGCTGCGTGCCGGGACAAGGTGGTTCATCCGTAATCTCCACATCGATGCTTGAGGAAGCTTGGAGGACAGTGGCGCAGCGGCATACCATTCTGCAATCCGTTTTCGTGTTCAACCCTGAAGGCGAAGGTTTCGTCCAAGTCCTCCTCCGTGACCCGCACGTTCACATCGTCACTGTCGATGCTATCAATRAGACAGCGGTGGGGAGGTTGGAGAAACTTGAAGGGGTAAAGTTCACATCCCGCGAACCGGAACATGCATTCTTCATCTGCCAGTCCAGTACGGGTGAGGTAGCTTGTAGACTGGATGCCTGCCATACCCTCATTGATGCTGCCAGTTTGAGTCGACTGGTAGAAGAGTTGACATATGAGTATGAGGGCACTAGATTGGATCCCGCAACACCATTTCGAGACGTTGTGAGCCATGTCACAAGCATACCAAAGGACCAACGTCTTTCCAGATGGAGCAAGCTCTTGCAGAACGTAAAGCCATGCCAGTTCCCAATTCAGGCCACTAAGTCCCACCATGGCGGTACTATCGAGCGATTCAGCTACATATATCTTCCACAACCTGCAGTTGAAGGCGTGACCGCCTTTTGCAGGCTGCAAAACGTGACTCGCTTTGTCTTTATCCAAGTCGCATGGGCGCTGGYTCTGGCTCACTTCACCGGCGAGAAAGATGTCTGCTTTGGCTATCTTTCTAATGGACGTGACACACCTGTAGCTGGGATTGAAGACGTCGTCGGTCCTCTGATGAGCTTACTCGTAGGCCGCGTTGATCTTCGCGGGTCAGTGGAAGAAGTGCTCCACAATACCTCGCAGGCGACAATTACGCATCGAAGCATTCAGCACACTTCTTTGGCCGAAATCCAGCATCATCTGGGTATTTCTTCTCAAAATTTGTTCAATACGACACTTTCGGTGCGGGCAGCAGACAAGCTGGCAAAGAAAGGAGGCATTACATTCCATCCCCAAGCTGGCGAAGACATGCATGAGTTTGATGTGGGACTCAGCGTCATGATTGAGCATGATGCGATGGAGGTGGTCTTGGAGTATCGAGAATCCTGCATCTCTGCTCAGATTGCGCAGGAAGCTGCTAGGGTTTTGGCCCAGGCATTCGAGTTCCTTCTTACCACGACAAGCGACCAAGACAGCAACACACACCTCGAGATAAGGGACGCCTCGGACTCATTTTTCAGGCACGTTGTTGGAAGTGAGTCGCCGGTAGCGAGGAAGTTCTGGTCGGAGCAATTCGCTGGCATCCAGGTCTCTCACTTCCCGTCAACGCCGCTCACTCCAACCGTCGAAGCTGTTGACGATACCTTAGAGCTTGATTTTCAAGATTTCACGTCAGAAGGACAAGAATTCACAGCTTCAACCGTGCTTAGGGCTGCTTGGGCGCTGCTAGCATGCCGTATGACTGGTTCTTACGAGGCAGTCTTTGGTATCACCGTCCCGAGTGACACCAACACCGGTACCGCACTTCCCATGCGTGTCGTGGTCGATATGCAGGACAGCGTAGCAAAGTTTCTCCGTCGGATTGAGTCCCAAGGTGATGACATCCGCCAATTTGGTCGAATTGGATACCACTGGCTCAAGTCATTGAACGACGAAGCGGCGGTTGCTTGCGATTTCCGAGCTGTGGTGGAAGTACTGGATGATGCTGTCGAGCTGCCTCCGATGCACGCCGGGGCTATATCCATCCGATGTATCATGAGTACCCAGCGATGTACGAGACTCCAACTTCGGTTCAACTCAAGCATCATGGCAAGAGAACAGGCGACACGCATGCTCCGTCAGCTCAAGCAAATCACTAGCCGACTGCTCGATACAAGTCTGAGAGATCAAACGCTCAACAGCGTAGATATGACCAGCTTGGAAGACCTGCAACAAATTTGGCGGTGGAAYGCAACGGTTCCAGCAGCAGTCAATTCGACCATGCATGAGCTCATCACACTCAAAGCCCATGAACAACCCTCCGCCCCATGCGTCTGCGCTTGGGATGGTGATCTGACCTACCAGCAAGTGGACGATCTGTCGACAAAACTAGCCATTGAGCTCGTCGTTCGAGGCGTCACGCCAGGCTCGGTGGTCTTGCTCCTATTTGAGAAATCCATGTGGATGCCCATTGCCGCGCTCGCAGTGATGAAGTCGGGCGCGGTCGCCATGGCTACAGATGCCACCTCTCAGTCTGAGCAAAGACTTGTTGCAATGGTTGAGAAAGTTCAGGCCGCGGTCTGTCTCTCGTCGCTCGCGAATGTAGGACTGGCAGGCCGTTTGTGTGGTACGGTTGTTATAGTCGGTTCGGAACTGTACAAGAGTCCACTGTATGCTCCAGAGAGACTTCTCCCTGCGGTTGGCGCAAAGGACATTCTGTTCGTGCAATTTACATCGGGGTCGACGGGAGTTCCAAAAGCTGTCAAGATTACACACGGGAACATGTGTAGCGCCGTAACCCATCAAGGACGAGCACTTGGCTATCACAAGGACGCCAGGGTTTTGGATTTCGCCTCTTACTCATTCGACGTGTTCTGGTCAAATCTCCTCAACACCTTGATCATTGGTAGGTTTCCCGTCCCTAAGGCGTGATGGATCTTTCACTGACATTGACAGGTGCTTGCTTGTGTGTTCCATCGGATGAGGAACGCCATAATGACTTGTCTGGTGCTCTTACCAAGTATGCAGTCAATTTCGCGGACTTGACACCATCCATTGCGCGTTACGTTTCTGGCCTCGAGAATCTCTCCACGTTGGTGTTGGGGGGTGAGGTGGTGCTCTCATCCGATCGTAAAGTCGTCGGCAATGACGCATCAGTTTGCAACGCCTATGGGCCCGCTGAGTGCACTCCAACCGCGACTATCCTACAGCTATCGACAGACGGAATTGAAAGTTCCATCGGACGAACTGTTGGATTATGCGCTTGGATRGTCTCGCAAGATAATCCAACACAACTGTCCAGTGTTGGTGCTCCTGGAGAGCTCTGGCTGGAAGGAGCACTTGTGGGCGAGGGATATGTAGGCGATGGGAACAAGACCGCCCAACAGTTCGTCCATGATCCAGAGTGGCTTTTGCGTGGTGTACCGGGTCATCGAGCAGGACGACTTGGAAGGCTGTACAGGACAGGAGATATTGTTCAATACCATGAAGATGGAAGTTTACTGTTCATCGGCCGAGCAGACACCATGGTCAAGATCCGTGGCCGGCGTGTCGAATTGGAAGAAGTCCAGCATGGTGTTCGAACGATGCTGCTTTCAGTCGATACAAGGGAGACGTTTGCCGACGTCGAGGTGGTCGTCGAGGTCGTTCTACCACTTCATCAGGACAATCATTGTCTTGTTGCTTTCGTTTCTCTCCGTCCTCCACCGGAAGACCACGATGTTGCTGTCAGACAAATCACATCCAACGCGGGGGAAAAGCTGACCGCAACTTTTCCCTCCTACATGATTCCCTCCGCATTCGTGCCACTCCAGAAGATTCCAAGATTAACAACGGGCAAGACAGACCGTCGAGGATTGCGTACCATTGGCCCGCAGCTTCTAGCCAGAGAAATAAACCACATCACCAAAGGCGGCGTGCAAAAGGGAGGGAAACGAGAACCATGCACACCCAACGAGAAGCTTCTCCAGAGGTTGTGGGCCGAGATCACAAAGGTCGATTTGAAAACTATTGGTTTGGACGACAGCTTCTTTCGGCTGGGAGGTGATTCGATCGGTGCAATGAGGCTCGTTGGTTTGGCTCGTAGGGAGGGAATGTCTGGGCTTACCGTTGGAGACATTTTCCGTCATCCTTTGTTGGGAGATCTTGCCTCTGCTGTTGAGGCATGATGTTGATGGATGTACATACATTTTCTTGATGGTGTGATACCTGAGATTATTATGCGGGATGATTGTTGGATTCACAGATGATGATATCAGCTCGAGGTTTGTGAAAAGAAGTCGTGCGAATATTGTCTTCATCTTCGAATCTTGGCCACACGCATACATATTCTTTCAAAGGTGAACTGCAACACTATCTAAGTCCGAGACTTTTCTTCCTCGAAACGATCGAAAATGTTAAGAATAGGATATAGACCGTCTACGTAGCTAGTTTATTATGTTAAACTAACGCGTATTTTCTATAGTAATACCAAAAGAGTAAAATTAGTTTCTATAGACGTACGAGGGTATGATACCTCGTTGCTGCCTACCCTAACTCTAACCCTAGACATACAACCCTATAGGATTAACCCTAATCCACGCGACGGCGACGATTGCGCAATAATTATGTAATGCTTCCCAAGATGTCATCACTCTTACTAACAATCTTCTCTCCTTACGCTGTTCGTAGAGCACTCCCGATTAGGTATGGCCATGGAAGGAGAGACCACAGCTTCTCATGTATAGAAATAGGTATCACCCCTCCTCTACGGCTATGGAGGAGTACAGCTCCGTCCGGCTACATGTACCTCACCATTACGATGGTACATGTGAAAGCGTTTAACCGTGCAGGATCAATACCTTTGCTTTCCAGTCCTGGATGTCAATCACCTCTCTAACATAACTGCTACTACATACACAAACATCTTCGAGTCCCAGACCAGGCCGTAAAGCTGAAGAGATGGCCGGATCTTTCGACATTCCTCCCTCTTCAATGAAAGAAATGATGAACAAAGATCCAACCATCGACGCAGACATTCCTCCCGATGAAGCAAATGGACCAATCCCAGATCCCTTTGAGCGCTACGGGGAACCTCTACCACAGAAGACTTGGATGCCTTTATATCGCAAGCCCATGCGGACTCCGACGAGGAAGTTGAAGATCGCGTGTATTGGAGCTGGAATCTCGGCCATGCATCTCGCTCATAAGATTTATCATGAGAGGAGGGAGGAGTTGGAGGGGGTGGAGTTTGTGATTTATGAGGGGAGGGGKGATATTGGTGGGACGGTCAGTTTTTTGTCTTGCCTTGAAGCTCTCTACGATATGTGGATTGGATTGGATTGAATACGAGCTTTAGGATTGAGAGACTGATAAGCAGGACAGTGGTTGGTCAATACCTATCCGGGAGTGGCTTGTGATGTTCCAGCACACATCTACACGTTTCCCTTTGCTCCGAATCCAGATTGGAGTGCTTTTGTAAGCTTGGTTTGGAAAGTATCATTGCTCACGTCTAACATTGTTGTTCAGTATGCATCTGGAGGTGAGATTTTGGAGTACGTCAAGAAGACCGTGAAGGAGTATCAACTGGATCGGGACGTCAAATGCGGGCATCGAGTAACGAGCGCAGAGTGGAAGGAAGACGAGGGGAAGTGGAGATTGAAAATTGAGACAGAGGATGGAGTACTAGAGGATAGCGTTGATGTGCTCGTGAGTGCTGTGGGCTTTCTCTCCAAATGGAAGTGGCCGGATATCACTGGTCTGCATGACTTTCACGGAACGTTGTGTCATTCTGCGGCTTGGGAGGATGGATTCGATGCGAGTGGGAAGAGAGTCGGTATGTCTTGCTTGCCGGTTCAAAATAGCTGGGGATTCTTGGAGATTGAGCTGACATGGACTTTTCATGATGAAGGGGTGATTGGGAATGGGAGTTCTGCCATTCAAATTATCCCTCAAATGGTCGACACAGCGAAGAGTCTGACCAACTTCATCCGAAACTCAACATACATCACTCCAGGGCTCGGCTCGGGGACGATCGGAGGCAAGACGCAATATATTTATACAGAAGAAGAAAAAGCCGAGTATCGAAATAATCCCGATGCGTTGAGAGACTACCGGAAGAAGATCCAAGCTGCTTCGAATCGAGCTTTTGATATGTTTGTCAAGCATTCCGAGGCGCAGGCACAGGGGAAGAAAGCCACCTCCGAGCAGATGAGAGGGAAGTTGCATGGGAATGAGGAGTTGGCGAGGAAGTTGATTCCTGATTATGAAGTGCTTTTCTCATCATCTCTTCGTGAATTGGTTCAACGCTGATGATGATTTTGATATATTGTAGGTTGGCTGCCGCCGAGCAACTCCTGGACCAGGCTACYTCGAAGCCTTCTCTCTCCCCCACGTATCGTTGATCACGGATCCCATCTCGAAGATCACGCCCACGGGCATTCTAACTGAGGATGGCATACACCACGACTTGGATGCCATCATCTGCGCCACGGGTTTCGACGTCTCGCATCGTCCTCCATTTCCCCTGATTGGCCGTAAGGGGCTCTCCCTGAGCGAAGCATGGAAAGATGAACCAACCAGCTACCTCAGTCTTTGTGCGTCAGGTTTCCCCAATTTCTTCACTTTTGCCGGCCCGAATGCTCCTGTGGGTCATGGAAGTCTCATGGCGGGATTGGGATGGACGGCGGATTATATCTGTCAGTGGGTGAGGAAGATGGGAGAGGAGGATATCAAAGTCGTGGATGTCAAGGCGGATGTGCAGGAGGAATTTAATGTCTACTCGGATGAGATTATGCAGACGTTGGCTTGGAGTGGGGGATGTTGGAGTTGGTATAAGAATCATCGGAAGGTGAGTCGTGTTTTGTTTATGAGGGCTTCTTTGTGGGAACAGATGCTGATGCGTGATTGATGATGTGTATAGAATGGAAAAGTCACGGCGGTTTGGGCTGGAAGTGTTCTTGGTTATCACGATATGATTGAGAGGCTGAGACCGGAAGATTTTGATATTGTCTATCGAAGTCGGAACCGCTTTCGATTCATGGGCAATGGGAGGACGAAGAGGTACGTTTGTCGTCAATTTACGAGATGGTGATAGTTGGCTGACATTTAACGACTGCTGTAGGGAATATGACCCAGACGCAGATCTGGCATGGTATCTGAAGAAGTGAGCGCATGAAAACGGCATCCATACCCCATGGATCTAGTCCATACCCCATGGATCTACAGATATATACAGTCTGGACTTTCGCAGCTTCTCTTCGAGAATACCAGCACATATATGCAAAGCTCCTCCTCGAGGATCCCAACACGCATATGCAGAAAAGTGCTCTGATACAATTCCAATATCAGGCATATTCCAATTACTCGACAATTACAAGATTTCCACTCCCATTCCAACGACATGATACTCTCAAGCAGAGAAAGTAGGATGCTATCTTGTCTAAATTTGTCTCGTGCCTATCTCAAATCCACAGGGGAAACCTCGGGCTGAAAGATTTATCTAGCCTAGTGAATAATGTGAGTGAATGTCTCCTTTCCGACGTCCTCATTCGTAAATTCTTAATATTTGTATTTATGACCGATTCCCCTCTCCGAGTGTTCCTCCTACCTAGCATGCCTGATTATCACAGTACGAACAGGATACTATCATTGAGAAGTGAGTTCTACTATTCTCATTCCTTCTTCTTCTTCTTCTTCTTCTATTGCTGCTATACACAGTTGCTTCAAGCGCTCGCTCGCTGACTTTCAATCCACTACCTACACATTCATTCCAAAGTAGCCACTAGGTGAGGTAGTAGTAGGTAGGTAGGTAGGTCGGTAGGTAATATGTTACAAGGGAAGAACCTCTCTCATTCTCATCCTCGTTCACTTTCATCTCACAACGCCACGATTCATCTTAACCTCATCGTGTCTCCCCTCTCATCTAATCGACCAGCAGACTCTGCAATCTCGCCTCGGTGGAGATGACCTATCATGACACTTGATGTTAGCAAGACATTTCTACAATCAAATCACCAGCAGTATCAATGGGGAATACTCACATCGACAGCCATGCGGACCTCCAACACTCTTCTCGCCTCAGCAACCCAATCTCTGCTCAACACTCCCGCCCAGCCCTTTAATCCATTCATCTCCCTGGCAGCAGCATCCAAATCACCTTCCTCCAGTAACACCTCGGTTCTCGCCAATGTGGCTTCAACATCGTCACCTCCCGGTAGACCGCGATCGGCCTTTTTCTGGAACATGAATTTACTCAGCACCGCCGAGGCGGCATGACTCGCCACACCGGCGTCCTCGGGAAGAAGTGAAGCTTTCCGCACTTCGGAAGCGACGCGGCGGAAGCGGTCGATGAGATGGGCCTGTGAAGGAACGCCAGATTGGTAGGATGAGGGGTTCATCGAGGAAATGGCGGCGTTGATGAGGGAGTTATCCTTAGCAACCTCCTTCAATGCAACCAGTTCGTTGATGAATGGTGTCGGGTGGTCGGATTCCACCAGTTTCGCCCGCACACTTTCGAGAGCGACTTGGAGGTGTTGGGTTTGGAGGGTAGCATCCACGACGGAATTCCACTGCCCGGTCAATTTCTCCAACTCCGAGACGCTGGTGGAGAGTTCATCAATCTTTGAGAGACGTCCCTCACGCTCCTCTTCAATCTTGTCCTTCACGCTGTCCATGAACTTCTTTTGGAGGTCGATTTCCTGCTGGATCAAAGCATTCTGGTTCTTCTGCTCGAGAACTCTCCTCGCAGCATCCAATTCAGCGGAGAGTTTCTGCTGGTAGCTGGTGCTGAGCTTCTCCCTCTCCTGCTCGTACTCCTCCCTCCACCGAGCCTCCTGTTCCTTCATCTCCCCCTCCAAACGACGAACCAACTCCTTTGCGGCGCTGTCAAACTCGGTGTGTGCGTTCTTGACTTGCGTGTCGGCTTCGTGGAGGGATCGATCTCGAATGGTCTTGATTTCGGAGATGACCTTGTTAATGTTGGACTTGGCCTCTGCGATGGTGGAAGCATATTTCGGAGCTTCGGGAGAGGCGTTGACGGCGGTGATGATGTTGTTGACCAGACTGACCAGCTCCTGGACTGCGGGCTCCGTGCCTTCGGAGATGTTGGTGTGGTCGACGAGCGAAGAGGCGGGTGCTGCAGGAGTGGATGAAGGAGAAGATTTGGGTGCTGAGGATGAAGAAGCGGGTGCTGAGGAGGAAGAAGCGGGTTTCACCTCTGACTTGGAAATGGTCGCAGGCTTCTCCTCCTTCTTTGGCGCAGCATTCTCGGCCAAGGCACTGGTATGCCTTCCCTTCTTGCCCAGATCCTCCCCGACATTCTTCTCCTCGGCGACATGCGCAGCAACACCACTCTGACGGGCAATGGTCACCTTATTCTCCCCACGCGTCTGAGGCCATGTCTTGCCGCCGAGGTCTTTTGCGGGGAATCTCTTCCGGAATTCGCGCTCCTCAAACCACGCCACGCTGTCCTCTCCATAGGGCACATATTCGGTGAAGAAGTCGTGGAAGTTGTCGTTGACCAGAGAGTAGTAGACTCCTCCTGCGTAGCCGAGGGTGGAGAGGAGGAAGAGGGTGAGGAAGAAGGAGCGGATGCGGTGTCTTTTCTTGGGCGGTGGAGGTGGAGGGGAGGCCGGTGTAATGGGAGCGGCGGGAGGCGCGTTGGAATGCACTTGGATCGGGGTGGGAGGGGTAAGCGGCGCGATGGGAATCTCAGGCGGAGCGGCCTTGTCGGTGGTGGAGCCGAGGATTGCGGGTTGGGGCACTCCGGGAGCTTCCTGACTGCGAGTTCCAGGGAGGACGACCTCATCGGGTGTCTTTTTCTCGGCGAAGCTTCTCTAAAATCACATCATCTGCGTCAGTCATGTTGTATTGTATTATGGTGGATGCGATAGAAGTGAAAGGTCGTACCGCCAGCACAACAGCTCTCCCGCTCTGCCATTGGATCCGCGAATGGRCACGCAGACCTTGCTGAATGCTCCGGGAGATCGGAACCCTCAACATCATGGACGGCGGAGGGGTGGAGGGTGGTGGATGGTGAATGCGATCCGGGAATGCGAATGGCAGGGCAGTAGCAAGTTGTGAAGCTTGGATTGGTATTCTACGGTGGGCGGAAGCTTCACTTGTGGACAAATCAATTACATCACAACCAGTTCCATTTCGCATTGAATATTCTGAAAGCTCACAACACCATCCACCCTCCATGTCACCCACCACCAAACGAAAGACGGAAGCCGAGTCATCTCCAGAAATCTCCAAGAAACAGCGACAAGAAGAGGAGGAAGGAGAAGAGGAAATGACAACCAATCCCCTCCCCGACTCTCAGATCGACCATGCAGCAGCAATCGCCTACTGGTCTTCCACCCCGGCCACTGTCTCTGGCGTCCTCGGCGGCTATCCACAAGTCTCCCGCGTAGACCTTCAAGGTTCTGCGAATTTCTTCGGAAAATTGAGAAGAACATCCAAGCACTTCCCCAAAACGAGTGGGAAGCTGACACGAGCGGTGGATTGTGGAGCCGGGGTGGGAAGAATCACCAAGGGATTGCTGTCGGAAATCGCTCAGGTGGTGGATATTGTCGAACCCGTMAAGAGCTTCACTGATGAGGTCAAGGATGAAGGGTGCGTGGGCAAGATCTATAATGTGGGGTTGGAAGGGTGGAAGCCAGAATACACCTACGATTTGATCTGGAATCAATGGTGTGTGGGCCAACTCACCGATGTACAACTGGTGGCATACTTGAAGACTCTGCCCGCCTTTCTCAACGAGGGCGGATGGATCATCGTCAAGGAGAACATGAGCAATCATCATCTCGGAGAGGATGTTTTTGACCCCGACGACTCGAGTGTGACGAGGACAGATGTGAAGTTTCGAAAAATCTTCGAGGATGCTGGGTTGAAGTTGTTGGCGACGGAGGTGCAAAAGCGTTTCCCCAAGGACCTCTATCCTGTGCGGGCATATGCTCTACAGCCCAAGTAGATGTTGACATGGGTTGAAAGGGTGTCTTGCAATGATGGGAGAAGCGGCGATTCACGATTCACGACCCACCGTTCACGACCATCCGACATCTGCCTGCCATGTATGTTGATGCCAAAGCATGACAAGAATCTTTTTGCTGCACGTGGCGCTACGATCAACCTATGGTCCTCGGAAGGGACGGCGGATAGCACGGCCTGCACTGCTCCGTCCAGGGGCATGAACGGAAAGCACGCGAGCGAGCAGGGTTCCTCACCCAACATCAACCCGATGGGCATTACCAATTTTACAGCCATGAAGATTTCTTGCTGCCTGGGCAGATTGTAAAGATGAAGGGTCGGGGAGTTGGCGATGGATAGGCGTCTGCCATCCCCGTAAGCGAAGCAGAGTCGCGTGGGACGGCTTGCCGGCCAAGACCAGAACAGGCCAATGCGTCCGGGAAGAGTAATACCGTGCATGCATACCTACAGTAGTAAGGGTGAAGACAGGCCTGCCACGATGGGAAGCAGAATATGTCCTTGATCAACAGTGATATGAAAATCGGGGTGATCACGACGAGATGGATGAGTCGTGTGGCATGTATGTTTCACGCATTTCACGTCGAGGGTGAATGTTCTGTATGCTCGTTGGCAATACTTGGATTGGTGATGTAATGAAATGGAAGTCGGCTTGAGGAGCGTTCAATATTGTATCCACTTCTTCCAGTGTTCGTGGAGAAATGCCCGATTGCCCACGCCTTGGTATGTAGATAAGACGCAGCGAATTCGAGGTGTCGACATGTCACTAATCTTAAGCGCGTTTCACGCGWCTCCTCACTAATGATCCTCACGCATGAAACTACCAACCCTCGCGCAGGGGCGATGAAGTTTAATGCGTGTCGCGACAGAAACAGGCTGAATCGTGGGCATCGCACGGACGCCTCCCTTGCCTCGCCCTTCGTTCCATGAGTAACTCTGTAAGGTAGTCGTCGGCATATCCGCGTTGAATGATGGAACATGTCCCGTCTTGCTTTTTGCACCCCCATCGATGTCTTCCTCTCCACCGCCTCCGGCCGTGGTGGTCAGCGATGAGGAACAGGATAATCTTGTGGTTGGAGATCGGCAAACGCTTCTGCAAGTGCAACAGCAGCAACCAGCGGGAGGAGCCGGCAATGCTGTGCATGAGGGCACTAAACCCATCACGCGCGCCTGCGCCGTGGAAGAAGGGGAACGAGTGGAGGAGGAGAATGGACCAAATGGGAAGCCATCGTCATCCACCTCTACTCCCACTCCCACTTCCACATCTTCCTCTCCCTCCACCTCCAACATCATAGTCCATCGGGCGAGGAGGAGAGAGCGAGAGTATTTCGGCAGCATCACGGAGCCCGTCCCTCCCATTCCCCTCCGCTTCGCTTCCTACGGATCGACATCATCCTCCATTGCCAATCACGACAGCAATAACAACAGCAATAACAATACCAACAACACCTCCACCAACAACACCACCACCCCCACCCYATCGCGCGCGCGGAGTGTGACGGAGAGGAAGACGCACGAACAACACCTCCACCAGCAACATCAATACCAACATCAACGGTCCCGAGTCGGAGATAGCAAAAGCGTTGGTCGGGATGCACCGAAACATGCGACCGGGTTAGTAGACAAACGGCCGAAGTTGTCACGATCCAAGTCGCTTCCCCGATCCCTGTCATCCCAGCAGCAGCAGCAGCGCTACCATTCCTACCCTGACCACGCCAATCATAATCCCAAGATGCCACGCTCGGTTGCTTCGGATGTTTTCATCGAGCTGGCGCGTGAAAATCATCCTGCCAATGCCAACTCCAACTCCACCAGCAATCAATTTCACAACGCCAATGTCACCTTTCCTGCCCACCGCCGCTCCTTGAGTCGCTCCTCCTTCATCGACTCCTCCGCTTCCTCCTGCTCCGCCAAGAACAAGAGACACTCCTTCCACGCCGACCTCCACCTCCTCCCGCGACCCATGACCAGCGGCGGTCCCAGTACCGGCAAAATGTCGAGCTACCCGAACCGCCCGTCGCCGCGACTTCAACACGTCTCACGCGCCTCGACCGATCTGCAACGACACATGGATCAGTATAGCGCGGGCAATCGCTTCCCCAAGGATGAAGACACCACCTCCCAGGCCGTGGGAAGGCGACGAGGCTTCACTTCCACCGCTGACCGCACTCCCTTCTCTCCCCAATCGCCGGAAATGCCACAATATGGACGAAGAAGGCCGTCGGGCGTCTGGTCACCTCATACTCATGCGCGAAAGTCCCAAGAAGACACACTCCCCGCACCAAAGACTGCCGAGTCGGCCTCCAGTGACTCCCAATCCGTCGACACCGTCTGGGATGAACTCGACGACCTCAAATCTCGCATCAAGAAGTTGGAATTGACGGGCAAACTCCCCACTTCCAGTGCCGCCGTCTCGCGTGACTCCAGCGATCGTCCCAGGACGGCCACCACCGCTCCCACTACCATTGACTCCTCCCCCAAGCAAGGCCGCAAACAGGAACAACCTCCTCCACATATCATGACCATGACCGCTCCCTCGCCATCACAGCCCGACACGCCCACCACTCCCGCGGGAATCAACGTCTCCACCATTCACCCGCTGCTCCACAACGCCCTCGCCAAGGCCAAACCTCTTCTCAATGCCAACCTCTTTCGCAGCTTGGAGGCCACCGCCGCCGATGCCCTGCAACTCGCCGCCATGACCGGGAGCGCGGGRCCGCAAGGTACCACCTTCTCCGCCGCTTCCATCATCAACGGCGTCACCGTCTCGGATAGACATGTTCGGAGGAAAGCCGACAACATGTGTCGCAATCTCACCGACCTGTGCCTTGCCCTGTGTGAGGGCAAACACGAAGCACCCTCAGYACCCACCCTCTTTTCATCCCCGTTGACGAACGAGCCGCTGGGACTGCAGCGCTCGCCTTCGTTGAGATATACGCGCAGTGGAATGGGATCTTCCAGCACTGTTCGCACTGCGAGTCGCCTCGAGGCGCGTCGGAGCAGTATTCTGGGTTCATCTTCCATCACCTCCGATATCAGTCCGAGAGGCAGTATTGGCGACATGTCATCATCCTATTCACAAGACCAATCCCCACCACAGCAATCACCATCTTCTTACCTCCAAGCGCCGCAGAGGACCAATAGTCGAACTCCCAACCTCCGTCTCCGAAGTCGTCTTCAATCTCATGGCGATGTCAGCGGGAATGAGACGGAGGAGGAGGAGCCGACCGTTCGCCCACTATCTCGAGCCATGACCGAGGCGGGATCATTCCGTCGGAGGGTTGCGAGTGAGAGTGGAACGCCTGCGCCAGTGCAAGATCGTCAACATCGCAGTTCGAATTCAAGTTTGAGGGATTCCATTTTGAACGCGAGAAATCACAACGATGAAGTCTATGAACAAAACCGCCATGCCAGTGAACAACCACGATACTCTTCCGACTCGAGTCGGAAGCGACAATCACAGCTGTACAACACTCCACCGACGGTCACGGAAGAAGACGACAACACCCTCCGAGGAACCGACTTCCACACTACTCTCCAATCACAACGACGAAGGAATATGAGCGGGCAGTATGGTAGTAATCGAAATGCCACCGATGGAGGCCGACGACTGGAGAGGAGGAGTGAGAGGGCGGGTGGCGAGGGTGGTGGATCCCTATATCAGAGGAGTGGCGAAGGTGGTGGATCGCTACAGCAGAGGAGATCTACATCTGGGATGGAGTAGAGTTCCATCGATGGATTGCTGTTATCCGCCAAGGGGTGGGAGGCACGAGGGGGAAAGAGAAGGCAAGAGAGGTGACTTGGTTCCACGACGGACGTTTCTTTTCCGACCACAGGATTCACGATGCTTGCTTGCTTGCCTGCTTATTTGATTGATTGTTTCTTTCAGCGAGAAGAATGTGATACCACTGCTGCTACGCGGAGACTTTTTCCTTGGAATGGATATGGACAATGGATCAATGGAGCAATGGATCAACGGAGACGGCGTTTACGACTTTGGGGGGACCCCAGAAATGAGGTTCTATTCTGTTCTATACTGGGGAGACTTYAGGGTGCGGTCTGTGTTGTACAATACAGCTACTGCTACGACTACTACTACCACTAGATACTGCTGCTCCTTCAGCTAGGAGAAGGCTGTCATGTAGATTGGGTATATTGAAGGATTGTACAAATTTCTATCATTGACGAAGAGCCCATGGCTTGAAGAATACTTTTTTCTTTTTTTCCTTCGTTTTCGATTTTGAAACGGCAACTGTTCGTCACCTGAGGAAGCTCTCTGGAGTGACGAGTCTTTAGGCACGAAGCGAGAAAGCATAAGCTGGTTTCGGTGCGACGTATGCACGCGCACTGCTTGTTCGCTTGGGGGGAAGGGGAGGAAAAACTTGTTTTCCCCCTTGGAGACGTCTTTAGAGACTCCACTCATGGAGATCCATCCGGATCTCGCTCGCTTCGTTGGAAGGATGTGATTACAGGGATGTGTTTTTTTTGGGTGGGTGGGTGGGTGACGTATTCTGACGATGGGGGCGTAGAGGGAAATCTGTGAGGTTGTCTGTCTGTCTGTCTCGTGCGAGGATCTGTATGTGGGACGATGATGTAAGTGTGTGTGCTGCTGTGTTTTTTGTACTTGGTTGGTGATGCTTGATTGTTGGTGGTTGGAGTTGGGGGGTTCCAAGTGGGTGTGCGTGTGTGGGCACATGCACATGTAGGTATGTATGGTGGGTTGATCTCTTTGCTCTTCTTTTCCTTCCTCTCTTCTCTCTGTTTCTGTTTCTTTACGACGACAACAGGTTTTGATCTTACTTTTAAGTGATTGAGACAGTCTTCTGCAACAATCATATCTACAACCTCGAATATCGTACCGTTTTCTTCTYGAAGACTTCCGACTGAGCAAGATTGGAGGAATACAACAACAACAGTAGACATCATGACGGATCAACTTCAACAAACCCAAGAATCTCTCAGCACAGCTTCAGATCAAGCATCTGAGAAGTGGAATGTGATGAGTGAAGAGCAGAAGAAACAGACGTACATCGCCCCTCCCCCTTCTCATCTCACCTTGACATATCTTTATCCAAGAACTGATCAGGCGCATCAATCATGTCTCAGATTCGACGCCCTCCCCGAAGAGCAGAAAAAAGGCAAGACTTCGTACGTGGAGTGGATTCAGGAGGGTTATCATAATCAATATCGGAATTGGATGCCTTGGATTGAAGATCAGTATTTAAAGTGGTTTACTAAGGATAATAAGACGAGTTATGCTGCGAAAGGTACCTACCACTACCCATTGTCATCATTCCTGCCCCTGGATGGCCCCGTTTTCTGATGATGATGATGAAAGTATTCGGGATACTGACAATAATAACAGACACGCTGGATAAATCCAAAATCACAGGCGTCTCGCAAATCGATAACGTCCAAGATGGCGTCCACTCCACCGTTTCCGGCACGATGGGACAAGGGGGTCTGCTACAGCCTGTCGGGGATGCGGTTTCCAAAGAGGGCATCAATCGCGCGGAGAGAGGGGAGGATGTGGGATATACACAGAGTATGACGGATGGAGTCAAGGGGGCTGGGGAAGGGATTGTTGGGGGTGTTAAAGGGGCTGGGGGATATGTTGGGGGGATGTTTGGGGGGAAGGAGGAGGCGAAGTGAGTGTTTGAGTGGACTAGGTGGAGGGAGGGGCTGAGGGTAGTGTGTGATGGAGTGGGGGAGATTTAGGATTGGTGGGATGGCGGTGGGAAATTGCGGAGGTCGGGGTAGGACGAGGTATTGATCATGTATTTGTTACTTCAATGATGATGATGGTTTCTATTGATATACTTGGCTCTCAATGCTCTCTCGGTATTAGTTTTGAAAGCACTTGATCTCCTAGACAAGCCAGTTATAACGAGTTGTTTTCGTTGTATGGATTTTTGAAGGGGTGTCCAAACACAGTACCATTGACATGGATTCGATTCGACGTCGCCGTATATGATGACGCTAAATGTATGTATATCGGAGATTCAAGCGCAGCGAGTATGTTTCCTAGTGGTTTTCCTACCACTTCGTGTAGAAGAGAATGGTTAGAGATGGATTTCTGGGATTGAATGAGCCCCTAAGTAAAGACATGAATAAGGCGGACATAATTGCTGCTGATTGTAGGCTCGAAGATATTGGTCCATTCAAGACGTTATTAAAAAGCGGCGCCGTGAAAAGATTGCTTGCTCGTAGGTCTGGGATCGATCGATAGAAGGCTCATAAGATGAATTTTTTACGGTGAATATGTCCATCTCGCTGCCGGTCGCGGTAGTATGTGTACCAGCCGTCATTAAGTCCTTGTTGCTGTGTCCTTTTCCTTCGCTCCATAGCAGCTCCCCGTCACCCCCTTGGTTGAGTCGGTCCGTTCGTCGTTTTCGAAAGATCACTTCACTACCATCGTCGAGCTTTCGACTCATCATCATTCTTAGGCTTCGGAATGCTAGATATTCAAACATTGTCGACCCGATCGGTTAAGTAAAGTATGCATCTCCGTTCTCTAGGATATGATAGACCGGCTTACCGACCACATCATGTACGCAGGGTCTTTTGTCGGGCACTGGAATATTACAGTCAGTGTGAGATTGTATGAGAATTGTTCGCTTCTTACCTTGAGCATATCAGCAAGGTCAAATGTGATATCAAAGGAGGAAGTGGCTTCTTACGCGCGATGAAACCGTAGCCTAGAGACTAATTGAAGAATCTGATGGCACTGGTTTTTCCTCCTGCCATTTAAGTAAGTTCTCTGTTTGGAGGAGGTCTGGCAATACTTCTCCTTACCCCGGCACTGGGCATATCACTCCTTAGGAACCCTCGTCGAAACTTGGCGTCAAAGGTCCAGTAGTCGTGCTCTCTGGAATGACTACTCCCGCAGTGATTACATGTACTTTGGTAAGTTCAAAGGTAGATCCATTCAATAGATCCTTAGTCTGCTACGGTTTGAAGTGGTCTTTATTCGGCCTTTGAAAGGACGTGATGAAGGTCGGAGGACAAGAGTGCTTCTTACAATTCATTAGTTTTCGCTGCTGCCTGAAACCTACTGCGATGGAAGTAAGTTGCGAGTTTTATGGGATTTGAGAATCCTGACCAGTTCTTCGACTAGGAGGTCTGACATGTGGCTTGACATGAGCCGCCACAATTTGTTGTGATAGCAGTGCTCAATGTTCGAGACATGAAGTCGATGTTGATCAAAGAAGAGCCCCCGAACAAGGGCTTCTCCTCATGTAATGACCTGGTCCATCTACGCTTATACCTTGATGCCCGTTCCAGTCCTTTTCGCAAAAGCATATGCAAAAGCATATCCACTGGGTCGAACATATGTCGGCGCCAATGTTGGAAAGGTTGGAGTATCTACCACCTTCCACAATCGAAGCCTCCTGTGAAGATTGCGGGTCGGCTGAAGATTACGAGAAAGTGTCCAGAAAGAGTCAGTCCGGCATCTAGAGRGTCAATGATGAGCGAGATGATATGGGTCGCCAGTTGCGTCGCAGAGCATGAGGGACGAGGTTTCTTGAATCAGATGTGTCGATCCTCCAACATCGTAGGAGACTAGCGCTGGCAATCACTCCTCTGTGAGTTGCAAGGAGCGAGCTTGGAGTCCTCGGGCCTTTGCCGACTTCGCTCCTGTGGCGATGGATGCGCCTGGTGTGCTGGAGTTGTCGGACCAAATCTTCATGGCCATTATGTTGACAAATGAGACTGGCTTTCGTTTATTCRATCACTACGTTCCAAGCTCATAAGCAAAGATGTGTCGGAAGAACCCAGGGTGGCGCATTCAGGGTGAACAGTTGATATTGCCTCCCGATCAGTTTAAGATCGGCCAGACTCTCGATCTCACTGTTGCCCTGCGAAGAGGACGAGCATTTGCTCACGTCTTGTAATTCTGCTCATAACAGACTCCATCTCTTTTGTCTCTCGGAATAAACCTGGCAAAGGGTGGTAAAGGAATGACAAGTGGAGTGATACTGCTTTCAAGATCGCATTTCGCTCAGGATCAGTTACAGTTGCATCTGCAGCCCGATCTTGGCCTTTTCCATCGTACTCGATGCTCGCGGTGAAGTAAGACAGCGCGCCATACTAATCAAACCCCAGATGTCGTCGTCTGTTGGATTTGTTCGCTCGTTGTAAGTGTCTCTCGAGTTTCTCTTATATATGGGCTCAGTTGAGAGCAGAGATGGCAGTAAATGTCAAATGCCGAGCAAGGAGAAGGAGAAAATTGTGGAAGCAAAGGTTRTCGTTGCAATCGGTCCTCCTAGCATCTTGCCACGAGCTTCTTGAAGAATGCTACTCTCTATTGACCATGTCAAAGCCTCAACTTGTGGACGGACTGGACGATTGGGTGTCTTCAGTCCGGTCGTGTTGGGCAATAGGTACCTTACTTTCGGTCGTGACTTTCCAGCCAGAGCGGGGTCAATCGATTGACACGACCGCATCGAGGCCCAATCTGTTGTATTTACTGGAGAAGAGAATGTGGAAGATATATAGTCAAGGCTGCACACTAGTTGGGAAGGTATGCCGAGTCATCGCGGATGACTGTACATACCGGAAAAGTCCATTTCCAAGTCGGATCATGAGTCAATCAATGCAACTGCATCGAACATCAACTGCGTTGACATTTGGCTGCCCGTTCTTTGCTTTATTCATCGATACCAGAAACTACACCCTCATCATGTCGTCTCGTCGAGGCGGCAAATCGGGCGGCAGAGCGGCGCCGACACGAGAAGTGCAAGTGTCCAAGAAGCTTTCCTGGCTTCTCCGCCACGGCGCGGAGAAGGAAGGCCTGCAACTCCAAGAAGGAGGTTTCATTAGCGTCTCGGATGTTCTTTCCAACAGAAACATTCAATCCCTCAAGGTCACGTTGGAGGAGGTGCAGGAAATCGTTCGCGACAACGACAAGCAGCGTTTCACCCTGACTCCAGCCTCGGAAAGTGTGGATCCAACGAGTTCCAATCCCAAAGACTACCTCATTCGTGCCAATCAGGGACACAGTCTCAAGGTCGAGTCAGAGGGACTGTTGCAACCCATCACGGCGGAGAATGCGCCGGAAAGTGCAGTTCACGGAACGACACATTCTGCCTGGCTGCTGATTGCTGCATCGGGCGGTCTGAAGCCAATGGGGAGAAATCATGTGCATTTCGCTTCGGGTTTGCCGGAAGGGTTCAAGTCGGTGGTTGAAGCAGGCAGTGCCGGCGATGAAGCGCCTGTGATTTCCGGTATGAGAAAGTCTTCTACCATCCTGATGTTTTTGGACATCAAAAAGGCAATGGAAGCGGGTGTTGAGTTCTGGTTGAGCGATAACGGGGTCATCTTGAGTGCAGGCAATGTTGACGGTTTGATCCCCTTGGAATACTTCAAGCGCGTCGAGGACCGGACCGGCGAGGGTGTTTTGCTGGAGGACGGCAAGGTGGTCAAGGAAGCTCCGGAGAAGTGGGCGAAGAAGGGGAATACCAAATCATGAGGCAAGATGGAGATCTATCATCACCCAGGGGAGCACCCAGGTTGCTCTACTCCGCCAAATCACCGCGGAATCAACATGCGCAACCTGACTGAGGTCAACCATCGGACGAGTAGTGGTCCTTTGCGCTGCGAACAGAGCAAACTGGGAAGTGTTCCATACCATTCGGCCATTCCTCATCGATGTGATCCTCCACAGCAATCAGCCATGCGGTCCTATGAAGAACAACAGTCAAAATTGACCGGAAAACCCCGCTGGCTGTCATCGACAAAAGCAGTCGACTTGAACGCTCCTCTGGGTCTTGATCATCTCTATAAAAAGGACATGGCGAATCCTGATCGAGGCCGTGTTGATGGGGTGGAATTGCAGATCTTTCCACCATCGGATCCTTCAGCTGCATGCTCGTCTACGCACGTGGCTGATTGGACTACTCCACAGRATACTGCAGGAAGTGCATTCCCAGCCTCACAGGTGGCGTCTATACAGCTTTGGGATTCGCCCGTCTACCTTCTTGCTTTCGCCAAGGCATGCCATTGTTTGTGGACCAGCGTAGGATCAAAGTTGTGATGAATGATGGCATGGCTGGCTCGGCGGTGCACTCTGCAGGATGCACAACTGCACATGTGTGGTGTTCTGTAGCTACATTCTCAAATAACACTCCCTCCAAAGCGTATCGAAGGCTGTAGCTTGCCATCTCCACGTACTCCCCAGACCTTGTGATATCTTCAGGCTTTGAAGTACGTCACTCTGCTGGACGGACAATGTCGCACAAATACTCGGACCTGGAGGTCGTACATGACTACGATGCTCCCGAAGTCGTGCCATCACAAGAGAAAGTCGTCGTTCCCGGAGAGAATGAGAAGAATTCACACAAGATATACGATGGGCAAGACGAAGAATGGAGTACGACGGGGAAAATGTTGGCTGAACCAGAGACACAAGATGATGATGAGCACACCAAACCGAAGAGAAGGACATGTTGTGGAATGGAGCTCACTCGACGGCGAATATATCTCCTGAGTGCACTTGCGATACTTGTGGTGATAGCCGCTGCGGTTGGCGGTGGTGTAGGTGGAACTCAGGCATCGCGGAAGAATAATGACTCCTCGGGTACTCCTCAGGGACAATTGGGTCGAACAGGATACATTACTGGCAATATCGGTCCTACTGGAGGCGTTATCGGACAGCCCTCCATCACACCCACAACTACCATTACGGTGGACGTCACCACCAGCACAATAGACGTCAGTCCCACCGAGACTGCTTTCTCCGATTGTCCTTCCTCGAACGGTACCGCGTACGCCGTCAACAGTGGAAGCGAAGACTCGCCCCCGCTCCTCTGGCGCAAATCTTGTGGGGATTCTTTCGGAACACTTGCTCCTCTCACGATTATGGGAGAGAAGGCTTCGAGTCTGAATGATTGTATTCGCATGTGTGTGGCGCAAAACGCTCTTAATGCTACGCAGAATGAGATGAATCCTTGTAATACTGTTTGTTGGCGGAATGGAAGTCCCGGGGATGATCGGCCGTTTCATTGTTTTGGGGGGTTCAAGAAGAATGATACCGAGAGATTTACTTTGACTGGGGAGACGAGATGTGATTCTGCTGTGTGGGTGAATCAAGATGTGGGATTTATTGGTGGTAGTTCGTCTTGAGGACAGTAAAGCCTGTTAAAACTTAGATATCTCATCGCACGGGAGAAAGAAGCTCACATGTGAATGATATCTTCATTATGTTCATGTGTATATACGGCTGAAACCAAGACTCGCTGGTAGAGAGGGTGGACACTGTAAACTAGAAAATTGCAAGACCAGATACCAATGCCGCCGCCAGCAAAGCGAAACCAACGGAGCCAGTCAAGACGCCAGCTCCACTCTTCTTCACCTTGACTTCGGCATCGGCGATTTTGAGTTGAGGGTTGTAGTCACCGGGTTGCGTGCTGTTCAACGATCCGTCCCAGCAGTRACGATCGAAACACTTGGTGCAGATATCCGGAACGGCGATGTTGGTGCGATCGAAACTACGAGAGAGGATTGCACAGCCCACACATGCTGGCCATTCGGCGTCTAGAGTTCCGTTTCCTTGCGTGGCACCGTTGTAGGCGTTGAGGATGATGGCGTTGCGTTCGGTGTCGTTGTACTGCAGGTCAAAGGTGGCGTAGTTACTTTGATAAACGTATGGAGCGTTGGGAATGTAGACCACTAGAGGGGTTGGACCTGTGGTGTTCTTCGCGTCACAGCCGAAGAATGTGGGCTTGTTGGCAAGGCCGTTGTTGATGAAGGTATTGATGTCTGGGACTGCGGGGAAAGAGGTCCCGTTGGCGATCTTGGAAAGACTTCGCTCGTAGGTGGACACCATGCTCTGTCCGTTGGGCCAGTTGGCAGCGCTCTTGTCCGTTGGCCAGGTGGCATTTGTGTCGGCGGAGCTGTCAACGGCGAAGATGACGTCCACTTCACGGTTGGGTTGGATGAGGGGGTGGAGAGGAATGTTCTGACCATCCATKCCGCCGTCAACCAGTGTGAGGGTCTCGTCCATGGAGTTGACGTTGGAGCCATTGTTGTAGTGGTAGAATGGGTTCACCCAGTCAGCAATGTCTTCCTGGGCTTTGCCAATCTTGCCGAGAACCTTTTGCACTGCGTCGAGAACAACTCCAGTGAATGCACCTCCTGGGTTGTTCGCAGAGTCAACTCTCGAGACGATGGCGTTGAAGAGGGAGGAGGATGTCCCAAAGACGAATCCGACATTGTCATACCCAGTGACACATTTGTCCTTGTTCTCTGGCGAACCATCGGTAAAGTTGGTTCCCACATACTTCAGCGGTGCAAATGCATATGTGTTGGGGTCATCACTGCCCATCTCCCATGGCGAGAATGTGAAGACGGAGGAGTTGGCGGAGACGATCTTCTGACCGGGAGCCCTGTTGTCCGCCACGACGAGGGGAAGTGGCACACTGCCGCTTGTGAACCAATCCTGTTGCGCAATGGAGGAAAAGGTATACGCAGGACCGCCATCGGTAGCGTTGACGAGCTGGTAGCTCAATGCCCTGCCCCAGTAATCCGTGATGGTGGTGTTGAAGCCAGCATCTTCTCTGTCAGATACGTTGTCGACCAGCGACTTCAAGTATCCCACAGAGTCAAGCAGCTGAATACCACCAGTGTCTGGACCTTCAAAAATGCTGTTTCCCAACTGCCACAAGTTTCCCGAGTCATCGTCAGATGTATCTTGAGCGAGAATATCGTCGATGGAGGTAAAGTTGTTTGCGTAGAGCGAGCTCACGAGCCAACTGCCTCCTGACAGACCGGAGAGATAGGTTGCTGACTGCAGCAGACCACCCAACTGACCGGCGCTGGTTGCATTGTTGCTTCTGCTGTCAAACGCCTGAATCAACCCTGCGCCGTTCAACATTGCCCGGTATCCACCTCCTGATACTGCAATACCAATGTTTGGCAATGCGCTTGCATTGTCACGGTGGTTGTCAATATATTGATTCGTATCCAAGCCGGTGATGTTCATGCGACCCAGCAGATCTCGCATGGGATCAATGGTCGCCGATCGTCGCGTCTTCAGCCATTGCGTTTCGTTTTGGGAGAGATTCTCGGCGGATCGAATTGATGGGGTGTTGGAGGGACATGAACCCGTTTGAGGTGTGTAGCCATGGGGTTGGTTGGCGGGTAGAGCTCTGGAGAGAAGTTGAACGGCTCGTTCTTCGGGTTGCAGAACTCGTGCTGCTACCACGGTAGAATGGAAGATTAGTCGGGCCGGACCATCACGACCAGGGGGAGGTGAGCTAGAATATGCGTACCTGCAGCTGGGGCGAGCACCGCACTAGCGGCCAGCAATGGAGAATACTTCATGCTGGGGAGTGAATGCAACACAACGGAAGAGATACAAGGTCTTGCAGGCAACGAACAATACGCCGTGGGAGCTGAGCCATATTTGGGGAGGGCGATCTATATGTGCTGGCCGCGCATCCTCCTCGTTTAAGCTCGGGGCGTTTTCCGCGGCCACGCCGCGTAGCTTGATTGAAATTGCCTCTCCCGGTATTTCCGAGTTGTGTTTGTCCCAGAAATAAGAAACCAATGACGTTTGGAGGGTGAAACGCAAACGCCTGGGGCATGATTCCTGCTGCGTGAATGAAACCCCTATCCCATTTTCAAGGCTGGATTGGATTGGAGAGGCGGTGGTGCGTGATATTCTTCGCATCCTTGCACCCTTTGCGGAGGAGTACCTACAGAAACGGTTGCTTCGTACATGGACGGAGTCGACACTTCGTCATGCATGGAATACGGTCTCGCGTTTGCTGTAAAGGGCAAGTGTGGAGGCAAAGCCAGCCACGTCTCCCATCCTTCGTTCATCATCGTCCATCCGTCGCGCCGCCGCTGCATCCGGATCGGCAGCCTGAGGATCTTCACGCGAGCGAGGATCTTCGCCGGTAGTGACACGCAGATACGGCAGCTTCAAAGTTCAGCCGTTCTTTGAAACGTCAGCAGCACATGATGGCTGAGTCGGACCGTACGTACAAAAGGTATGGTATGCGTTGGTTGGTATGTAGGAGGCATGGCCAGGGTTCGCACAGCCTTGGGGAAGTCGGCACAAACACCGATCCGATCGAGGCTGTGCTCTGTCTGACGTGCTCTGCTGCATCTGTCTGCATCCCATGATTCTGCACATGTCATGGCTGTTTTATACTGGAATTTCCGAAGGAGGACTTGTACTTTGTGCTTCCGTGTACCTGTTGCTCGGCGCTGAGCTTCTCGAGTCTTCCGTCATACAGAATTAAGCTACCCGCACCCTGTGCTGTCAGTGAAAGAGGACAATCAATCGAGACTCGGCTTGTGTACTCCGTACCTCCCGATATCCGCTGCCTCCTGCGGGCACAGCAACCACGATGGCTTGGATGGGACAAGATTCAGCAGAGCACTACGACCACTCAAAACTTACCGAATCGAGTGCGTCATCCACGTTAGTTCCCGTCAAGAGACATCGCTCAGTCACAACATCAACGACAAAGGACGGATGTGTGAAATGCAATGAGGACACCAAGTCAAATACAAAGCCCGGTAGGGCGAAAGAATGGAAAACACGACGTCCCGCCCGCCTTTCTTGAATTCACAGAATTGCAATTTGCTTCGAACCGCCCAGCAACGAACGAGTAGGACCACACCGATCAAGAAGAAAATCCTCTTCACGCCTCAATTCCCAGATCCTTGTAGAAAGCGTCCGCGGTTGGCGCCCTGCCCAAGAAGTCGATGAACAGACCTGTCAGATTCTTCGACCCACCTGGCGCCAGCACCTTCTCGCGATAATCCCTGCCCACAGTGCCGTTGAACAGATTCTGCTTGAACTTGGAGTAGAAGATGTCCTTGGCGTACACCTTGCTCCACTGGTAGGAGTAGTAGCCAGCTTCGTAGCCTCCCATGAGGTGGGTGAACTGGGTTTGGCCCCACGTCCTGGTGTAGTTCTYGGGCTCCGTCAGGCTTTCAGATCCTGGGAAACCCTCAATTTCCAGGAACATCTTGTTGTAGAGGTAGGTGGTGTCGGTCTTGTTGGCTTCTTCGGTGGAGTTGGCGGTGTGAAGGGTCATGTCGTAAGTTCCATAGAAGACTTGGCCAAGTTCGCCCAACGCACGTTGACTGCTGCGGGCTTGGACAACGGCGTTGCTGATGTCTTCCGGGATAGACTCGGGTGGCTGCTCCTGACCCGGGTTTTGCTTCTTCCAAAGAGCAAGGTAGGCGGGGCTGAGATAGGACCAGTGCTTGCTAAGGCGTCTCTGCACGGTGGGCTCGTACCAGTAATTCTGGTGGTGAGAGGTTAGTTGAATGCGGTGGTGAAATGGAAACAGCGGAGCTACTGACCTCCATCATCTGACTGGGCATCTCCAAGAAGTCGTTCGGGGTACCGTTGGTACCGCATTGAGCGGCATATCGAACGCGGCACGAGAGTTGGTGCATGMAGTGGCCCAACTCGTGGAACAAGGTTTGCATTTCACCACCAGCGAGCAGAGCAGGAGTATCGCTAGCGTTGCGTGCCTGCTTGAAATTGGTTCCCAGAGCAGTCGTAGGATAATGACGATCGCCATCGGGTTTGATGTAGCCAGCCTCGAGCGGGAACATGTAGGCTCCAGGAGCTTTTCCAGGACGATCGTAGAGATCGAGATATAGATATCCAACGAACTCGGTCGGGTCCACGGTTTCCCACACGGCATACAACTGGACGTCTTTGTGCCAGAAGAGGTCTTCTACCTTGCCAGTCGGAGAGAGGCGGGCGAGAGCGTCGCCTTCGACTCTTCTGAAGTCGAAGCCGTAAATGTCAGAGTACATCTTGAGTATCTCCATGACCTAAAAATGGAACGAGTGGTCAGCAATCTGACTGTTATGTCAAACTTGCAGAATGGTAGGAGGGAACGCTCGCGCTGAGCCTTTAAGCCACAGTTCATTGCATTTGCTTACGGTATTCTCGGCTGGAAACCAAGGGTTGGTCGAATCCGAGGAAAGATTGTACTTCTTTTCGTTCACTAGGAGCAAAGACAAAAAATGAGCAAGACCTCTAGGCATACTCAAGCTGTGGTGAAGCCCGTGATTGCCACGATGGGCGCCATCGCTTTGTTTACTCACTCAAGCGTCCATAGTAAGAAGAGWCCCAATAGAACGCTGACCTGGCAGTCGCATTTTCTTGCTTGGCGAATTCGTTGATCTCCTGCAACTCTTCCTGTCCCTTGGGGTACAATCTTGTTTGAAGGTCCTGCAAGAAGTCTGTTACCGCCGTCACACTTGAGGCCATTGAGAATRACCCCGAGAAAGCAGAGTCTGCAAAGCTGGTATAGTTGAGCAACCGAGCACGTTCGTCGCGAAGGCCCAGGGTCTCTCTGAAGATGTCGATATTCTCGGGGACTAGACTAGAGGCTGTTAAGGACATGTTCTGGCGTATGTCTGGCCTGAGATTTTCGATGTGTCAGGTGCATCCTCGATGTCATATTGTCGTCTGGAAGTAAGACATACCTTTTGGCCCATCCTCGCACTTTCGAGTAGTCGGTGGTTGACGCCAAGTCGATTCCGAACTTGCCAGCGTTCTCGCCTTCCCCTTTGATCAAGTTGTCCAGATCTTGAGACTTGACTCCATCCAGTTCCTCACGAGTGAACCACATCGTGGTGTTGATGCTTTGTACATTTTGTTGGAAGGTGTCCTGGTTGTCGCCAATTTCCTTGCCGAGTTGGAGAAATCTGTCTCTTGCTGGGCCTTGAGGAAAGCCGGCACCGGCAGATTTGACACTGTCGAACCAGCCTTTGGCGAGGATACCCTCGGCTGTATCCAGCTTGTTGTCCTGCTCGAATTGTTTGTAGACCTTTTCGAGTCGCGCGTACAGGTTCGGGTCGGCGGTGGAGTTGCGTAAGATTTCGCTGGCCCGTGAGAAGACAGCGTTGACGCCTTGTCGGAGTTCTGGGGTGTCACCCAGGTTGCCATACACGTAGAGGGGAGTCATGATGAGGTTTGCCTCGTTGATCCGATCCGATAGAACTTGGACAGTGTTCTCAAAGGTCGCCTCTTCCACGCTGGGTTTCAGAGCTTCCGTGTTAGCAGACAGCCTGACAGGGAGGTACTTTTCCAACGTGGCGTTGAAGTCCGCAAGAGTCAAATTGAACTTCAGTGKCTTCTGGGGCGGATCCTGATTCTGACGCTTGATCGCTGCGGCGGATGTCGAAGAGGCGAACAAAAGCGCTGGTAGCAAGGTGCGCCACCATGCTGAGTGGGAGCGGCTGCTGACCATGCTTGCGGTACGCTCGCTGCGTTGAATGAATTGATGATAGAAAGAAGACTGTATTGAAAGGAACGGATGATCGCGGGAGTGGACAAAATGAATGACTAAGGGTGAGAGCTGTCGTATGAAGGGTGCAGGCCCATACCTTGGATGCAACCTGGCGGATGTATGTTTTTAAGTAAGAGTGCTGAACCTGGTCGCCCAAAGGCAAGGGTCGAGCCTGGCCATCCCGAGTAATCACCCGCGGTGGTGAGAGTCTCCTGCGAAATTTGCTCGCGAAAGGGAACCTTGAAGAGTTCACCACGTGTTGGGCCATTCGGGATCAGCTGTTCCAGGGTATCGTGAACCCCGAACAGCAATGTATCAGATGTGACTACGATATCAGAAGCCCCAACACGTCGTTAGGGCTCACTGGTGCTGTAAAGTCGAATCCAGTACACGGACAACCTGAAGTCGGAGAGACAAATCCTCTGAGTAGCTGACACCAACGATTTTCCCCGCGCAATGTGGGAGCTGGTCGTAAATCCTCAATTGCACCAATCAAGTGATGCAAATGGACGTTGTTCATCCTAGGCCTTGCTAGTCTGGTACATGAGAGTTTCACGCCCATGTGTTCAGTACTCAAAAAAGCAGTAAAGTGGCATGAGATCGCTTGATTTCCAAGACTTTTCAGGCTCTGCCAGCGTCCAGCCGATGTCGGACCTTGAACCTGGAAATTGCGTAGTAAGCCGGGTCGTCCGGCAAGAGCCATCATCTAGGGCATCCTTGTGTGTCAAGACCTCACCTCGTGCGTCTAGGCTGAGTGCCAAGAACCCCTGATCAAGTTTGGTTCGATCGTTCGGAGTGTAAGGGTGTTGAATGGACCGACCGCATTGCCTCGAAGAGGTCATGCTACGAAAGAATACTCCGACGGATCCGATTGTTGATGTTGGCATCTTCAGCCACTCGGAAGGGCCAACCATGCTACACTTTCGTGTGGGGACCCCGACATACGTACTTCTCATATGAAACATCTCTGGCTCCAATTTAGGCTGCTTGGGACGTGCGGTTCTTGGCCGAACATTTCAACTTACAGGTGCTGAGAGACAGGCTTGCTCATTCCGAAAGTGTCAAACGTTTCACCCATAAACTTCTCACTCAATTGCCAGCAATTTCGCTGCTCGAGCTCATAAATGACCTACGGATAGATGTCTTAGTTAGGATATGGGACATCTCCTAGGCTTCCACAAGTACCCGCCGCTGAATTCTACAACGTAGCGATCAGCACGTGGAATGCAATCGTTACTTCTGCGGCCTCAGATCTCTGTGATGTCTGGGCAGAATGCGGCAAAACCCGCGCGTCGTAATTTTTTGGTAACTGTCAATGACATTAGAGCCGGACTAGCCCCACGGAGCACCAATCTGGCGATTTAGCGGCTGCAGCCCGAAAACAGGCTGTCGTCGAGACGAATCTCCACACTACTACTCAAATTGAAGCCTGGATGAATAACAATGGCGAGGAGACCTTTTGGCCTAAAAGTGTGGCGAGTTGTCGGACGGTATGGGTTGCGCCTTTCGACTGGCCGTGGGCTTTCCAAGGATCGTATAAATACCCCATCCTCCACTATCGTCAGTTGGTCGGGCGATTGTTCACCGGGTTCGGCCTCCTTTCTGGGAAGTTGTAGTCATTGAATCTCACATGACCCAATCGATAGCTGTCGCTACTGACAATGGCCATCCCGGGCCCTCCGCCGCGAGAAGTTTCTCCATAAGAGGATCCGTGAGGAGGAAGCGCGACAGGCGATTGGATTGGAAGACAGACTCAATGCCAACAGTAGCTTCCGAGTGCGATGGGCCGATGATGCTAGTGTTGTCCACAAGCACGTCAGTACCGCTGACCTTGGCGCAGACTCCCTCTGCGGCTTCACGGACTGAAGCAAAGGTCTGAAGCCCGACGACCGCTGGAAGAGCCTGGATTGATGCACTGGTCGTATTTCTCTTGATTTCCATCTCGTGTAGTCTGAAGAGGCTGCGGTCAGCGAGATGGAATAGCTCAGGTCCTTTCTCTGGGACGGGTATCAGTTCTACAAATGTGGCCCCCGGACCTCCTGATGAGATGCCAGTATTGAGCACGGTGTTCCCGGCAACATGGGGTTCGAATCAATGGACAAAGTTTGTGCCGTTTGAATTGGCGCGGTGTCTTAGCTGGGCCATGTCGTGGAGTTAGTGGAGTAAATGACGGCCAGCCCAGGTCTTGCCAAAGTTTCTACATGCATACAACAGCACTCAGACGCATGATGAGCCAATGGAGCCACTCCTCGGTCTGTAGTGTTCACGGAGCTACTCGGAGCTATCCACGAAGATCCCTTCACTCCGCTCGCCTCGGTTGAGATATGCGAGCCCTCTAAGGGAGCAAAGAGTCCGCATCGTTGAAGGACGCAAAGAAGTCTACCCAATCAACGTTGTGGAAAGCTGCGTCGGAAGAGCCCATCTGGTTGCCTTCAGGTGGCACCTCATCCACGACCACGCCACTATCAGAAGTCGATAGACCTATATGGGAAGGCACAGGCTGTAATGCGACTTCAAAAATCGATTTGGCAATTGGTCGGAAGAGGTTGAACACCTCAAGGGACAGCGGCCAGGTATCGCCAATCGCTTCTAGTGCGCTAAGCATCAACACAGCTTTCCGTCGAATCGTCTGCAAACCGGGTTGGTTGTCACTTGCTTGGCTGTTGGAAGCTGCGGAGATCTGTACAGCAGATCCCAAGACCATTCCAAATATCATTAGGGGGCTATTGCTCGTCTGAAGCCAAGGCAATGTTGCAATCCGGCCTAAAATCTTCGAAGCGGCAATTACACGAATAGTATGTTGTCCAGAAGTCTCCAACGATTGGGWGCGCTTTCCGATACATGTGAGATCCACGGGAGCTGGTGAAGAAACGGAGAGATCGCTGCGTGGGAAGTACAAGAAGAGAGCTGCAGTCTGGACTAGTAAGTGGGCTTGGAGTAGCAAGCTGTCCACAGTTCCTGGTAGAGTCGTGGATGCGAAAGATGCTGCCGACATCCTGAAGTTCCAGGCGGCGATAACATCGTTGGCTGCTTCCATTGCGTCTATGTCATGCTCGTATCCGATGAAGAGCAAACAGACCTGACGGACGATGTCAGCGGCCTCCACGCGATGGGCGTAAGATGAGATGTCTAGCGCTGGTCGGACAAACATCTGGAGTTCCAATGCCGCATAGGCAACGAGGTCGGCACGGCAGAGTGAATCCGAATCGAAGAGGCCTTCGGAACGCGGTAGAAATGGAGTCGGGTGTGATACCGTCGGTGTGCAAGCTGGTGCTCGATGTCGGAGTAGTGCGAGCAGGGCGTCGATTGTGTATAGTTCCCACCACGACCGACGGAAACTCTCATCCCTGATATCATGACTGTTCGATGGAGAGATGTTGACATCCATACATCGCAAATCCGAGCTGTGCGCCAGTTCAGCAGCTTTTTGAACGCAATCATCGGCTTGCTTCATTTGGCCCACGCCCATAAGAACGATCGCGAGCAGTACCAGAGCCTGAATCTTGTGGATGGAGAGACCATGCTCGGAGGATACCAAGGAGACTGCTACTTGCAGTGTTGCAGCAGATGGGGGATTCGCCGAAAACATTTGGCCGGCGAAGCAGACGGCGAGAACCAAGTGGTTGGGATACTCTTGTGACGAGAAGAATGGCGTGGCACGAGCATAGGATGCGAAGCGTGAAGATGCGAGTAGTAGAGACCCACCATGTGATCTCGCTGGATGGAGGTGTGGATCGAGTCAATCTCCATAGAGTTGACGGCTGGGCCACGAGGATCTGGCGTTGCTGTCGCGGTCCCATCTCCTGGTTGTGAAGGACTTGGCGATGCGACGCAAGTCGGGAGCGTACTTGCAGCTTGCGATGCATGGGGAGCGTGATTCCGGGCGTACAGACCTCGTCGCGACGGGACGTAAGTGCAGCCCACGCTGATTAAAGAACATCTTATACACGAAGGGCTGCCGCTTTTACACTTGATGTGTTTGCTTCGGCACTATTAGTAGGCAAGTAGTACTAGTCTTTTTTACGAGCTTCTTTCTACCGATATTGCTCTTCCGTTTAATAAACATCGCCGCGGGTAACACAAGTAGTAGAGAGACGTAGGGAGGTCGGAGAAACCCCGCTTCTATTTATCTTAGGGTCCTTATCCGTTTTTTTACCGGGAAGCCGAACTTCCGCGTAATCCCGCTAAGTTACGCTATCTCCCGCTATATACCGCAGCTAATAGAATTATACTAATAATTTATATAAATAGCTTATTCCTAGGTAAAACGTCTAAGGACTTTTAGTAGTTACTTTAGTATACTATAAATTCAACCCTTTACTACTATCTAATATATCTAACGATATATACGCCGTACTATCTTAGTATATACCTATAGTAGAAGCGCTAATATTAGAGTACGTATTCTATACGTTTTCGTATACGCGCTATATCGCTAAATAGTATATATATAGTAAATTATCGTAAAACGTACTAATAGAAAACGACTAACCTAGTATTTAACGGTAGTAATATACCTACGATACCTCTACTATCTATCGAGTACTATTATAGCCTTTCTCTAACCCTATCCGACGTCCCTTATACTAAAAAGTATACGGTTTAGCTATCTATATACTATATCTATCCCGCCTAGATAAGCGATTATCTCCCGCTAATACCTACTATCTCCTACTAACTTACGCGTAAGTAAGCGATCTCTTAGGTCTAGAGTAGTCGAACTCCTACTAACTTCTCTCTACTCCGTCTACCTCCTACCTACCTATAATCTACTATTAGGATTAGGTTAATCCTAATAGCGGCCTTATATAAACAAAGTTAGGGTTACGACCCTAAAGGGGTTAATCCTAATAGGTTAATCCTAATAGGTTCCCTTTATCGTATATTTCTAACGTTTAGATAGCTTCGAGTATATCGTAGAATTATAAATCCGCGAAGTATCTAAGTCTATCCGAGCGCTACCTCGTCGTCGGCGACGGATTATAGAAGTAGTAGGAAGAAAGTAATATTCCGCGTAAGGACTAGCTAAGTAGGGCACGCGACGTCTACCTAAGGGCCGGGCGTACGACGTCTATTTAGATTAGATAGTAGACCCGAGGCGATACGTAACGAGTCGAGTCGTATAGGGGGTAAGGTTTAGATAGGGAGTACGATTAAGCACGCGCGAGATTCGTAATAGCTAGGCGCGTATATATAATTTAAAAGAAGAGATAGAATACTACGAGTATATTAGTACGATAGCGATAGCGTAATAGAAGTATTCGATAAAATATTCGTTTACTATACCGAGTATCGGATTATAGTTTATAAGCGATATAGATATACCGTTAATCTAGCCTAGATTTAGGGCTATATCGTCGCTAACTATAAGACCGTTACTAAGTAGTAGCGCTAGTAGATTATCGAGTTTATCGCCGGATTATCCGCTATTACCCGTATACCGGAGGAGGTAAGATATCCCGATACGAGTAGTACGGCTATAGTTAGATTACTAGTATATAATAACGGGTTAAGGTGTATTATATAGGTTAGTAACGAAGAGTATAGCCGGGTATATTATAAGAGAAGCGGTATATAAAAGTATTACCGTATATAGTATAGTTAGGAGAACCCGCGTACTAGAGGTAGCTATCGACGTAAAGGAATCCCCGAAGAGATAGGCTAGTTATAGGTTATAAATTAACTATACTAGTAATTTTTTAAGAGCGGTATTTAGAAGAGGCATTTCGCTATTTAGGTCGTACTACTATCCGGATAGGATTCCGTCGTTAATAATACTATTATAAAGGCCGATATATAGGTAGAGGGAATGTTAAAAGAATTTTAGAACGCTAAAATGTAGGAGTAGAACGAACGTAGCCGGTACGAGCCTAATTTATAGTTAGAACATACCGGATAGGAGAAGTATATTAGCTAGTTTAAGGTATAGGTAGTAAAGTAGGTATAGGAAGATGTTAGGTTAGATTTAGACCTAAGCGGCGATAGGTTAGATTTAGATCTAAACGACGCCGAGGAGACTAGTTTAGAGAAGGAAGGAGAGGATAGCGAGGAAGGTTTAAGAAGAGTATATACTAGTACCGCATTATTAATTCGGCGATCGTTTAATACTAGCCGCGCCGAGATCGTAGGCCGGTATACGTTATAATACGTCTATCGGCGGGAGAATAGTATACTAGATAGTAACCGGCCGTTTTACGGAAAGTAGAAGGTATAGACGATTCGGAAGTATACCGCCGTATTCGTAAAGATTTTACGGTATATTTAGCGTACCGAACCTAAGACCGTCCGGCTAGTATATCGATTAATACCCTAGTAAACGTAGGCGTTAAAGAAGTTACGATATACCGCCCGTAGAGAAGAGGATTATCCGTCGAGCCCGCTATCTAGAACTAGTTCTAGCGTAGGGAGAGGGAACGTTACTAATACTAGAGAGGACATTATTAATACGAGTTTAGTATTTTAGATCGCTATATTCTAGTACCCGTTAGGAGATAACGAATACGAGAGTAGGTTATTAAGCGGGTTAGCCGTATTAGGGGTATATAGGGAGAAGAACGGATAGGTACTAGCTATTAATTATATACCTACGTTAGTAGCCGTAATTACTACCGCGCGAGCTATAGTCGTCCGCCGTACGTAGCGTTTACGCGAAGATTACGTTACTATATAGGTATAGGCCGGCGTTAATATAGCCGTCGTACGGTAGAGGGTACTTATTATCTACGAGTTAGTTTAGAGAGATATAGAAGCATTTATAACGATAACCGCGTTTAGAGGTAGCCCGTAGCCTATTAATACTATATACACCTAGAAGATATATAGAATAAGGATCCGATATACTACGAACGCCGATAGGTAGGTCGGTTAGGTAGGCGACGATACTATATTAGTACGGAAGATCCGGTTTAGTATAGGCGAGTTATAGAAGGCGGTATATAGCATATTAGATACCGTACGCTAGCGATTAGTAGAAGATTTATTATATATAAGCCCCGGTATAGGTAGTTAGTAGCTAGATAAAATACTAAAAGTTTAGATAGATACTATAGTAGACGACTACGTAGTAGGCGATAAGGAGTAGAATTTTTTTAATAATTTGCGGAACGAATAGCCCGTCTATAGCTAGACGTAGATAGCGCGACGGTTATTAGTTAAGAAGAAGATAAAAGAGTAGTTTAGGGTAGAAGTGTCTATTATAGCGTTAAACCCCGATACTATCGAGGCGTATTTACGAAAGGTAAAGCGATAGAAAGAGGGTATATTAGTATTAGTTTATATATCCGGTAGAGTACTAGCCCGAGCTACCGAGTTAATTAGCATTTAGTAGGTTAACGGCTAGAACGCCCGTTTATATCGCGGCATATTTATCGATTAAGGGATAGTAGCGTTCGTTATATCGTACTATAAGGGGTTTAGTACTAGCTAGTAGTAGAAATGTATCTACCGATTCGTCCCCCGCGAGGTAGGAGAGTTAATAGTATATTATTTATAGTTAGTAGACCTATTCGTACGGTTGTTATAAGGTAGCTAGGGATAGAGGTCGTTTAGCCCGTAGTTATAGGAACCCGTACCCGAGGAAGAGTAGGAAGATAAGGAGGACGAGTAAATAGAAATAGGGGAAGAGGATTAGTAAGCCGGAGGTAGCGTCCCCGGTATACCCGACTATAGCGAAGAGGTACGGTTCGTCGAGCGAGAGAGTAGTAAGAGAGAAGCGTATTAAATATTAGTCGGAGGTTCGCAGATTTTTAGGGGTAGAGTAAAAGAGTATCTTAATCTTTAACTAGCTTACTATCTCCGACAGGTAGTACTTAAAAGTAGGAACTAATATATTAATTTAGTTAATTATCTAGAGATGTGTCTCTATCTCCTAAGAAGAGATTTTACCCTATATAGAGTTATATAACCTTATAGCTACTTAGCTCTCTATTATGTTAGATATATAGCTATTCTATAACTACACTTTCTAATACTCCTACTTAGGATAGAATAGACTATATACATTTCCCTAGATCTTTTAAGATTCCGTTAAGTATAGAAGGACGGTTTTATAGCTTACTAGTATAATTCTTCCCTAGCTACTATCTTAGTGTAATTCCTTAACTTAGTATTATATAATCGAGGATGTCTATTCGGACATCTTCGATTATATACTTTTACTAATTTTGGAATGCTTATTATATACTAAGATAATCTATATATATCTAGAAGTTTAGACTAGTAAGAGGTTTAGTTAGGGTAGGGTTAGGGTTAGGGTTAGGGTTAGGGTTAGGGTTAGGGTTAGGGTTAGGGTTAGGGTTAGGGTTAGGGTTAGGGTTAGGGTTAGGGTTAGGG